GTGTGGTCGCGAGGACTGAAGTTTAGGAAACCCTGCCATGAACCAAAAATAGCGCAGGCTGGAAAACTACACGATTTCAAACAACACGTGTTTACAAAATTGCTTTTGCGCAACGCACAAAAGGCCCACTACTTTTTTTGTACACGTGCCTATGCGCGTGTTGTTTAACACGTGCGATGTTCCAGCCTGCACTATTTTTTTTGTTCTCTGCTATGGTAGTGATGGGAGATTTCTCCTCGTCACTTTGCAGCTTCGATCACGGCGGGAATGTGGCGAGTGACTTACTTCAGTTGGGGTGCGTGAGCGGTACCGTGAGAGTTGGGAACGCTCAGCGTCGCGTGACAGACGCACACTCGGGCATTTGAGAGGAATACGTGGGAACAATTCGGAGCTTCGCTCCCCAAACGCGAGGCTTGGCAAGCCCATTCACTCATTGCGAGTTACAACCAAGGCCACGGTGGCCTTTACGACCCCGAGATTTTGCAATGACTACTGAGCCTCATTAAAACGTATCCTCTACTTGCGCCGATGCGTTTATAGAGAGCGCGTTGCACGCGGACGCTGCCGTGGATGTTACTCGTCAGCACACCGGATTCATACGCACGTTGAACTTCTTTCGCACCCTACATAGCCAATCGTGCTAATCGGAGGTGCGGAGGAAGGACAACTAAACAAAAAAACAGTTCTAAATAATTTAGTGTTCAATCTCGATGGTTTAAAAGTGCATAGCTCTCAGTGACTTCCTAATATCGGCAGAGCGTTCCAGACGGCCGCAGAAGCGCGTCTGAAAACGCGTGACGCGTTGACCGTCTTTGTTCCATGGTTGTCCACAAGCCACTGCTGCGAGGATGACCGAAGTTCGCGTGATGTTTTATGCTCCTTGATCCAGAAGTTTGCCGCAGGATTCAATTTCCCGGCGCGGCTGTTGAAAACCCCGTCTCTTAAATCACCCCTTGTCCCGCACGGCTCTGCCCAACCAGCAGGACAATTTGGTATACAGCCCGTTAAGTCGATCGGCAGCTTGCCTGTGGTATGTATGGAGGGGGTAAAACACTGCAAGTTGCCACACGAGGGGGGCACAGGTGGTGCATCGGCCAGTCATCTCAGTCAGTCGACCCATGTCATCTAGGTCTATCCCGTGACCTCCTGCCCAGCGGGCATTCGACACTTCACGTGGCCTTCAGGTGCACATAGCCTGACACAAGCCCCGTGGTGACGTCACCGCCACTTAGTGGCGAATGGGGGTTGTTGTTGGGGGTCAAGTTTATGTACTCACACCTCTTCCAAGACGGTCTGACCCCCATCGTGGAAGAGTAGGCCAAGATACCCGCAAGAGTCGAGGACTCCTCCCTCGAAGCTCGCCGTAGTCGAGGCCCTTCCGCCAGCAGTAGCGTGAGCGAGCTATTGCAGGGCTGCACCTTTATCCCTTACACACGTGACACACGTGGAAAAAAAAACGTGCGACGAAATAACGTCTGCAAAGGGCTTTCAATTTGAACGCTGCCCAATCTGCATAGCCACTGGGTCATTGAGCGTGCGTTGCGAGTAATATGCATCGGCCATGGTCTATTCACTACTGGATGAAGGCTTTTCCCCAATCCATCACCCGTCTCTGTTCTTCAAAGCCAATAGTCCCCTGATTATGATGGTGGAATTGTCTTCGTGTATACCTTCAAGTCCGTGCCTCTTCTCTCGTCACATCCACCGTGTCCATAATTATATCGTTTCTCCGTATCTCACCCCAGGGTCTACCTCTACTCATTTCTGCCCTGCGCCGTTGGCATCTCCAATGCCCTTCTTCTCATTGCGTCTTCTCTTTGTCTCTTGCCAACACGCTCCCAAACCATTTAAGCCTCGCCTCTCCGACCTCCTCGTGACAGCTGAGTAACTCCTTGCTAAGGCACGAACTTCCTTATTCATACTCCTTGTCCCAAGCGATATCCCCAACATCCATCTTAGCGTTCTTTGTTACCACCTCTGCGATGCAAAAATGCACCTAACACAAGCGCACAAGCGGATTTCATCGCTCCATCTCTGCGGTGGACGTCACTCCATTGTAACAATGTCCATCAATTTGTCAATTGTGTTTCGTTTGTTGTCCTGTCCCTCTGGCACCTCCGATTAGCACGGTTGGCTACGTACGGTGCGAAAGAAGTTCAACATACATACAATCCACTGCTGGATGAAGCCGCTCCCACGTTATATCGGCGATGCGGGTTGTTTGACCAAATTGCACCACGCTGTGGTGTTAGCCCAAGGCCTGGTTTGGATACAACTCGCCACTGATGTTAGCCGGGAATCGAATCCAGGTTGCTGTGTTCATAACGCAGTGCGCTAAGTCACTTCACCACTATTCTCCCCTCCACTCAACATTGCATTCCATGTCGCTTTTTGCGATTAAGGTACAGATACTTTGTTGGAAATGGTCATCCAGTTTGAGATGCACATAAGTAACCGGCAAAGCGAGTTACAGGTGATATCAGCATTGACAAATCTACTGCCGGATGGCCTCCCCATGATGTCAGCATTCCTAAGTCCTTGTAACAAGCCACCGATGACGCGAGCATATTTAATAACTACATATTTGTGGTGGACGTATATATATACACACATATTTATCATATACTTATACCGCAATACCCCGGTTTACGTCCTGGGGATGAGTTCGTGGAAAGTGCGACGACGAATATCGAAACGTCAATCGAAGCGCCGTTACAGGGTAGGAGCAGGCGAAGGCCGTGGCCACGGATACGAGAAAGGGCGGATGACGCCGGCAGCGACGTTCAGCGTGGGATTGAGGCGATGCTAATCGGGTTGCGGTATCAATAAAGTGACGACGTATTTGCGAAACGACGTCAACGGGGCGGGGAGAGGGGCGGGGGGGCGGGGCGATGGAGACGTGAATCGGGGTACGAGTAATGCATTAATATTTTAAACACATATAGATGGTGCACAGGTTGTATAAGGCTTGCCAAGAAAAATGCACGACTCATAACGGGACCCCCACCATATTTCTCCATTAGCCGATTGGAAGTCATTCAAAGTCAAGGGAGCCGTGGGGAGGCACGGGGGGGGGGGGCTGCGGTTTTAAAACCGTTTGGGCCTGAAGTTGCCCAGATTCCAACAGCCAAAGCCAGCCCCTTGGGGCGTCACTGCCGGAGCGGGGGCTTTCCTCGTCGGCCAAACTTCTCCAATCGATCTGAATCACGCGGCCCTTCGCATGTTAAAGCAACTCGACCGTTCGTATGTACACGTGCGCGGTGCACACGGGGGGGTCCCCCCCCCCCCACCACTTCCCACCCTTAACATTACAAACACGCGGTGATTAGTCGTCGAAGGTGGAAACGTGGGCCTCGGTGGTCCCGGAGGACAGGGAGGTTGTCAACATGTGGCCCAAATTACACGCAGGGGGGTTGTGGATGCAAAACAAGACTGCACGCAGAGGCTCCTGGAGAATGTTGATGTTAATTCGCCCAATTCCTTTAAAACTACACAAACTACCGCTGGAGAACAACAGTCTGTGAATGCTTCTCTCGTAATCGCACGATTAGTAATCTCGCTATGTGAACAGACGGTCGAGGTTTTTTGTTTTCTCTCTCTTTCTTTTCTCAGCATAACCCTGAACATTTTGACTCAAAACTTTCCTGACTGCAGGAATTCATATTCTTTGTTCTTTCGGTAAAGTCACGTAGATTCAATTTTTTTTTAAAGCAAAAAAAAACCTACGTTTCGATCGCAACACAAGCGGTTTTCATCAGGCGGAGAGAAAAGTTTATTTATTTTTTAAGTTAATTAAAAATATATATTTTCTATCTGCGTAACTTTACCGAAAGAACCAAGAATAAAAAACATTTATTTAACCCATGCCTAATGTGTAAGAGATTCTCGCAACATATTTCATGCGATATATTATTTCGATAACATTGAAAATTGTGTCGCGATCAAAACGTCTTTGGGTTTTTTTGCTTTTATTTAAAAAAATATATTTTCTATCTATGTGACTTTACCGAAAGAACCAAGAATATGAACCCTGAACGTGTAAAACAAGAGCACTCAAGCCAACTGCTCATTGGCAACTGCATGCAATATCTATACCAACGAGACCGGTCAGGGAACGCACTCAAATCACCGCATACGCACAAACCACGGCAGCATATGCGGATACCTGACGCACAAATGGAAAATTTAAAACTCTCCAGTGTGCGACTCTGGTCATCCAGAACAGACCGTAACAAATGTACAACGGACGCAATGCCCGAACCACAAATACGAAGGAGACGTCACAGCGATACACTCCGTTGCTCGCGACGCTTGCCCAAGTGAATGTAAATTCGTAGCTGTTGCTCCTCATCTACGTAAGCCGTGCGAAAGCAGTGCCAACTCGATGCAGAACATACGTGTATGACCAATACCGATTCTGTCCGTGCACAAGTTGATTACTACTGTGCGAGTCGTGCACCGAAGTGAATCGAGATGATGACGATGTGGGATGAACTTATTGGCGTGTCACACTCGGAAAGATTCAAACGCCAAAGTCGAGCTTCATCAGAAACCTAAACACTATTGAGATGTGCGAACCCTGCGGAATCGGCCGACGCACTCGGGACACTGCGCGTGAATAAACGCTCGGCAGTCGCCACACTTTGCGGTGCGCGACGTCGGCAAGAGTGAAGTGGTGAAGTGGTGTGGTGATGGAGTGGTGGCGGCGGTGAAGCGGTGGGGTGGTGATGGAGTGGCGGCGGCGGCAAAGTAGTGGCACAGCGGTGAGACTGTCAAAGAGGTCGTGGAGGAAATGCAGAGTGAAGGGGAGCCCACTCGAATCGCCGCCTCTGCTGCTGGGATCCCAAATATGCGAGAACGTAAATGGAGTTGATTTACGAGGACTTAAATAAACACGGCTACTGCCCAGATATCACGTTTTTGTGTCGATAACCAAGGGTTATGCAAACCGCAGGATATTAGGTGCCGCCCTGCGCCGTGTACAACACACACACAGCGTGTACGCACGAACGTTCGCAGGTTTATTTGTACGCCGCGCGTGTGTCCGTGTGCGAGCTTGCGCGCGCGTGTGTGCGTGCGATGGAAGGAATTATGGAAATGTTTTCAAAAGTCGGGGCGACCGAATAGTTTTGACAACGGGATATTAAAAGCGCGAGCACCGATAGCTTATTGCGTTTTCCTTTTTTTGCGCCAAAAAAACCTCGCCGACTACAAACGTCAATGCCAGTGTTTCTCTTACATGGCAAGCACTGTTTTATGGCGCAGAACACATACATGAAGTGTCAAAAACAGTCGAGAGAATTAAGTTGGTGCAACTGATTTTTTTTTTTTTACTATGTACTTGTTTTTTTAAAACCTTTTGGCTGCCCTCCATTGCCTGGTTCCATTCCTGACTCGGACACCCTTCTGCATGGAGTTTTCAACGTTCTTCTCCCGTCCCGAGTGAGTTTTCCCCTCCTCCCAACATCGCTGTACCAAGTGTGGCTTTTCTGGGTGAATAGTCATACATTTCACGTATTATTATTGTTGTTGTTGTTGTCATAATGAGTGTTTGTGTGTAATAAGTACTGAAGACGCGTGTTAGTAAGCGTGCAGGCACGTACGTATGCGTTTCCTACGCATGTGCTCACGATGTTCAAATTAAACACCCAAAAAAAATCTGAAAATCGCGTTGGAATACCAAAATTCGTATGATCCAAAAACAGATTATTTTTTTTGCATGTTATTCCATAATGACATCACTTTTCCTGCCAAAAATGTCAAATGGCATCAGCTTAAGCTCTTTGGGCGCCTGAAGTAATATACATAACGTAATGCAAACGAGCCAAAAAATGCGCATCAAAATCAATTTTTTTTCAATATTTTAAATGCAGCCTCAATATATTACTCGACTTGGAAGCTGCTTATGCAGCATCTTTAACGATGGCGAACACCATCGCGAGGCATTGCCGCAGTTTTCACGTACAGCATCGTTAAAAGCGCAACGCGCAGGCGGCGCCGAACAACTGCACTGCGTCGCATTACACGTTGCATTCAGTCATCAACAAACAGGTTTCTTGAAAGGGCGGTTTTTACTCGAGTTTGTCCAAATCAGCATTTAATCGCAGGATAAACACTTCGCTGTTGAATACGTTACAGAAATGCTGCACGAACAACAAAAACATTTGCAACGTTCCCGTTACCAATTTCCTTTGCCCCTTGCTTGAGAGGACACAGAGAACACGGGGGGCGGCGGGAGGGGGTTAACTAACGTCAAATGCCACCCAGTAAATAACAAAAATCGCGCGTTGGTTCGATCTTGCCAGCTTTCGCTGGCGGTCGGTGGTCTAGCTCGTGGGCGTGATCTGATTGAAGAGTTTGTCTTTGATGACTTGAGACATCAGTCCGTGGATCACCTCGATTGTCGTCTTGCAGCTGTGGAGACACACACACACACATGATCCAGGGCCAATTAACATCATGGGACGGTAGTGACAGTCGTGTACAAGTAGGCAAGTGGAAACATCATATTCTCCCTGTATTACAAGATGCACACACATTTCTTACTTTTATGGGATTTTAAAGTAAAAGTTTGGGGTGCGTCTTGTAATCCGGTGGGCGTGTAAACCAATATTTTGAACAGCTTTATACATACCCTGGCAAAATCAACAACTTTATTGCTACTACACATTACCGTATTCTCCGGCCTACAAGCTACACTTTTCTTTCCCAGCATCCGCTCTATATTTAAAAATGTTACATTGGAACACCATCGTTTCCTGTGACTTCCAGAAAGTGTGGGGTGCGTCTTGCTTTCCAGTAGGCCTTATAATCCAAATAATGGCCTGCAACGTAGGTTGCCACGTCCTGGGACCAACGCGTGTGCGAACGGACGGAGGGCATCCGGGCGACCCCTAGGCGACCCCCGGGTCACCTGTCGCGCGTCGCCTTGGTGAGCTTGTCCTCGGGCTTGCGCTCCGGCCCGTCGATGCCCAGCAAGAAGCTGCCCCGGCCCAGCTGCGCTTCGGACTGCTCCAGCTTCTCAGAGAGGTCGAATATCTGTCCCGTCGTGTAGTCGGCGTTCTGCACACGGGACACCCCAATGAGACACGCGCACCACCGTCAGGCTGTACAGACGACGACGACACGAGACTACGACAAAGCCAGGCAAAACAAGGGGCTGCATAACATCCACAACCATTCAGCAAACTAAAAACTAAACTATTTTTTTTATTATTTTGCCAGGTAAGGCCCACGGAGCTATAAAGCTCTTTTTCAGAAGCGACCTGGGCCGCAAGTGAAAGCGCAACGAAGCGGCTTTGCACGTGGAAATTTACAGCAGCCGGATACTCGAAGCGCACGTTTCTAAATGTGGAGGGAAAAACCAGAGGACCCTGAGAAAAATCCACGCAACCACGTGAAGAAGAACATGCAAACTCCGAATATACAAGCGTCAGGGTTGGGATCGAACCCACGATCCACCTGCACATCAGGCGAGGTAGTTAACATCTCGCCAATGTGGCACGCCATCAAATCTGTATTGAAAAAAAAATCACGCCGCAAACAAAATACACGGCCGTCAACACTGCCGAATGAGGACCTCCATACACCATTGCAGGTCGGGTGGGCAGTTTGACTTACTTCCACATGTTGGCGAATAAGGGTCAGTGAAGGCAGGCGACCATAGACGCTGCCGCACAATACAGTACAACAATTGTTTTTGCTGCACTGCCCTCTGCTGAGAGCGTAGCCCAGCAGTGGCCCAAAAATCATCAATTTGTTTCTACGGTGGTCGCCTGTCCAAGTGCTATCGAGGTTCGGTCCCTGCGTAGCTTCCGTGATCTGATGGCATCGGGCACATTCCGGATGATTTGGTCATAGGCCAGACTAGAAACACGCGGCATCAAACGCAGCAGAAGCAAAGCTGTAGGAATTTCAGCAAAGGGAAGAAAAAAAAATAATCCCCATCAAACACCGCTCGGGAATACAATACATAACCTCACGCACACCGGGAATACAGTAAATAAGCTCAAACACAGCGGAAGCAGAAGTGAAAGTAGCGTGCAGATTAAAGCACTTAACAGGACGTAACCCATCAAGGCGAGGGTGGCTTTTGGGGTTTCTCTCAAGGAGGAAATAAATGCAAGCTGAATGCAGCCCAGAGAGGCCGTGCGTAGCCTGCTGGAGTCTGCGTGTGTGTGTGTGCGTGCGCGCATGTGTGTGCCCCGAGTACACGTGTGTTGCTACGGGGAGGTTGCATTAAATTTGTTCAACCTAACGCCGAAATCGAGTGGTGCGCCAGTTGGCGCCCGCCACGGTGGTGATCGGCGAGCCACAGGAAGGGGCTTGGCGTGCCACAGGTCTGCAACCTCTCGCTTAGAAAAACACGAAGCCGAGTCGGCGAGGGCTCAGGGTGTCCGGCCACTGAGACCCCAACCTTCGACGCGGAAAGGCGGCCCTGCCGAGTGAACTTGCGGAACGTGGCTACGACACTGTGATCGTTAACATGAAAAGGTGTCACGGGGTGGCCAGGAGGACCAGGAGGTCGGCGCACCGAGCTGGCACTGCAGATATCCTGGGTTTAAAATCCGGGCAAGTGTTCACGATTACACAAGGTTCTACAAGGTGGCAAGATGTTGAGTGACAGCTCGGTCACCGACCGCTGCAACAATAACAACAAGAAATCCCATCACATTAAATTTCGTGCGCACCTAGTTGTATCTATGTTCTAGTACTGAGAATTAAAAGTAGCAGTTTGACTGTTACGTGACAACGATTACTATCAGTGGGTGGGGAGAGTGCTGCCCTCCCGACTGCGTGGACCAGAGAGTTTACTTGAAGGGGATCTCAAAAACAATTCTACGATATCCGCTTCTGTGGAACATTCCGTAACACGGAGAGTTGCAATGCTCCACAAAAAAAATCTTCACGGACACCGAGAGCACAATCAGGATACAATTGGCACAAATGACAAATTAAAAAACATGAAAATGTTTCATAGCGCACTTCAGTACTTTAAATATTAATATCTGCAAACCAGGAAAGGTGCAGGGGTGGTACTCACAAGCGATCTTTCATTGTAACGTTAACTAGCACAAGACTATCTCAAGCAATCGCACAACCTACATTTTACAACAGAATCCGTATACAAGGCAAGTTCGTTAAGATTAAACAATTCAAGCGGTGTCGCGGTAACGAGGTGCGCAAGTGGTTTACTACGATTTAAGTGATGCCCCATCATTTAACCAGATGCTAGTGGTATTCCAAGCCTAACACCATGAGCTACACTTACAGTGAGGGAAAAAAGTATTTGATCAACCTGCTGATTTTGTACGTTTGCCCACTGACAAAGAAATGATCAGTCTATAATTTTAATGGTAGGTTTTATTTGAACAGTGAGAGACAGAATAATAACAACAAAATCCAGAAAAACGCATGTCAAAAATTTTATAAATTGATTTGCATTTTAATGAGTGAAATAAGTATTTGACCCCCTCTCAATCAGAAAGATTTCTGGCTCCCAGGTGTCTTTTATACAGGTAACGAGCTGAGATTAGGAGCACACTCTTAAAGGAAGTGCTCCTAATCTCAGCTTGTTACCTGTATAAAAGACACCTGTCCACAGAAGCAATCAATCAATCAGATTCCAAACTCTCCACCATGGCCAAGGCCAAAGAGCTCTCCAAGGATGTCAGGGACAAGATTGAAGACCTACACAAGGCTGGAATGGGCTACAAGACCATTTCCAAGCAGCTTGGTGAGAAGGTGACAACAGCTGGTGTGATTATCGCAAATGGAAGAAACACAAAACAACTTCAATCTCCCTCAGCCTGGGGCTCCATGCAAGATCTCACCTCGTGGAGTTACAATGATCATGAGAACGGTGAGGAATCAGCCCAGAACTACACGGGAGGATCTTGTCAATGATATCAAGGCAGCTGGGACCATATCACCAAGAAAACAATTGGTAACACACTACGCCATGAAGGACTGAAATCCTGCAGCGCCCGCAAGGTCCCTCTGCTCAAAAAAGCACATATACATGCCCGTCTGAAGTTTGCCAATGAACATCTGAATGATTCAGAGGACAACTGGGTGAAAGTGTTGTGGTCAGACGAAACCAAAATGGAGCTCTTTGGCATCAACTCAACTCTCCGTGTTTGGAAGAGGAGGAATGCTGCCAATGACCCCAAGAACATCATCCCCACCGTCAAACATGTAGGTGGAAACATTATGCATTGGGGGTGTTTTTTCTGCTAAGGGGACAGGACAACTTCACCGCATCAAAGGGACGATGGACGGGGCCATGTACCGTCTAATCTTGGGTGAGAACCTCCTTCCCTCAGCCAGGGCATTGAAAATGGGTCGTGGATGGATATTCCAGCATGACAATGACCCAAAACACACGGCCAAGGCAACAAAGGAGTGGCTCAAGAAGAAGCACATTAAGGTCCTGGAGTGGCCTAGCCAGTCTCCAGACCTTAATCCCATAGAAAATCTGTGGAGGGAGCTGAAGGTTCGAGTTGCCAAACGTCAGCCTCGAAATCTTAATGACTTGGAGAAGATCTGCAAAGAGGAGTGGGACAAAATCCCTCCTGAGATGTGTGCAAACCTGGTGGCCAACTACAAGAAACGTCTGACCTCTGATTGCCAACAAGGGTTTTGCCACCAAGTACTAAGTCATGTTTTCCAGAGGGGTCAAATACTTATTTCCTTCATTAAAATGCAAATCAATTAATAACATTTTTGACATGCGTTTTTCTGGATTTTGTTGTTGTTATTCTGTCTCTCACTGTTCAAATAAACCTACAATTAAAATTATAGACTGATCATTGCTTTGTCAGTGGGCAAACGTACAAAATCAGCAGGGGATCAAATACTTTTTTCCCTCACTGTAATACCCATTGGCTGGCCGATTAATAAATAGTAAGTTTTTTGTCACATATATTACCCAAGCGGTTTAGAAATAATAATCCTTGGCTGCCACCTTCATTACCATAATTACCCTCCATATCCAAACTTCCACAATTCAAGTGCTCTACTCACTCCCTCTCTCCAACTCCCTTCACTCCATGTCTGCCGCACCAAACTCTGAGCACTCCACCTTCTTCACCCTCTCCGCTCAACCCCTCCTCCTCCTCCTCCTCCCATTGCTCTTCTCGTGTCCCCACGTGGCGGCGAGGCCGAGGCAGGGCACAGCGGGGGCTAAGTGCCAACGCCGGAGGGCTCGTTTGAGTTATTCATCTTCATTAGCGGTCGGCGGAAAAACAATACCGGGGGGTGGAGGGGAGCCCGGGGATACGAGGCTCCATCACGCTCCGCTCTGCCACCCGACCGACGCCAGCGTTCGCCCGGGACGCGCAGGGGCCCGGGAGGTGCGGGACCGCGCAGCAACACCGCGTGCTAACACCGCCACTCAGTCACGCTCGCCAATGCCGGCACACGTCAAGGCCCGGACGTGGGCAGAGGGGGGTTGCCGGGAGGGGTGCGGTGGGTTGGGGGGGGGGGTGGTGGAAGATGCTGTGGCGGTCTGTGGAGGGGGGGAAGGTGGGGTTGGGTAAGGCTTGGGCTACTGGGAGCGGTAGTGATGGAGGGCGTGCGGGAGTAATGATTTAAAAATGTGGATATGTGTATGCACAGCCCATTCTTAATCTGCTGCTGGATAACGTGCTGCTAACAGGGGAACGTTTGACCATACTTCACCAAGATGCTTTGCGATGGTGTTTATGTGCAGTCATTTGATGACCGGGATGAAACCAACTCCACCACACATGAGACAGCCGGTTCAAGCATCGAAAACTCAATGGTGCCAGCTCAGCATTCTGACCTCCAAGCCACGTGGCCACTGCTAAGAGAGGCTGTCACTTTGTTGCCGAGTAAAGCAAACTGTGATTTGGTAACGCTTACGTTTGGCTAGCATTGCGCTCACAACCCAGCTAACATCACTCATTATGAGTGACATCTGAACTGGTACTGGCACGCCCCCCCCCCCCGTGCCGTATCTCTTTCGCCAACACACATACATACACATACACGTGCAAATTCACATATCCGTGTCAAGCTAGGTGGGCTATGAGACTGAGCCGTGACACGGAGGAGGAGGCACTGAGCAGAGGGTGCCGGGTCACGGAGCAGACGTGTAACTCCGTCACGCCATGCGCTCGGGGTCGCGACCCCCCACGCAAGCGTCTCTAAGAAGACCCTCATAGTCCCTCTGCTGAAAATATAAACAAATACGCATAATGTGATGACACAGATTATCGTTACCATACTTTCCGTGGTGCTTTGCACTACTTACTACTTTGGGGAATGAATGCAGTACAAAGTAGGGTGTTTGTTCCCCCTAGGTCGGGGCTCGGCAAAACAAATTTACAAGAAGAGCCATTTGTTTTCAATTTGGTAAAAAAAAAAAACCTCAATATTTCAATGAGCCGCAATGCAATGTGAATGCGAGACAGTGGTCATTAATAAACAACGTCACGAAGCAGTGCTTTCAGAGCCGCATGCGGCTCCGGAGACGTACGTTGCCGACCCCTGGTCTCGTCATTTCAGTTTGAATGGCAGTTAATGACAAGTTAAATTGTATTTAAATGTACAGTACTTTTGTTTATATCTTAATGCGTGAATATATGCTACAGATCTTAATATCCTCTGTGTACGGGAGGTTGAAGTTATCAACAATATCGAAAGATATGTGAATGACAAAGCATCAATTAGGGTGCACGTATTGCAATGTGAGCTGATATGTGTGTGTGTGTTGCGTGTGTCGTTCAATGTGTTGTGCTGTGGGGAGCGTGAGCGTACCAGCTAGTGCGCTGGGCTAAAAACCTAGCGACCCGAGTTCGATTCCCGGTCATGGCCAACAAAAGTGACAATTATCTGAACCGGTCCTGGGCCTCCCCTAGGTCGACTCAGCCTCAAAATGAGTAGCTGTTGCGGTTTGTAAACATTGCCACTAGGGAGGCAAAGGCGGCCGGGTGTGGTGGTGGCCACCAACCCCCTCGTGTGCCGTGCTGGCCTTCATAGGTGCTCGATAACAGCACTTGCCCCAACAGTCTGCTAAAGAATATATGGGGGATCTTTGCATGTCCTTGTTGTGCAGTGCCGCTGTGTTGTGCAGTTTGCATTATGCAGTGCAAGTGTAGTGTGTGTGCTTTGTGCAGCTTGTGTGTGTGTGGTGTTGTGTGTAGCACGGAGTGTGTGTGGTGCGGAGTTTGTGTGTGCTACACCGGCCGAGCACCCATGTTACGGAGTTACACGCAATATCAAGTAACGTCTACAAGGCGGCGACCCATGACGGTAACCACACACTGAGCAAGTACAGGGGGGCCTTCCACGCACGCTCAGCATCGCACGGACACGCGACCGTGCGCCCGTTCCCACAAGCGTGCGTCTAACAATCACAATCACACACGCAACTGCAACCGCGCAAGCGCTTACAATCAAAAACATTTGCGCAAGTAACAATCACACGTACAATTAAGCTCCCAACTTTACCCATAAGCTCAAACGCACACAGGAACTCGCTTTACGCGGAGGAGCGTTTGATTTTTCCACCCCACCTCCCTCACCCCTCCATTTTGAGAGCAGGATGCTGACAGAGGCCGTGAATGTCGAGGACACATAATATACCCAGTAGTGCCGATACGAGACCTCCTCCGCCATCACACTGGCACCAGCAAAGCTTCTGCCTTTTCATGCTTGATCCTGGATATACCTCTGCGTAGAGGCGGCGTCACAGGAAAAGGCGAGAGCCCTTTCTTGTCAAAAACGCTGACTTTTTGAAGCCGTAGCCTCTTGCCCAATGCCTCTGCATCTGCTGTCCCAGGGGGGGGTCCAAAGAGGTGGTGCTTTGAAATTTTCCATTCACAGAGCACTGTGTCCTCCCCTCTATCAGTTTGGCAGGGCACGTGCTTGAAGCTTAAGGGCAAAGTGGAACGTGCCCCCCGGGTTCAGTCAGAGACCCCTGTAGGTCTTTAAGCTTCTGCACCCAATCTGTGTGCATCCTTACGTAAGTCTCAAAACATGCGTCCATGATAATTAATTTATGGCTTTGGGCCAGGCCTGATAATTGGTGCCCTATGTTGTGCACCATGTCTTACCAACGCTTTTCACTTTTGTGCATTGTAAAGTGATTTCTCCCATTACCGATCATCATAAATGCTGAGCATCTGCCTCGATTAGAGGCCACACTGTGTGGTGGCTCAAGTATTCTTTTTTTGTATGGCAAGGTCAACTTAACAACATTATACGTGTATAGCGAGGTTAAGCCATTCGATAGTCTCGGTGTATGCTTGGTGGATGTTGCCAATGTTGCCCGTGAACCAGCGGTGCGGGCAGCGTGGGATTATGTGATGCATGGTCTGTCAATCGACGACATAGGTAGCATGGGATTGTGAGATGCGTGGGTTGTGAATTGGCCACCCGGGCTGCGTGAGATCATGTACTGCATGGTCCGTGAATCAGCGATGCGGGCAGCGTGACAGTGTGGTGCATGGTCTGTGAATCGGCAGAACAAGCACTGTGGGATCATGTGCTGCGTGGCCTATGAATTGGCGGAGTGGGGCAGGGTTGGATAATTGCATCTGCCAGCCCCAGTTTTGCAGGGATTTAGGGCTGACCACCGTTTCCTGGGTAGGAGTCGAACCTCGGGAGTTATTGGCTCCACGGTGCCGCCATTATTCTATTCCTTATCATCAACTATCATCAATCCACTGCTGGACGAGGGTCTCCTCAACTCTCCTGCCACGTGACAATCCATCCAGTGGCCTGCACACGCCACGATGCGTTTTCGGGTTGTGCTGCAAACCAAATAACACAACATCATGGAACCCGGTGTAAAATTAAAAAACACATCAGACAGAAAACAAACAACCACATGTCAAGCGGCAGATTGCACAGGCACGCGCCGCCGCCGCGTGTTACCGTGAGGAGGCTGGACGAGCTCAGAGTGTTGACCCAGTACTTGTTCCACAAGAGCTCCAGCAGCTTCCTGTCGAGCGACGACTTGAAATACGTCACTTCCAGGGCGTAGTACCTGCGATGCAGACAGCACGTCGGGGCGAGCCAGTTTGTCACCTACGTGCTACACGCACCGTGCACCACAGCACACCCACACTGCATCCACGTGGCTCGCAATCGGCAAGATTGGGAGTTCAAATGCTGGTTGGGGGTTAACTCGGCCCATCATCCCTCCGGGGTCGATACAATTAATACCCCTTCATGGGGGTAGTCAACAGTGGTTGTATTATGAAAAGACTCACCTCCACCATAAGAATGTGTAATTTCCACTACTGGGTCTGGGCTGTAAACGGGAAATGAGCACTGCCTCAATGCTCATTTGAGCAAGAAATGACCGACGTATAGACTCATATATATTATGAAAAGACTCACCTCCACCATAGGAATGTGTAATTTCCACTACTGGGTCTGGGCTGTAAACGGGAAATGAGCACTGCCTCAATGCTCATTTGAGCAAGAAATGACCGACGTATAGACTCGTATATACGACGTCAACGACGTAGAAATTCAATTTCTCGGGCACCGTAAACTAATAACATAAAGCACAAAACATTCATTTTAAATGCAGTTCGGTGGAATGGAGTCCACGACTGTGAGGTGGGACCGAGTTCAAGAGCTGCTTGTCATTAGCTCGGGTGCAGTCACCGTCATTCACAATCAGAAGTGGCAAGTTAGATATTTTTTTCTCCCCGGCAAACATGTGACTTACCACATTAGAAAACCTAAGCATGCCATTAAATGTAATTGACTTGGAACAACAAAACACAAAATCAAATGAAACACAACAGCCAAGAATGTTAGTGGCTACCGGGTACCGTTGCCTTGGGGCAAGTGAAGTCTTAAGAGTTTGGCAGTGGCCAAAAAGTGAGCCCTGCTGCTGCTGCTACTACTACTCTCATGTCTGTGCTGCTAAACGCTCAACTATTAGCAAGACAGCATGACGAAATCAAACACAACGGCAACCAATATCATCCATCTGCTCTCGGAAGCTAATGTGAGTTGGATAGTGCTTGGATGTGTGCCCACCATGCATACAACAGGTGCTATAAAGTGTGTGTTGTGGGCAGCAGACGGAAGTGCAGAATAATTATTTGTTGCGAACTGCATGTCAATGCTCCTTGCCATAAACCCACACCACTGACCAGGGTGATAAAGTATAGCCAGATAACCCTCATGACGAGCATGTACAACCACAGGAGTGCGGGAACATTGACACATAACGCTTCAGCACAGCAATACCCCATGTATTACTGCACTGCGTATTTGCGCGTCTGTGTGCGTGGCTTGAAAGGAAACAGTTATTTTCTCGATTTTTCTGACAGTCAAATAAAAAAAACGGTCAATATACTTGAGTGTACTTCACAGTGAAAATTAAATAAAAGCATATAGGCTTACTTTCTTATTATTTTCAAATTTGTTGAAATGTTCGGGCAAATACAAAAAACGTTTACAGTGATCCGGGCAACTGATCGTTTTGCAGCTTCATTTACAATGGGAGAGTGCGGGTCGATAACAAAAAAATGCATTTGAAGGTTGAATTGAGTCTCAAATGTTTCAGGAAACACGTGGAGAGACGCCGTGATCAATTTACAGCAACTCACTTCCAGATTCGGTGGCATGGGGTCGAAAGCTCTCACGCACATTAAGTGCGCATACCCTAGATCCATGCATCCGCACGCCTGCAACCACCGCCAGCGGCGTAATGTGGTTGGCATGGGCCTTGGTGCAACGAATTAAATGGGGAGAGGCTCTGCCCAAATTCCCCCCCCCCACCCCTCTTTGTATCCCGGCGCCTGCATCTCTCCCCCCCGTCTGACCCATGGACCCTGAAGCAGTTGTGCAGTTGCACCATCTGCACACCACCCTTGATTGCTATACCGATGACATCCGCCATCCAATCGCGTGTACGGACGGACGCGCACACGATGCAACCGCTCGTGCGTGTGTAGGTGAGCTCGCACGTGGCCGAAAGAGTGAGAACCGCTCCACATCAAGGGCACGTGTGTGGGGAGCCAGTGTAATTTTACAGACAATTTAGGGGTAACAAAAGCCGAGATATTGTTACATAATGTCAAAGTGTGTTAAATATGTCAAGAGTTCTTAAAATCAATTACGGATATACTTGACGTTCTCAACTACTGTGCTATATTTCAAAATGCCGATGGCATATTGGATTACCGTAAATAAGCATCCACGCATGCACGTGCAAACCAGCACTCGTTTACACACTTGTGTAAACAAAGACACAGATCCCCCGTATAGGCTTAACGGACCATTGGGGCAAGTGCTGTTAGCAAGCACCTATAAAGGCCGGCACGGCACATGAATGGGTGGGTGGTCAGCACCACGCCCAAGTGGTGAAATTTATGCATCGCACCAGGTAGTCATTTGAGGCCGGGTCGACCTAGGGGAGGGCCCAGGACCGGTTCAGATAATCGTCACTGGTGTTGGCCGTGAGCAGGAATCGATCTCGGGTCGCTGGGTTCTTAGCGCAGCCCGCTAACCGCTGCACTCCCACTCCCCACAAAATTGTGCACATTCACAAGCAAATAATCCTGTGCTCACACACCAATACACACATATACATGCTCATACAGAGGTCTTCCATACAGTCGTTTACAGACTGTTAGCATGAGCACTGTCCACAAGCACACATTACGGAAGGCACGATGCACAAGGTGATGGAGATGTGGCCAGCACCACGCCCGGCCACCTGAGCCTGCCCAGTGCTGATGTTTAAACACCGTATCAGGTACTCATTTAAGGCCGAGTTGACCTAAGGAGAGAAACCGGTTCAAACATTCACCACTGATTTTAACCATGGTATGGGAATCGAGCTCAGATCGTTTGGGTTCTTAGCACAGCGTGCTTTCCACTACGTCACCGATACACACATATGTACACATGGGTAGACACATACATGCATCCCATTGGATACACACGCACAAGCATGCAATGCACACAAAACACACGCACCCACACACGCACCGGTAGCACGAAAGTCATGGCCCGGCATTCTTCTACACGTCCCACGGGCCGCACAGCGCGCCGGGCGGAAGCAAGGATCGCTGGGTGCAGCCATGCACACACGCACACACAAGCTCACAAGCTCACACGCACACATGCATGCAAGCACGCGCACACCCGAGCTCACACAGTTGCCCACAGTCACGCACACTCGCACAGACACGGACGCAGACACACACACACGCACGTCAGCATATGCACACGCTAACACACACACTCATGCACACATACAGACATGAACACTCACACACGCTCATGCACGGAAACACAGATGCACACATACACACAAATGTAGGGCGCCCACACCCCTAGTAGCCCCTCCCCCCGCCAGCACCAAATCTTAGCAAGCTGTCAATTGGCAATGTCAGTTAAGTAAAGACCCTTTGACTCAGGGCGGAGGACGTACAATATAGTGTAATGAATATCCTGGGCTAGGGGCATAGGGTTGAGGAACCTCCTCCCACCACCCCACCCCCCACCCACTAAAGTGGCCACTCCGACGCCAGTGCTTGGCTGAGCGCATGCTCCAGCCGGTCTCTTGGTTCAGTGCCAAGGGATTCGATGAGCACGCCCAGGCTGCATGGCTAAGTAGTGGACTTCCATTGGAGATAAATTACAATGAAATATCGCATGTGAGTACCACTCCTGCCAGCCCCACATGTTTCCTGGTTTGAAGTGATCCATCAAACTTCTTCATGCTTCAGAAATGTTTAGTCCTTTCCCATAATTGTATGCCAATTTGTGCTGTCGGTGTCATTTCATGAGACAGCGTGTATATTCGGAGCTCAAGCAGAGGAGTGCACAACCATTCGTGTTAGAGAAAGGGTCCATAGAAGCGGATACTGCAGTGACTTCTGAGATCCCTTAAAGTGACCTATGATCCACATAGTAGAGGCCAGAACGTTCCTAGCCACTGCCACAGAGCATTATTCGTTGCACCAGAGTATAAGTCATATTTTTTTTATCATAGCTGGAATTATAAAATTAGGTGCAGACCCAAATAAAATGTGCTGCTTTGTCCCATTACATGTATGCTGTATCAGTGACTCAGACATTGGTTACACATTAGTCGAGGTTGGTGAACCTGTTGCTATATCACTGTACAACACAACATTGGGCCATTGTGTACAACAAAGGCCAAATCCCAGTGGTGACATTTAGATGATAACATAGTCGTCAAACTTAATTTTTGTTTAAAGTTTCAAAATAAATGTTAAATGTTCATGGAATATCAACTCGTCAATTAAAGGATGAAGAAATTAATTGATTTGGAGCCATTCATGCAGTAATGGCAACATTCGCTGGATAGACCCCCATGCAACAATCAAAAACACATATGTGAGGTTTTTTTTTCCTAAAATCATCACGAGTGAGTAACACGATTTAGTGACGTGTGTGGGAAATGCCCTTTTTCCGCATACAGTATTTTCAATTACAAGTGTTGTGCGCAGCTGTTAAATGCTCTTTCATTCCCGAAGTGGTATAAGACTAGTGAATTGGCGCCACCTTGTGGAAATAAAAAAACCTCAATACAATCGCCGATAAAACGGGAAACAATATAACAGGCGACGACGTTCCAGGGCAGCGTCTCGACTTCGTATCACACGTCGATATAGTGCGGGATTACAAATGCATAAGGACATGCATCATCACCATCAGCCACTGTCTAAAAAATATCTACGGATTGTTTTCATGCATGAGACATGAGCGTAAGCAATATCCGTACCAATGAATCAACGCATCGCTGCATGTCTAAAAGAATGCGCTATATAATCTTTCACTTTACTGGCATCTCAAAAGGCCCAAGTAAGGTGTTGCTCAAATGAGCATTGAACTACTGCTCATCTCCCATTCACAAGCCTCAGCCAAGTCTAAGCGTAAGGCAGCCAATGGCAACTTCCCTCACCATAAAGTAGAATTCTTTCTACGGACCTTCAGATAAATTACGGAACGAATTAACCCCCCCCCCCCGCACCCCCACCAGGTTGTGAACTCGCAAACCATCGCTCTACCACCGTGCCACCTGGCATATGTTAAAATAGTACTGTATTAACAACACTCACTGTTTGCAGTGCACTCCAAAGTCTTCTATTTTGTTGAGAGGGATGGTCTGGTACTCCGACGGTCCTTCATCCGGTGGTTTGTATCCCTGCAGCCCGCACGAAAGAAAAAAACAAAGCTCCGCCATATATCCATGCAGACTGCTGGGGCAAGAGCTTTGAGTGAACATCAATAATGGCTGGCATGGCAAAGCAGGGGGTTGTGTGTGGCCAGGACCAAGGATACACGCTGCACCAGGTAATTGTGTACGGTTGAGCCAACCAAGGGGAGAGCCCAAAACAGCTTCGCAAGTCGACGTGTTTTTTTTATGGCGTCTAATGAATGGAAGGGGTGGCATTAACTCATTACGTAAACCATGCACACATTTAAAAAAAAATTCGTACATGAACGATTATACCTATGAAGCGTGAGATTAATATCCAACATTAATAAGTGCATCATTATATCCCGAGTGTAACATTACACCCCAAGTATATTAGCAAAGCCCAACCGCCACTCACTTTTGGGTAGGTGCGGAAAGCTCCGAGGTTCACTTTCCCTGCGGATATCGTGCGCGTTGGGTCGATCTATAAGAGACAAAAAGTGGAGGTATTGATCAAAGGCTAAAATCATCAGCAAAAGGTAGCTGTAGCAGCAAAGCCACAGGAAAATAACCACAGGGTAAATAGAGGCCACAGGGCCTAGAGTAATCACAGCAAAGAGTTGAGCCACAGGGGGCATATTCTCCAGAGGTAGTGATAGCTAGGGTTGCCGTCAAAATATTGTATCGTGAGAAATGATATTGTGGCAGCCCGAGCGAGAGTGATAGCAAATCCTCACCACAACGGCCACAAAGGGCTCCTGGAACTGCTGGTTCAGCATCTGCGTGCTGACATCAATGCCGGAAAGCCAGCAGCCGTATCCGGGGTGACTATGGTACCAGCCGATGGCGTTTTCTAGCCTGCCCACCTATAAAAATGCACGCACCACCCACACATTCACAAGGGACGACCAGGGCAAGCAGACATTCAAGGGAGGTGATGGCTTGGAAAGGCCTTCATACGGCAGTGTACTGACCGAGGCCGATCCGACGGCGTTTGACGGCGAGACGAACCTGCTTGGCGTTCTCGATGTACGCGGCCATGTACTCGTAGGCGGCGGCCTGCGCGTTGACGCGCGTCTCGGTGCCTTCCACGGGCAGCGCGAAACTGTCCATGATCATCATGGTGTCTCCGTCCACCTTGCCCAGCATGAGCCCCATCACCTCCAGGTTACCGCCCGAGCGCGCGTGCATCACCATCTTGAGCAGCGCCAGAGCCGACACCTTGCAGCACTTGAAGTAGTGGTGGCTGCGCACCAACATCGCACATTCGTAGCGGAAGCGTCGCTCGCATGAACAGCAGCTTTTACAAAAAAAAAGTTTTTGGTGAAACAGCATTGGTGGTTGTGCACAAGCACAAACAAACGCCGTGGTGCTAATCCCTCACACCAACATCATGCTGATCCCCCAGTTACATGCTAATTTATATGTAAACTCCCCTCCCCCCTCCTCCAGTCCCAGCTCGTTCGCTCTCCGTAATGCTAATCTCCCAGTGACATGCTCTTTTGTCAAGGGTCTCTGTTCCTCTCCCACAGCTTAAAAGACGCTGTCAAGCTTGACAGGGTTCACTCAAGCGCTGTCTTCTGGACAGTCCTGTTTCTTCACCTGAGGACGGATACTTGTGTTGTGGCTGAAACGTCGTGAGAATTTTATTGTTTTATTTTATTCTCATTCTACGTGACTTGACCGAAAGAACCAAAGAAGAAGAAACGACACGTATTCAATGAATACACTGCCCTAGAATGAAATATATATGTAGGGGACATTTCGGGAAATGGCCCTTCTTCATAGCTCTGTCATGGAGGGCGCAAAGTTGCCGATTATATATTTACCTTTTTGGCAGCATTAATGACGAACGTGTTGAGTTTTTTTTGTTCAAATAGTTTACACCATTCAACAGTCTTGTTGCAAAGACACGAGCAGCAGTGTTTATTTTTTTGGCAAATGCCAAACTCACGCATTCGGCGTCTCGTTCTAAGAGCAGCAATTCCAGTCCTCACGCACTTCACGTCTCGCGCAGTCCAGCGAGGCATCACGCAACACCAAACACAACCAGCCGTTAACCACTAAATCGTGGTGAGGTCACCACGCCACTTGTGCCATGCTAGGTGCACTTTGAGAAAACGTGAAGCGTCGCCGGCGCACTGGAAGGTCACGCAACAGACCCAGGTCCCATGGCTTGACTGAGATGACTGGCAGATGCACCAACTGTGCTCCCCAAATGTGCCAACTTTCTGCGTTTTAGCTGCCCGGGGGCTCTCCGCGCGTTGTTGTGAGCGTCGCTCCTCTGCCCTCCGTTGTTGCTGGAGAGCGACTGCGTCCAACTGCCCAGCAGCGTCCTTCACGAACCTCCTTCACAGAGGCCGATCTTGACACCTCTGGTGCCAGTCATCGGCAAGTCAAATCAGCTCCACGTCCTTCTGTACATCAGCCCATCTCTTCTCTAGCCCCATGACACACCAATACCAACACCCGCCATTCGCCACTAAGTGACGGTGACGCCACCACGGCGCCTGGGCCGGGCCAGGTGCACTTTTGAGGCCACGTGAAGTGTCGAAGGCTCGGTGACAGGTGGTCACAGGGGCATGAGCCAGCAGGTGCCATGGGTTGACCGACTCGGGATGGCTGGCTGACACAACACAAGAGTCAAGCAACACGCATCCCCTTCATCACACCGACCACTCGTCAACCTCACGACAAACTCGCGCAATGTCCACACACACCCCCACCCCCCACCACCACCTCAAAGACGTCTGAAGCACTGAAATCGAATCCGGTGGCACTCACGCACGCGTCGCTCAGGGAAACCGTCGCGCGTTAAGTCACCATTCACAAAAAGGTAAACTTTATTCGCCGGCAACGTGAATTTTGTTTAAAAAAAAATCACTCTTTGGAGGGGTAGGGGGTGGGGGGCCGGGCCCTACAATCCGAGGCCGAGGCGCTACTCGCCTAGCCGGGCGGCGACACTCACTCTTTGCTCCAGGGCTTGGCCGCGAGGATCTCCTGCTGCTGCTTCTTGTCGTACTTGTAGATCTCGTCCACGTTCTGTAAATCCTGCATGTTGTTCGCCATCTCCCACGTCTTCTGCGCCATTGAGGTGCCACCGCTGCCTCCGCCACTGCCGCTGGGACCGCCCGACGCCATCTTGGCAATGCCCAAACACCGCGTGACGTCACCGACAGCGGCGCCGTGGCCCCCCCCCTCCCCCTCGCGGTAAAAACATCGCGACGGCGACGACGTCATCACGCAAAGGTAGGAGGACGCGACGTGGTGACGTCATCGCACAATTGCGCCGTCGCGCTGGAAAACGTTGCGCGTGGTGACGTCATCGCGCAACGGCGGCAGCGCGTAAACATTGCGCGGTGACAATCATCGCGCAACGGCAGCTTGGCATCTCGGGACCACCGTCGTCACGCCGCAAAACGTTGGCTCGGTTGTGACGTCGTCGCGCCCCACGCGCAGCAACCGTACGCGGCGACGCGGTGACGTCACCGCGCAAAACAAGTTGCACGCGGCGATGCGTGGCGCGTGTGCTCACGTCATCGCGCGGCAACGTCGCGCGTGTGAATCGAGAATCGACGTAGACGATTCGCGATTGCGCCGGATCGATCGCCGCCACCGCCGCCGTATTCGCCCTTGGAGAAGCTAGGAGCTTGCCGAGAGAGACGGAGGATGGCGGCGCGGTCGAGTCTCAGATTCGCGTCCCCCGCGCTCAGGGAGCTGCGTCTGCACCTGAGCCAGAGCTCAGAGGCGAGCCGCGGGGTCAGGTGCGGCCCGCACGGGGACAGGGGGGGGGGAGGGGACGGGGAGACTGTGAGGGAGGCGAGGGACCGAGTAAAGTGGTTGGGGAGAAGGCCTCGACTGGACTCGGTGTTGTCAGTAACGTGGTCCTTGTGCGGGAGCTAGCAGGGCGCAAACACCAGCATGGCTGTGTTGCGTGTGTGTATATACCGGGGACTGCAGCGGGCTTGTTGGCAGCGGGCGACCCGAGTTAACGCCAGTGTGACGACGTTCTAAACCCAGCCCTGGGCCTTCCCCGAGGTCGACCGGTGCAGTGTGTTCAGTATCACAGTGAGCAAACCCAATGCACTAACATCACGATGCCGTGCCTCACCACCACCACCCCCCAACCCCCACCACGTGTGCAGGGAGTTCATCGAGGCTCGCTTTGTGACGCTCAAGACGGAGAATCCCAACCTCCCGGTGCTCGTGCGGGAATGCCGCGACGTTCCGGCCCGCCTCTGGGCGCGATACGGTAACGGCACACGCGAATCGTGCACTTTGCCCTGCGCAAATAACCAAAGGGGCCTCCTTCGTTTCTTCTCCAAGAGGGGAAAGCTACCACATTTCTGGGAGGCTCAATCCCATCCAAACCCTGGACTCGAACACTCCTTTTCCACTGGCACGTCCGAGCCGAGCCAGCGCTGGGCTCTCGTTGCACGGGTGGGTCGGTCACCGGTTTTCTCTGCCGTCCCGGAAAGCAAATCGTGGTACGTTGACGGAACAACGCTAATGCTATTTTCTCGAGACACAAAACACGTCCAAGGGGCGGAGCTAAAGGCCTCTTTAATTGTGACGTCAGTCTATTACCGTGAGAAAGTTTAACGTTTCACCGTTAAAATTTCTCACGTTGGCATGATGCAAGTGGCGCGGCTTTGCTTTTTCAGTAGGAGGGTGGGGGGGAGAAAAAAAACTGTGCCTTCCGACCCGGGACGACCTGGCTCGGCTTCGTTGTACCAATGGAAAAGGAGACAAAAGTGTTATCCCAAGTGTATATTTGCATGCGCGTGATGTTACGTGCATGTTCTGCTCCGCAGCCTATGGCCAAGAGCGAAGCGTTCTGCTGGACAACCTGAGCGCTGAGCAAGTCACCAAGGAGGTGGAAGCCCTAGCCAACGCCAAGGTCTAAGCGGCGAGAAGACCCAAGAAGCATGCTGCCCGTGTCGCGGTGCCACGATACGGCCTTTTAGATGGCCCGGGTTGGCAATACAAGGCCGTTCATAATGGTATCGCCCATGATTGAAGGCTTATAATTCGACAGAAGTTTGAGCTGCGTGGTTTAAATGTCAGCAGGATATTCCTTGTATACACAGGTTTCTAACAGAAGTGTTGGGAGCGATCTTCCAACCCACACAAATGAAGCATTAACCCAACAAATTGGCATACACCTGGGACTCTTGAATATCGATACGGTGTTTTGCCGTAGCAGGCTTGTGGGGGTTTTAGAAGGACAAAGTTCACGATAAAATCTTCAGACGAAAAAGCATGTGTCCACAGGTGCCGTGGTGACGTCACTACGACTTGAGAGGCAGACGGCATTTGTAGCTTTATTAACCTAGCTCAAACTGGTAATTGTAATTATTTGATGATGGACGGCACCAATATAGACAGCCAGGATAATGTTGTGGCCAGCACCACAAATTGGACATGAATCCATCCTACTGCTCTAAACGCAACCTATTTAAAAATATAAACATTGTTCAAAATGACTGTAAATAATAAACAATGATGGTTGTGATTATTGGAAGTGGTGGCTGTGTATTTTCAATCACTGTATATACATAACACTTGGGACATTTGCTCAGGGAGCGAAGTGCAATTTTCCACATGCACTTCCAAACATTGTTAGACTGGGCTGACAGCAGAACCTGACCATGGGGCATGTATTGTGTGCAAAAAGTGAATGAGTAATGCTTTTGAAGTCTAAGCAGCCTGTGCTTTTACATTTAGCCGTATTTAGCAATGTTTTAAAAGCTTAAGGGATACATGCTACCTGTAGGTTACCAGGCCAGTTATAACTTAAGTCAATACTTTGGTATGGCAGCCCCACCCCCAATCAAAACCGCTACTGCCCCTTTATCCCCACCGCCAGAATGTACTCGATCTCACAAGCCGAGTAGTGTTGAGCCATGATAGCACTTTGATGGGTGACCACCATGCATAAAAAGTGTGTTGTAAGCTGCTCAGGGGTCTGTCTTCTCAGCAATGAGGGCAGTGCAGCTAAATTCATCGCATTGTACTATACGCCAACGTCGAATGCTGCCCACCCTACAAAACCCGTATTGACCAGTTGGGTAAAGTTTGGCCAGATAACCTTCATGACCCGAATGGCATGGGGAGGCCCTCGTCCTGCACTGGTTTTATAACAGAGCTGCACACATTATCCTCGGCTACAATTGGCACATGAAACGTGATTTTAAGAGCCGATGGAAATTATTTATATTTACAAATATCACAGTTTTCTGCACGCGTTTGAACCCAATGCACCCTAGGAACCAATTCATCAAATTAGCGCAAAAGCCATTATTGTTCACTGAAAAGTTGCAAAAGAAATGAGCGCTACACTTTTAGAGTGGCATATGGAGACAATCAAGAACGCACAGATGAGAGAACATACACCGCGGTTCAAGGCATACTGACTTAAACAAAGCAACTGGGTAGGATGCATCTCGAAAGGGGATTATGTCCACTGGACCGGAGGGAACACACCTAGGAATAACGTCCACCGTGGAGGTGGAACGATGAACTCCACTCGTTTGCTTTTGCAGGTGCTGGGTGAATACATCGCAAGACTATGACCAACGGCAACGGCCTGGAAAGGCGTTCATTCACCAGTGGATTTATATTGAGGCTGATGATGCGGATGGCTTTTTTACCATCCAGGGAGTAGGTTCAACTGCTAGCCATCCTTGGCTCGGGTAAAATTTCAATCGTCTGGCATTGTTTGTAGCGCGGCGTGCATTATTCATTTGGCAGGGCACGTGGTGATCGGCTCCAGCTTTTCCGCGAGAGACTGCAGCCAGGAAGTCCCGTTGATGAGCTTCGTGGTCCCAATGACGTAATCGGTGTTGCTGTCCTCGGACTGCCCGAGGAAGCGGATCGCCGAGATCTCGGCGCTCGTCACGCCGCCCAGGAAGAGGACGAGGGTGATGCGTGACCCCGTATCGCCTGCGCAGCAGCACACACATTCATCAGAGCCATCGTACACGCCCATTAACGCATGCAGTTTGTCCAATTGTCGCAGAAACCATTGTGAACATGCGCATTTACAAAATGCAGTCTCTGCCTGGCGTATGCCCTCAGAACCGCTGTAGTGTATGCATTAAGGCATGGGCCGTGGTGCAAGCAATGAAATTTACAAATTTACATTTTTGGGCAATGTGTAAATTTCAGGAGTAAAGCGATTCCTGCCTTTTACAAATTACGCGACCAGACTGCGTGACGGGCATCAGTCGGCCAGGAGGAGGGGGCAAAGACATGTGGACGCTGTGCGGCTCACGTTTGTGAGCGAGCCCCGTTGGAATCGGTTGCTTCTCGTGGAACTCGGGCCCCGGAAGCAGCTTCAGGGCCTCCTCGATGACTCTCCAGCCAGGGCGCGTGCTCAGCTGAGCCAGTCGGACGGAGAGCGGCGCGTAGCCGCTGTACACGTAGGATACGTCCGTGGGGGCCTGCGACGGGAAACAGCGCGGCCACCACAACCCGGCTGGAATCGGGCACTACCACTTCAAGGTGCGGGCAAACACGAGTCGGAATGTCCTTAACGCAGCCAAACGAACGTAATGCAGCACGCATTTCGGCTGGTCTCAGACAAGTGACACAAAGGTGTCCCCCCCCCCCCATGTAGCGTTAACAGACTGTTGGGGCAAGTCCTGTTATAGCAAGCACCGACAAAGGCCGGCACGGCACACGAGGAGGTGGGTGGCCAGCACCACACCCGGCCACCTTTATCTCCCCAGTGGGGATGTTTACACACCATACCAGGTTCTCATTTGAGGCCGAGTTGACCGAGGGGAGGCTCAGGACCGGTTCGGATAAATCATCGCTGGTGTCGGCCGTGAACAGGAATCGAACTCGAGTCACCGTGTTGCTAGCGCAGCACGCTAACCGTTGCACGACCGCTCCCCACAGAGCACAGCACCCAGCATCACAAACTAGGCCATGAAACGAAACAGCGTGTCCACAAGTGGATATACCATGTCCCCGCTTATAAGGGGATTTGATTGGAGAACATGCTGGGCATCTGAAAAAAAGAGCTTCAGAGCTCGTCGGATTTCTCCAGGATAAATAAAGCTTCCGATTCTGAAATACGTAGGTTAAAGAGGTCACATTGGGACAAACGACCCGGCTGGGTGGTAGCCGAAGGAAAGCACGCACCAGAGAGGACGTTCACCGTGAAGATGGAGCAACGAAGTCAGCTCGCGTACCGGTGCCAGGTTTATGTTTAAATCGCATGGCCGTGGGGGGTGGCGATGGCTTGGGGGAGGGCGAAGCCTTCATCCAGCAGTGGATTGATCAAGGCTGATGACGACCCGCCCCACTCACCCTTTCGTTGACGTCGGTTTGGTGGAGCCGCAGGGTTTTGCGGAGAGTAGGGAAGTTGTTCCGTCCTGGCGGCTGCAGCTTCAGCAGGCCGGCTTTCTCCAGGTTGAACAAGGTGAGCATGTGCTCAAACCCATACGTCTGTCACGAGCAACACATCCAGCAGTGGATTGATGAAGGCCTGCATATTGTACAATCCGGTGGATGGTTAAATTCATTTAGGTCGAGTGCTGAATTTTCCTGCCATCATTCACCACCAGCATCTCGACAAGGAGCATAAACCATCACTAAAACTCCGGTCATCGTCGCAGCAGCTTTTGGCTAATCATCGAACAAAGATGGTCACTGCATTGCGCGCTTTCAGATGCGCTTCTGCGGCCGTCTGGAATGCTCTTCCTTGATATTAGGCCACTGGGAGCTACGCACTTTTAAATCTAGAACGAAAACTAATTTCTTCAGAACTACTTTTTGTGCTTAGGTGTCCTTCCCCAGCACCTCCGATTCGCACGGTTGGCAACGTATGGTGCCAAAGAAGTACAACATACATACATAATCATCAACGTGCAGTGGAAAAACGGACAGCTCTGCCTTCCCGATGCGTGGCACGCTCACCTGTATGATCTCGCGCCGATAGTATTCCAGCAGTTTGGGTTTTAAGCCGTTGTTGCACAGCGACTGTATGCACATCAAGCGCAGCACGCGCATCAAGGGCAGCTTCTGTGCAATGCCCTCCTCGATGTAAACGTTGGCCTGATAAGCACCCACACAGAGCGATAAAAAAACAAGGGGTTTTGTCATTTTAGCGAAGAATCCATTCTGAACGCTCGCAAATCTGTTCGAGAATGGCCTCCCCAAGTGGATATCGCATAGCCCACCTCCAAGATCCTCTGATCCATACAGAGGACCTCCTGATCCTCACACAGTGTAAAGGCAGCATTTTTCCAGTCTTGCCAGCTTCTTACTCAATTAGAATATACCTAGCAATCACAGTGCCCCCTACCTTCCGCCTTTCATGAAAACGTGACAGAAATCTCCCGAAACCAGTCGTGAGACTCAGCGAGGCCTTTCCTGGGTAAACAAGCGTAAATAATAATGAATTCTAAAATATACTTCACCTTATCGGTGTCTATGCCGGCGATGAACTCTTGTTCAACAGCCAATGAGTCGAGGAAGGTGTCTGAATCTGGAGACGAAAAACGTGAAGTCAAGAGGCGGGAGTAAACGATTGTCAGAAGCACCGAGGGTTCTTTCTCGGCGCACAATGATCCTCTCCATCACAATTCGATTCAACAATTGATTATTCGTTCGCTACTGCGACGCACGTAGAATCCCGAGTCAAGTCGACGTCAAAAGTCGAAGCGACATCCATGATGAAGCAGCTCTTGAACTTAGTCTACCACCTCACAGTCTCACATTCCGTTTAACTGAACTAATTAAAAAAATCTATTTGTGCTGGTTGACTTCTGCTCGGGGCACGGCCACGGTGTTGCTCGGTTGTGCAGTGGAAAAAGAGCTGCAAGAGGCAGCGGACGAGAACGTACGCGTGACCTCCTGTACAAGCTCTGCGATGGACGTGTGGGTGGCGAGGGACGACTTCACAGCTTGCATGTGCGGGAGCTTGGAAACAAATTCCTTTATCTCCCCAACGGTTTTCGCTTGGTGCCTTTCCTGCAAACACAGCAACAGGTCAAACAATTTTTTTTTTGCCAGCTATATAGCTCTTTTTTTTTTTGCAGAAGTGACCTGGCCACAAGTGATAGCTCAACGAAGTGGCTCATTACGTGGAAATGTATAGCAGCTAAATACTCGAAATGCACCTTCATTCTAAACGTGGAGGGAAAAACTGGAGGACCCGGAGAAATCTTTACGTGACAACAGGGAGAACACGCAAACCTCATATATACAGACGTCAGGGTCGGGACTGAACCCATGGCTTCCTGTACAACAGGCGAGGTAGTTAACATCTCGCCGCCATGGCGCCCCATCACTTGGAAAGCCCCCCATTTTTCTCATCAGGTGTCGGATGCAAAGCAAGATTTTGAGCCCGGATAGTGACAGCGAGACATCGCCAATACATCACCACCCAGAAGACAGAAGGCAGCCGCCACCGGCCTTTCAGAAGAATCTTTCCAGAACACATTTCTCCCCACTTTAAAGCAGCACCTTCACAATCATCTTTCTGGCAGACGGATCTCCGTAGCAATACCGCAGTCTCCCAGAGTTTGGGCTGCATCCGACTTTCCGGAGTCCGGAGAATACGGTACAACGTGCACAGGCGAAGGCAGAGGGGGGTAAGAGGAGCACCTCAAACTGGGCTGTGATGAGCCTGGCTTTGCGGCTCAGCACCTCCCCCACGGCGTTGAAGTTTCGATCCCTGATTTCCGCATATAACTCCTCGGCCGAATTCAAAATCAGCTTCTTGGGCTCCGAGGGCAGCTCTGCGGCAGCTTCGCCATCCTGCTTACGTGGCTGAAACTTCTCTGGCGGAAGCTTGACCGAAGCTGTAAAGAAAAAAGCACGTGATTTCTTGCTCAAATGAGCACAAAATCACAGGAACGAATCCATACATCGTTACATCCACCGCTTGTGTACCAGGGTATTAATTGGTGATGTGGACAGCGGTGCGTCAAACTTCTATGCTCCGCATCTACACTCTCAGCCTTCGCACTAATCTGCACTCACCAGTGTGGTGAAGTACGGTCATAAAACCGTATTTCACGCACGGCACGGGAAAGCCCCCCCGTCAACCAGCAGGGACATCCGGACATCTGTGAAAAATAACTTTACAGAACATTGGATTCCTCCAGTATAAATATTCCGATTCTGAGCAGCGGACTGACGCAAGGGCCCCCCCCCCCGCGCACGTTACACACGGGCACGGAGTTGGGCCGCGCGCAATTTGGCGTCAACTCACTGTTCTGAAGGCCGTATATTTCATCGACGAGGCCCTCGTAGGTGAGCTGGGTGAGCATGGGGGTGAGCAGGTCGACGCTGCGGTCGATGATGAGGAGCGTGTCGATGGCAGGAGGCATGTGCATCTGCACCCCCGCCATCTCGCGGTGCATCCTCAGCAGCATGTCGGTGACGCGCTGCGACGTCACGTATCGCAATAAACACGTAAGCCTTACAAAAAAACAATTTCTTCTTGTTTTTTTTCCGCCAATCGACATGGTCAATTCTTGGCGGCTCACAACTGCTCATAAATAACGGAAGCTTTTGCCATTGAACGTTCACAGCGACAGCAACGTCTATGTTGCTAATAAGCCCACGAATGTAACAAGTGGACCGGAGCGCACAATTACAGAGGAAGAATGGGGGAGGGACGAAGCAAGGGTGAGGAAAATAGAGGAAGTGATTAAGGAAGTGAGTCCTGAGTCACGGTTGAAGGGTAAGATTTTGAGGAGACTTCAAAGTGAAGAGGGTTCCCTGGGCAGGGAGTTCCAGAGGGGAGTAGAACCGCCGATTAGCACGGTTGGCTACGTAAGGTGCGATAGAAGTTCAACATACATAGGTAGCAGCGAGCTTCACGTGCGCACATGTAAGTTTAAAGGTTTTTCCCATTGAAAAAGCTTCATAATAACAGAACGGTCATCAACCAACAACCACAAGGTACTCACCCTGGCCCATTCTCCCTTTCCGGAGATATTTGGGATGGTGCCATAAAGAGACTGCATGGTCATCAGTCCTTTTGCAACGTGGAACAAGCTTGTGAAATCATTTTCCAAGTGACATTCCTGAAAGCAAAGAAATTATTTGTCAACAGAAAAAAACATTCCAATGAGGACAAATCCCAATATCGGCAATTCTTATTTTCACAAACTCACGAGTGAACAAGGACAGCGGCCTTGCACTCTGCATAAATCTGTTCTTTTGCATAGAGCACAGGATTAAACCAAATTGTATGGTACTGTTTTGCATTGCGGCCTTGATTCACCCGGAATGTGCCCGATCTCATCAGCAGGGTTGAGCCTGGGGAGTGCTTAAATGGGCGACTTGCATGTATAAAACAGGTGCTGCTCTAGGCTACTGCAGGACTACAGTATTACCTTCCGGAGATGCTCGTGAATAGCAAATTTCACGGATATTGGATGACAAAAACCTATCTTTTATCTCATCACTTTATCACTGGCTCAGTTAGTCGAGCGAGCCGTTCACGGTTGGAAGGTTGCGAGTTCAAATCCTACTTGGTTGGGGGTCGACTCGGCCCATCGTCCCGCTCTCCGGGGTAGAACATATGCATACCACTTTGTGAGAAGTCAACAATGGTTGTCCAACAGATAGCCTTGCCCCCGTCATTGCAAAGTGGGGTTTTCACCACCATCTGACGGGCTGTAAACGGAAGACGAGCACCACTTCAATGTCCAATGAGCAGAAAAATAATTTTGCCTCGTACGAATGACACTACAGCACTTAAAACAGGGGGAGCCATACCCTGAATGCAAACTCATTCTCCATGGATATGAGGTCACTGTCAAAAGGAATGAAGTCCAAGGGATATTCCTGGATGGTGGCAAAGGTGCCGAAGACGCCCATCTGCTGCAGATGCTGCTCGCAGAGTACGCAGCGGCGCGGCACGCACACCAGGTGGTACTCCCTGCCCGGGGAGCAGCCTTCTTCCCTGCGGCACACACAGGGCGGCACACACAGGGCGGCACACACAGGGCGGCACACACAGGGCGGCACACACAGGGCGGCACACACAGGGCGGTCAGTGATGGCGCTCGGCGTAAGAAGACCAAGCAAATGCCAATGTGTATGTATGTTGAACTTCATTTGCACTGTACATAGCACGGCCGTGCTAATCAAGAGGTGCCATGCAGTGCAAGGGGTCCAGGATCCGTAAAAAAAAAAATAGGGTGAATCAAAATGAGCTGCTCGAATTCAAATCCTAATAAAAACCAGAGCAACACTTTTCATTAAAAAGGACAATTAATCTGTCTCATCCCTGAATGTTTGTCTCTCTCATTTCTCATCCAACTACGTTTATATATTTCCTTGCCCCGCACCTCCGATTAGAACGGTTGGCTACATATGGTGTGAAAGAAGTTCAGCATACATACATCGACTTTTATTGTGTCTCACTACACATATCTCTTTTCTATATCTCATATATCAACGGAACAAGATTTAGTCAATTTAAAGGGGGTGGTGGTTGCCAAATGTAATTATAACTTAGGGCCTCCAATTGGCCAGGACCACCACTGGAAGGAACGTCCATTTGTGTCGGCTCTTCATCTCCAAAGACCCTCCCCCCGTGTAGCCTTAACAGACTTTTAGGGAAAGTGCTATTGGCGAGCACCTACGAAGGCCGGTGCGGCACACGAGGGGGTGGGAGGCCAGCACCACGCCCGACTGCCTCTGTCTCCCCCAATGGTGACGTTTACAACACCGCACCACGTACTCATTTTGAGGCCAGGTCAACTCACGCTGCACCAACAGCGTAGGGTGTCGGGAACACCGACCCTGTGATATCTCTCGCGGGAGGAGGCCACCGTGTGTGCTTTCCGTCACTTACTTGAGCAGACTGGTGCCCACGACCTGCATGAGCTCCACGCGTGGCCGTAGCATGAAGATCACGTGTCGGGAAGGAGATGGCGGCAGTGGCGGCAGGCGTTCCTCCCGCAGAGGAAACATCTTGTCCACTTCATGCTCCTGTCGCGGGTGAACCGGGCTATGTTACCATCATCAACATTACCATCATCGTGGACATTCAACCAGCAAGTATGTCAATGTCAATGAGAAACATGGTCAGTGATAAAGACACTGGAACAAACGCGCAAACGTACACAAAGAAGCATGCCGAGATGCGTGCTTGGAATTACGCAAGGACAGAAAGATGAACACGTGTAGTGGCATAGCGCTGGCCGCTGGCAGGAAAAGGGGCCTGCGGCGTACGGCAGTCCTGACGTCAGCAGGCCAGGATAGACACGAGAGGGGGATCGAGGGGAAAGGTCGCAGCAGGGGCACACCAGGAACCCGCTAGTAGGTTCCAGAAAGGGGGCGTGGCCGGGGGCGGAGCGAGGCCACGCTGACAGTATGAGAGGGGCCCCCCATAGGGGACCCTCGGGTCTGTTGTGTGGAGTGGGATCCCCGTCGTGCTGCTGAAGTCTTCGTCACCGTTCTTCTCATCGTCTTCACCATCCTTCTTGTCGTCATCTCCATCTTCACCAGTCAGGCAGCCTCCCAACTGTCCTCGCTGAGTAGCGTCGCCGACAATAGACGGACTACTTGTAAGAGTGTTAACCCCGATGGTGCTTGTTAATAAAGAAGTGCCTCCTAGTCTTATCGTCTCCGAGTTAGTCACTAAACATGCACGTTAGAGGACGTGATACTTGACAAGAAAATCTTGACATTAATCGGGGATCGCATTGGGAGCCAGTGGAGGGATTGGAGTAACAGAATTATGCGGTCTCATTTACAGGTGTGGGTGAGAAGTTTGGCAGTGGCATTTTGGATCAATTGGAGATCGGAGGCCTTAGGGGAGAGAAAGTAGCAATCATTGATTATTCTGGATGTGATGAAGGAATGGGTGGCACCATTTACTAACGTTACCTTTAGCAGTGAGTATTCAGCGATGAGGCCAAAAGGTCCAGTCAGGCTTTCATCCCACACGATGGCCTGGTGAGAAATAGCAGCAGCACATGGTTAACAAGGAGGCTGCACAAGACATAGACAACCCTCCCTTTACTCAGGAATTATCATTGGAAGTGGCGACTGTTCCCACGGATGTTCATCCAACCATCGACCATATTTGCATCCTATAACTGACTTTCATTGGGTTTCAGTTCGCGAAGTATTTAATAAACAATGTATCTTTAGTTTTCAATTAGCGCTAAGAGTTGGCATGTGGGGTCTTGGGTTTAGGCTCGGAGTTTAAGGGTTAAGGTGTGGAAGTCTAGGGTTTGAAGAACAGAATTTAGATATTCGGGTTTAAGGTGGGGGCTATGGACAGAAAGACTGCTTCTATTGCCACGAATCCAAAGAGGCAGTCGTCTCAGTCACTGCTACATGTTGTTTGTCGTTTTTTTTTAAATTCGGTCACAGTTCCTATGATCACTGTTACATTGCTTTTATGGCTTTATTTTGGTGATGTAGAATATGTTTTTTGGTTTGTCCATGTTTGTTTGTTGTAGTATGGAGTTAGACTGATGGCCTTAATCTAAGTTGTCTTGTGGTTGTTGTTTGTTTGACTTGCATCCCACTGGGATTTTTGCACACAGCGTTGGTGCACGGTGTTTTGTCAGGAATATTTTGCTGTTTAGTCAGGAATATTTTGCTGTTTTTTTCCGGGATTTTCTGTTTGCACGCTCACATAGTCACTTTAAGATGTTTTCTTGTTCATGTTTTTGTTTGTTGCGGTTGCACCCGATTCAAGAGCCGAATGGCTCACAGGGCTATACCAAATAAATGAAAACTGAATTAAGCATTAGTTAGCACTAGTTTCTAATAGGAGCTCCTGGGGACCAGCAGGAAATTCCACATTTCTAAGGCAGAGACCATACAACAAAGGACTACATACTGTCTGTAACGTCAGCCTATGTGTTCGGATCACCCGTGATATGCCGTTCCAGATCTCGCCCAAGCTCGGGAGCAAATTCAGAGTTGAGTCTGGATAGTTCTTGGATGGGCGACCCCCATGCATACCAAGCTGCCGGAGCTACGTGATAGTCAGCAGTGTAGCAAAATAAATTATTGTGCTCTACTTGTACTTTTCCACATCTCCGCGCTCAGCTTTCATCAATCCGCACTAACCAGCATGGTGATGTAGCACTGACCAGTGTGACCTGCGCAGCATGGGGAGGGGGCCTCATTCAGCAGGAGACTGACAAAAGAGGCTGTATAGTGCTGTAATCTCATTGGCATTGCAATCATGATACAATAGAAAACAGACGGTATTTTTTAAGAGATTAAAAAAAAGTTTAAAGAATTGAGGAACTCAGGAAATAGGGAAAGGGGTGTGTGGTTATTGCACCGTATGCCATTTCGGGAACAAAGATGACACGTTCCACATCCTTCTGGAAATGGTTTGGGCCTACCTTACATAGACTCGGCCTAAAACGATCACGAAAAGACTTATGACTCAATGCCTTCAGTAGAGTTGCAGTACAACGGAAGTGGCCTCAATGTGTGCATGTACGGCCCTTTTGTAAATCCACTGCTGAATGAGGCCCTCCTCACGCTGTGACCGTATTGAACCCGGCTCGTGAGCGCGGGTTGATGAATGTGGAATTTATTGCACTGCCCGCCGCTGGCAACATAGCATCACACAGCAGCCTATATAACGCCTGTTCTAATGCATGATGGGTCACCCATCCAAGCGCTCGCCAAGCTAAAGGTTACTTACCTTCCACGATTGGGCGCATTCAGATGATTCAATAAAACACTCGGAAATAGAGAGGCGCGTATGGAACGTATCCTTGGCAGTTTTAATCATGAGTACAAGTCACCGTATATCTGTTTGATGTTTCTGTCACTTTATTGTATGTGTATTAAGATTAGCCTAAACATAATCTGGCCGCACTGATATACATTACAAGAAATGTGTAAGTCCACAGTGATTTAAGTGCGTATATTTTCAATTTCCAATGTGACAGCTGTTTTTGCCCCGATTTAAATGTGATTCAATGCTTTACTTCATTTAATGTTTTATTTTTTTATCATTTTGGTGACCCCAGGTCACTCGACTTCTCACCTGGCGAATCATTATTGTATTTATACTGCTAGTGTCAAAATGGGTTTGTTTGTGAGAGGGGTTTGAGCGAGTTCTAGTGACGTGTAAATGTGCGACTCAATCCGCACATCGTCACCCCATCATCACTCACACCGCAGTCATCGGCCAGCACAACCCTCAACCACACCACTAGCCGACCATCAGCACCCGAATGCCATCACCCACCCTGACCATCACACGCCACCACAACCATCACCACGACCATCCACATCAATTCCCCGCATCACCACGATTCAATCACTCCATTACCCACACGACCACCACGACTACCATCACAAACCCATAAGCACTCTAACATCAACTTCACCACAACCACCATCGCTCAAACCGAAACCACCAAGTCACGATCTCACCATCGGGATCCCCAGCACCCACAGCTTACCGCCAATCATCACTTCGAGACTCACCTCTCTCACCAGTACCAATCATACCCACCAACAACCATCATCACAACCACCACCCACAACAACAACCGGCGTTGACGTCACCACGTACGCCTGTGCCAGGCCACGTGCACTTTGAGGCCACGTGAAAGTGTCCAAGACACGCTGACAGGTCGCGGGACTGACCCAGCAGTTGCCATGGGTTGACTGAGTTGACAGGGAGATGCACCACCACCACCACCACCCCGGTCCCCCCTATTGTGCCAAATTGCTGCGTTTTACCCGCCCGGCGCTCCGCTCGTTGTTGTGAGCGTCGCTCCTCTTGCCCCTCCGTTGTTGTTGTTGTTGGAGGGCGACTGCCTCCAACTGCCCAGCAGCGTCCTTCACGAGCCTCCCCTCCACAGAGTCCGATCGTGACACCGCTGGTACCGATCACGGACAAGTATACTCAGCTCCACGTCCTCCCGTGCCCCTGTCAACTCCCATCGCGGGTCTCCAGCCCGTGCCCGCACCCGCCTGAGACCCCCTCTATCCGGCCAAACAGGAGCCGCCGCGGTGGCCGGGCGTGCCGGGCGTGCGGGGCGTGCGGGGCGTGCGGGGCTGACGTGACCCCAGCCAACGCAGCCTCGCCTGCCGGAGGAGCTCACCGATGGCGACCGTGCCCCAGATCTTTCACAACCAATTCAACAAACCCACCAACTCGCAACAACTATCGACAACATCCCCCCCCACCTCCACCCACCACCCACACACACAGGTGTGACAACATCCCCCCCCCACCTCCCTCCACCCACACACACAGGCGTGACAACATCCCCCCCCACCTCCACCCACACACAGGCGTGACAACATCCCCCCCCACCACCTCCACCCACCCACACACACAGGTGTGACAACATCCCCCCACCACCTCCACCCACACACACGTGACAACATCCCTCCCCACCTCCACCCACACACAGGTATGACAACATCCCCCACCACCTCCACCCACACACAGGCGTGACAACATCCCCCCCCACCTCCACCCACCCACACGCGTGACAACATCCCCCCACCACCTCCACCCACACACAGGCGTGACAACATCCCCCACCACCTCCACCCACACACACAGTCGTGACATCCCCCCCCACCTCCACCCACACACACACAGGCGTGACAACATCCCCCCCCCCACCTCCACCCACACACAGACGTGACAACATCCCCCCCACCTCCACCCCCCCACACACAGGCGTGACAACATCCCCCCCCACCTCCAACCACACACACAGGCGTGACAACATCCCTCCCACCTCCACCCCCCCACACACAGGCGTGACAACATCCCCCCACCACCCACCCACACACACACAGGCGTGACAACATCCCCCACCACCCACCCACACACACAGGTGTGACAACATCCCCCCCCACCTCCACCCACCCACACGCGTGACAACATCCCCCCACCTCCACCCACACACAGGCGTGACAACATCCCCCCACCTCCACCCACCCACACACAGGCGTGACAACATCCCCCCCCCACCTCCACACACACACACACACACGTGACAACATCCCCCCCACCTCCACCCACACACAGGTGTGACAACATCCCCCACCACCTCCACCCACACACAGGCGTGACAACATCCCCCCCCACCTCCACCCACCCACACGCGTGACAACATCCCCCCACCACCTCCACCCACACACAGGCGTGACAACATCCCCCACCACCTCCACCCACACACACAGTCGTGACATCCCCCCCCACCTCCACCCACACACACACAGGCGTGACATCCCCCCCCACCTCCACCCACACACACACAGGCGTGACAACATCCCCCCCCCCACCTCCACCCACACACAGGCGTGACAACATCCCCCCCACCTCCACCCCCCCACACACAGACGTGACAACATCCCCCCCACCTCCACCCCCCCACACACAGGCGTGACAACATCCCCCCCCACCTCCACCCACACACACAGGCGTGACAACATCCCCCCCCACCTCCACCCACACACACAGGCGTGACAACATCCCCCCCACCTCCACCCCCCCACACACAGGCGTGACAACATCCCCCCACCACCCACCCACACACACACACAGGCGTGACAACATCCCCCCACCACCCACCCACACACACAGGTGTGACAACATCCCCCCACCACCTCCACCCACCCACACGCGTGACAACATCCCCCCACCTCCACCCACACACAGGCGTGACAACATCCCCCCACCTCCACCCACCCACACACAGGTGTGACAACATCCCCCCCCACCTCCACACACACACGTGACAACATCCCCCCCACCTCCACCCACACACAGGCGTGACAACATCCCCCCCCACCTCCACCCACCCACACACAGGCGTGACAACACCCCCCCCCCCCCACCTCCACCCACACACAGGCGTGTTTATATCCCCCCCCCACCTCCACCCACACACAGGCGTGACAACATCCCCCCCCACCTCCACCCACACACAGGCGTGACAACATCCCCCCCCACCTCCACCCACACACAGGCGTGACAACATCCCCCCCACCTCCACACACACACACAGGCGTGACAACATCCCCCCACCACCACCCACACACAGGCGTGACAACATCCCCCCCCCCCACCTCCACCCACCCACACACAGGTGTGACAACATCCCCCCCACCTCCACCCACCCACACACACACAGGCGTGACAACATCCCCCCCCACCACCTCCACCCACACACAGGCGTGACAACATCCCCCCCCACCACCCACCCACAGGTGTGACAACATCCCCCCACCACCCACCCACACACACACAGGCGTGACAACATCCCCCCCCACCACCTCCACCCACACACAGGCGTGACAACATCCCCCCCCACCTCCATCCACACACACACACAGGCGTGACAACATCCTCCCCCACCACCCACACACACAGGCGTGACAACATCCCCCCCCACCTCCATCCACACACACACACAGGCGTGACAACATCCTCCCCCACCACCCACACACACACAGAGGCGTGACAACATCCTCCCCCACCACCCACACACACAGGCGTGACAACATCGCACCCAACGACGACTCCCATCGCGCCCCTCTCGCGCTCCCTCTGAACGAACGGGAGGAAGAGTTAAGAGAGGAGTGGGTGGGGGAGGGAGGAAGGATGGTGCCCCTCTCGCCTTGCTCCCCGAGAGTTTGTCGAGGATCTGCAGCAGCCGCCTCCGCGCCGCTTCGCGAAGCACGCCGAGGTTGAGCCTCCCGCCCGCCAGATGAGACGCCATAGTGACACCACCCCGCCGCAACCCCCGACAACCCCTGGGCTATCGATTCCCTCGCATCGAATCCTCGCACGAATCGTAATCGATTTGTGTTTTCACGAAACCCCCCCCCCCACGTCTAAGAAATCGACGACCCGGATTTTGTAATTACAATAATAATAAACCCGCATCCCGCCCCGCCCCCTCGCCCCGCCCACCACCTCGCCCCCGCCCACCACCTCGCCCCCGCCCACCACCTCGCCCCGCCCGCCCCGTGCAGCCCGCCCCGCCCGCCACCCCGCCCCGCGCAGCCCGCCCCGCCCGCCACCCCGCCCCACCCACCACCTTGCCCCGCCCACCACCTCGCCCCGCCCGCCCGCCTGCCTGCCCCGCCTGCCCGCTCCGCCCCGCCCGCCACTTCACCCCGCCCACCACCTCGCCCCGCCCCGCCCGCCCACCACCCCGCCCTGCCCTGCCCACCACCTCGCCCCGCCCGCCTGCTCCGCCCCGCCCGCACAGGAATTTAAATCGATTTTGCACCTGCGAAATGTGGCGCGGGTTTAAAAAAAATCGATTGGCGCGATCAGGAATCGAAATCGCTGCCCGTGTGAACGTTCCGCAACTCAATGACTTACGACGGAATGGAATCGACGGTGGTGATGGATTTTCTCGTCCACACGGGATGCTTACTAAATGTGCAGGGTTGGTCCAGATGTCTTGTGACCCCTCCCCCAATTTAATTCACTAAAACGTCATATTTTTTAAAAGTAAGGTTTTAATGAAAACAGAAATTAAAATGCAAAAGAACAAAAAAATCAGGGTCCGGGGGGGGTGGTCACAAGACATATGGACCACCCTGTACAATCCATTCGCATGTGAAAAAGAGATTTGCAGCTCATCGGATTCCTCCGGCATAAATAAATAAATATTCAGATCGTTTGGAATCGATTGCATTGCGTCTCAGTGTTTAAAATATCGAAATCGACCGTCAGGAATCGACGCGTGCGTGTCACGTGCTAGGCGTGGAATCGACCCACAAAGTTAAGGAGAACTTTAATGTGGAATCGATTCCCTTGTCACGTGGTAATCATCTTTTTTTTCAGAGAATAGGGTTCCCTATTCAATATTTCCCTTCCAATCTAGAAGGGTTTTTCCCCTTTTTTTCTGGAAACAAAACTGAAACCTTTTTTTACAAGGATTCATGTTACTGCACTAACCACAATACCTGCAGTCAAAATGCAAACAAAAAAACATACTATGATAATTTATGATGCATTGTCCTTGAAACTGATTGGTCCACACCAAGGGACGGCTTTCTTTTGAGCCTCAACCCAAATTGGTGCTCGACCAGATGACGCCAAAAGGCGTCACACAGCTCAAAGACAATGCCACTATCAAAGTAATGAGGGCTCGGGGTGAGCATCTACATCATTAGACCTCCTTTGCCAGTACCAAAATGTAAGAATGGGGTTTGTGGTTAATAGGTATTGTGGTTAATGCAGACATGAATCCTTGTAAAAAGGTTTCAGTTTTGTTTGCCAGAAAAAAGGACATGTACTAGTCATGGCAGAACTCCACGACTCCAGGAAGTGGCCCAGAAGTTTACCACGACCGTGGCCAATCACAGCCAACGTGAGTTGAGCGTGGACAATTATACCCAAGCCGAGACATATAACATAAACAATAATTTAGATTTAAAACTTTAGTGACTGCAGGGATTCATATTCTTGGGGGTTTTTTTCGGTAAAGTCACGTATTATTTTATTGTTTCCCTTCTACGTGACTTTACCGAAAAAAAACAAGAATATAAAAAAAATGTTTAAAAATATAGATTTTGGATTATTTTTTTATGATAGAATATAGCATTGTCATCAGCATGACATAAGCATACCAAGTTTGCAGTCGATACCACATTGGGAAGTGGGTTACAATTGAGTTACAAGATTTGAGGATACAACAACAGACAGAGCGAGTTAACTGAAAGCGTGTAATAAAATAGGTACCATTTTGTAACGTGGTCTCACATAGACAACAACCCCCACCCCCCTCCCTGTACAGCCTGTAACAGACTGCCGTGCCAAGTGCTGCTAGCACCTACAAAGGTTCGGCACGGCACACGACGGGGTGGGGAAGGGTGGGGTGGCCAGTAACCACCACGACCTTTGTCTCCCCCAGTGGGGATGTTTACGACGCACCGTACCAGGTTTCTCATTTTGAGGCTGAGTTGACCTAGGGGAGGCCCACACACAGCAACCGGATTATAAGACGCACCCCCCCTTTTTTATTTTAAATAGAGAGTGAAATTGCGCACCTTGTAATTAGATTACGGTAACATCCGTATGTGCGGTACTGTATATGAATGGACGTGCTCTCTAGGTGCACCTAGCCTGGCACCAGCGCCGTGGTGACGTCGCCACCAACTTCGTGGTGAATGGCGGTTATCTCAAAATTTGCCCCCAAAAATTACAAGTTTAATGCTCAGGTCCATCAACCTATCCGACCTTCGGGGACCAACATTTTCCAGCCTCGTTCGTTGAAGCAGAAGCACTAATCTCTGGGCCGGTTTCGGCTTCTCTTGATACTCATCAGCAGGGTTGTGGGCTCTGTTAAATGCCTATTCCAACCAGGAGTTGCCTCAGTGGCAACTTGTGTAAATATCTTCACGAGTTGTACATTCATACCTGTCAACCCATGATCAGTGCCTACCTTATTTACGGACTAATTCAGACCTTATTGGTCACCCCGTGCCCCTTATAAATATCAACCTCCGTCCTACAAAGTCCCATCACAAGGAGAGAAACACAAACAGACAACAAGAAAATGCCCGTATTGAGACGGCTGTACGCTGTATGGACCTGAAAACTCAATTTCCCTGTACAAGAATACGGATAAACCGTATGGGTTGACAGGTATGTAAATTGATGTGCCATGTACCTATGACGATCACGTAATCACGACATTCACGGTGTTACAATGGGCAGTGCAATATAAAGTGTACTGTACATCTATGCTCCCCGGCCTTCAATCCCCACTGGTCATCATGGTGAAGTATGATTAAACAATATATTGGCGCACACCGTGTTGGGGAGGCCTCTTATCCAGCAGTGGATTTACCAAAAGGACTGAACACGTGTACATATATTGAACCTTGTTGGACCGGATGACGCCAAAAGGTGCACAGATAAAAGGGTAAAAAAACACAATTATATTTGGCTACTGGCAAAGGAGGTTCTAATGGTGTCTTATGGTTGATATTGTTTGACTTGCATCACACTGGGATTTTTGCACACAGCGTTGTAATACGGTGTGTGTGGGGGGGGGGGTGTTTCTGTAAGATTTGCTGGTTTATCCCAGGATGTTTCTATTGCACGTCATCGCTTTAAGATGTTTCTCTGTTCATGTTTTTTTGTTTGTTGCGGTTGCACCCGACTCAAGAGCCGCATGGCTCACAGGGCTATACCTAATAAATTAAACTTGAAACTTGAACCTACGGCTGCTCCCAGATTTGTGACAAACATTGTTATAACACGAGACTTTGTGTCACTAAAATATGACATTAAAATCCATCAGCCTATCATTGACCTTCCGGACTCAATGTTTCCCAGGATTTTTTTCCAGCACATCTTTACGAGTGGGAATTTATTCTGCGCTCCACCTTTCCCAGTAGAAGAAAATCCATCTTCTGGGTTCTTTCGGTAAAGTCACCACGTAGAATGGAGATAAAATAATAACAGAATAAAATTCTCACGACGTTTCATGAGAATCTTATTCTGTTATTTTTTAAATTCTCACGACGTTTCGTGAGAATCTTATTCTGTTATTTTTATTATTTTATCTCCATTCTACGTGGTGACTTTACCGAAAGAACCCAGAAGATGAATCCCTGCAGTCACGAAAGCTTTAAATCGAAAACGAAAAGCCATGTTTGGCGAAGCTGGCGCCTGCACATGCTCATCGTCCATTGGAGGAAATGTGTGACCATACTTCAGCATGCCGGTCGGTGCGGGTTGATGAAGATGCCCCTACCCAGAAGGGGTGGGAGGTAGGGAGGGGTGTTGCAAGCGAAGGTCAAACTATTATGACCCAGAGGCTGCAATGGTAGCTGGTCACCAAGCTTTATTAACTGCACACAAAACCAGCATGTGTTGAGGTATGCAACGGATGTGACTGTTGCTGCAAAATCTTATTCAGATTCAGCCAAGAGAGCTGATGTCCTTTCGATTTTCGGAATACTGTAATCTCAAAGATCCCAATAAGAGATCTGGCCACCCGCAGATACGAATTGTCGGACGATCCTAAAGATCGTTTCGGAATACAGTATTGGTAAAAAACAAAAACAAAGGTCAGTGGGCTCGTTGGCTGTGACCTTGCGTTCGCCGTTTTCCCGCGAAAAACGTCGCCCGCACATGCGTCGAGCAATAATTTTGTTGCAATGTAACACGCAGGTGCGGACTTAAGAGGGAAGGCGACCAGAACGGGGGAGCTGTGATGGCAAACGAGAAAAAATCGGGAACAACATTTTGTATGCGCATTTCTCTTCACCCAGTTTCACGAACGATTCATCGAGCATGCGTATATACTATGACAGGTAAGGGGCCGTCCATAAATGACGTCACGCGATTTTGGGCGATTTTTGACACCCCCCCCCCTTGTCACACGGCGTCACAAAAAGTCAGACCCCCCCTCAAATATGACGTCACAAAGCTCTGCCCACCCCCCCCCCCAAAACCATATTTCAATTTGGAAAATAAAACATGCTTCAAATAGCTTTAAACTATTGTCATTGTAGTGCGTATTTAAAGTGCTGCTGCACTCTGATGTTGTAGGAGAAAACATTTATTAAAAAGTCTATTTAATTAAGTAGAACGTCAGTTTAACACGTAGGCTTTCGCGACCAATATTATTCATAATAAAGGTTTTTGGGTTAGATCGCGTTATTTATAAATGTGTCGTAACCCTCCACCACCCGAATTCTGGCGAATTGCCCGATGATGCTGGATATATTTACCAGTGAAACATCGTACTCAAACTGTAAATGTTGTGGATTCACTCTTCAACACACCGGTGGGCTAAAGTAGTGAACTATTTTGTCTTTTGTCAACGTGACACTTTATTTTGCTGATTGGCCGTGTCGGGTGGTGGAGGGTTACGACACATTTATAAATAACCCGATCTAACCCAAAAACCTTTATTGTGAATAAGTAGAACGTGTTGTCTACATTTATTTAAAGTTGTGCATTTTGATGTGACGTCACATTTCTCAAACCACCCCCCTCGTCACACATCGTCACAAATGTCTGACACCCCCCCCCCCCCCCCAGGTGCGTGACGTCATTTATGGACGGCCCCTTAAACACGCAGGAGTCACGAACAATAATTGACAAGAGGTGAGCAGGTTGAGAGGCTGGGTTCCAATCCCGGTTGGCTGGTCATCCTTGGTCATAATTTGTTTAGATCAATGGGCCTTAAGCGCTGATATAATCAAGTACTCAGTCTTGAGCTTCAGTTGCCCAGGGCTCTCAAGTGTAGTGAGTTAATAGTCTCAGAACGGTCACGAGTTATTGCACAAAGAAAGAACCCATCATGTAAACACTTGTTCTGTACCTCCTAATTCGGATAAACTCCAGCTCTGAGAATTGAAAACATTCGTATAACGGTCACGCGACAAAATATTAGTGTACGGTGAAAGCGTGAACCCAAAGGTGTTCAGCCACTTCCAAGATGTTCGGCGAAAAATCTCTTGCGCAGCTGTTCGCTGACAACGCGGGAGGTAGAACTTATTTCGCACCGTATGTAGCCAACCGTGCTGATCGGAGGTGCAGGAGGAAGGACAACTAAACACAAAAAGCAGTTCTCAAGAAATGGGTTTTCAATACAAATTAATTAAAAGTCCATAGCTCCAGTGGCTTCCTAATATCGGAAGAGCGTTCCAGACGACCGCAGATGTGCATCTGAAAGTGCGCAATGCGGTGACCATCTTTGTGTGTGATGGTTAGCCCAAAGCCGCCAATGCGAGGATGACTGGAGTTTACATGATGGTTTATGCTGGGGGCGGCGGGTGGGATTAATGTATGCCCACTGCTACAATATGTATCTCACCACGAATGCTACATTGTTTTCACAATTTTCAAAAAGCTGACCTGCAACTCTGTCGTATAAAAACAAATAAAACGTGGAACACAAAACAAACATCTAACGAGGGTATATAATTAATGCAGCACTTTCCCTGCGAATACTTTCAAGGCCTCCAAATAACAAAACCCTGAAATACAGCTATGTTAAATTACCCCCATTCATCGACATCTTGGGTACAATCCACGTTTTCCTGTACCCTGTGCCACATTGACTGGCTGGCTCCATTAAAATAACAATCTGTGAACCATACATTGAACAATCCGGTTTGGAGTTTCGCCGGGTTAAATTACCCCCGGCGAATCTTGACTCCAAATTAACAGACAGAACGTCGTCCGATTTAGAATGTTGCCTGAAATCACCAGTGACAGTGCTCAGATCAACGCACGAATACGGGAAGTCTAACCCCGAGCTGGCCGTGCTGACCATCGATTTTGAACCTTCTGTGCACGGCAAGTTGTGCATTTGATGCGGCATGTAAAACGGTACATCGGCACCCTGGCCGTTATCCGGCCAGACATCTGCCATGAGACTTTCTGCTGGACTACAGTCTGAGCGGTCAGACGTGGAGCGGCGCACGGGTGTGAAGGTAGCCCTCTGCAGTGTGGCATCGACTTGCGCGTCGTATCTGGAAAGGGGGCTGCTGCTTGAACCATCGCGTGCCGGCTGCACCGACATGCGACACTCGCTGCCGCTCTGGAGGCCCGAATTGCCCAACGGACGTGGCTGCATGCAATTGTCGTCGTTGGATGCATCGTCTTCGACGATGCAGTGAGAGCTGCTGCCCTCCCAGGCACGGCTCTTCGATAGCCACAGTTTATTGCACTCGTGCTGTGTTTTTGACTCTTCCTCCAGCCTCTGAAATGTCGACATAAAAAAACACAATGACAAACATCCCCCCACCCCACCCCGTACACCCTTTATAAGCTGTTGGGGCAAGTGCTGTTAGCAAGCACCTATTAAGGCCAGCACCACCACACCTGTCACCTTTGCTTCCCCTCAGGTTTACATGCTGTGGCAGGTATTTGAGGCTGATGTTACCTAGCTGAGGTCCGAGACCAGTTATAATATCACTTTACACCGGTATTAGCCGTGGCTGGGAATCAAACTCAGGTCGACGGCTATCATAGCGCAGTGCACTGCCGCTAAACCACTGCACCGACTGCTCCATCCCGTAACCAGGGTACGCGGGGCAAATCCACGCAACGCAAAGTTGGAAGGTTGATTGTGGGTACACTTCATCACAACCACAACGCAGAACCTACGTGGTCTGGGCTGGGAGGCACCTTTATATGGGAGAGGGAATGGGGGGAGAGCAACACTCCTACACCACCCTGGCCGCTCACCTGCAAGATGGCGGGTGGAGGAGGATCTGTAGGAGATACGAGGGTCTTGAGCTTCTGCCGATAGAACCAGCCCATGGCTGCCAAGGGGCCGACGATCAGAACGCTCAGCAGGGCGATGGTGACAACCACAGGCAGGTTCAGAGAGTCTGTGGGAAGAAAGAAAAAAAAAAACGCGAGGAATACGGACTCGTATTAATGATAATGCAAATAGCCAAGTTCCACGTGACCAAACAATCAACACATTCGTCCGCGCAGCAGCAGCGCCAAAATAAATGTGCATACGTTAATAAATAAATACAATTCTCAACGCAATTGGAAGGCATTACCCGGTGGCGTGCCGTGGGCGATGTAGCATGCCACGGCGCTCTGGTCTCCATAGAGGTAGAAGTCCGGAATGTAGAATTGAGAACGCAGGCAGTAGTTGCCCGCGTGTGGCACGGTGAATTTGTGGTGGTTCTGTGTGACCAGAAAACGTTCTTGCACGTGGCCCTGTGCGAAAGCCACGGCTGGCAACATCAGTACGGTAACAACAACAAAAATCAAGTGCACTCGGCACAATACCGATCATCACATTCATAACAATAGGGCTAGGTTAAGGATAAAGGAGCAGCCCTGCAAGTGCTTGCTCACCCCAAGACCCATGCACTTGCATATAGACCCATAGACTTAATAGAGAACATCAATGATCTATATTCTTGGTTCTTTCGGTAAAGTCACCACGTAGAAGGGAAACAATAAAATAATAAAAATATGAAACAATAAAATTCTCACGACGTTTCGACTGCAACACAAGCAATCATCATCAGGTGTGAAAACCAGAGCAAGAAAAATTTGACCAAAAAAACGCCACTTTTTTCACATTTTTCTTGCTGTGGTTTTCACACCCGATGATGATTGCTTGTGTTGCAGTCGAAACGTCATGAGAATTTTAATGTTTTATATTTTTTATTACTTTATTGTTTCCCTTCTACGTGACTTTACCGAAAGAACCAAGAATATGAATCCCTGCAGTCACGAAAGCTTTAAATCAAAATCAATTATCTAGTCACATCCACTGTCTTCATATCTTGCTCCACTGTATCCTCCCATCTCGGTCTCCATCCACTCCTTTCTGCCCTGTGCCGGTGGCATCCCCATAGCCCTTCTCATTGCATCTTATCTTTGTCTCTACTCAACACATGGCCAGAGCGTGGACGTCTCACCTCCTTGGCCCTCTCGAGAACGTTAGTAACCGCCTGCTATGGCTCAAACCTCTTCATTCGTTTTCCTTTCCCTCAGAGATATTCCCGACATCCATCCGTGCATTCTCCTCTCTGTCCTTTAAAACTCCTTGTCTCGCTCACTTCGTGCCCGCATCTCTGCACCATATAACAGTAGTTGGTAGTAATCACTGTTCTATGCACTGTGTTGTCCCTTTCAGTTTGACTGAGGGGACGGATGAATACAAGTCCACGGCAAAAAAACAAAACTCACGTTTGCTTCTTCGGTGTAATTCAGAAACCACTGCCGGTCGCTGTAAACGTTCTCGAGGAAATCGCTCCCATTTCTCACTTTCAGATTTTCCACTTTAACGTAAAACTTCAGTCCGGAAACGATGACAGAGGTGGACGGCGCCGTCAGCCTTGCTGGGAACAAGAAACGCAAAAAAATATATCTCGCATTTAATCGTGCCAATTTTTTTTATATATGTGTTGCATTTCGAGAAAGAATAATACATTTACGGTTACAATTAATCAATGATGTGAGGTGCCTGAGTTGGAGGGTTCAGAGGTCAGAGACGCAGAGCTAGCACCACCAAAACCCCCGGGTTCCAAACTGGGGTTCAACCTTCTGTGATTATAAACAGGTTCTCAAGTGCATTGAGTTGGTGGTTTCAGCCTGGACACAAATCACTCCACACAAAAAAAACGGTCATATATTGGGTTTTGCGCTTCAGGTGGCTGAATTCTGTCTCTGAGAACGGAGAATATCGGGTGGCCCTGTATTGAACGCCGGCAGCATCCACCCACACAAATAATGCGAAAATAATATAATTGTTTCGATTTAAAGCTTTCGTGACTGCAAGGATTCATCTTCTTTGGTTCTTTCGGTAAAGTCACCACGTAGAATGAGACTAAAATAATAAAATAAAACAATAAAATTCTCACGACGTTTCGGCGACAACACAAGCGGCCTTCTTCAGGTGAAGGAACAAAAAAAAACTGTCGGGACGACAGTTAGAGCTTTGTCGTCCCGACAGTTTTTTTGTCCCTTCACCTGAAGAAGGCCGCTTGTGTTGTGGCCAAAACGTCGTGAGAATTTTATTGTTTTATTTTATTATTTTAGTCTCATTCTACGTGGTGACTTTACCGAAAGAACCAAAGAAGAAAAATATAATTGTTATTATGATTTTTTTTTCCCCAGGGAAATCCTCACCGAGTCTCATGACACTTTTTCAGGAGAGGTCCTGCAAAGTTTTCCCAGTCGAGGTGTAATTCCAATTGAGTAATTTGCAGGTACAGTTTTTTCACCATTCAGATGTTTGGCAAACACCAGTTACATTGCGTGCTTTCTATTGGCTATGGGAGGAAACCGGAGAACCCGGATACAACTCTGGCAGGACAGGGGGATAACTTACAGACTCCTCACAGAACAGCACCTGAGATCAGAATCAGAATCGGTATCCAGGGGCTTCTTGCTGTGTTTTTGAGATGTTATCTACCTCGCCCGGTACGCAGGAGGTCGTGGGTTCAATCCCGACCCTGACTATGATTGTTGTATACTTGGAGTTTGCGTGTTCTCTCTCCCCTTGATGGTTGCGTGTATTTTTCTCCGTGCTCCTCCAGTTTTGCCCTCAACGTTTAGAAACATGCGTTTAGATTATTTGGCTGCTACCACAAATGCCCACGTGCGATGATGATGATGATAATATCAGCCACTTCGATGAGCTCTAATGCGTGGCCAAGTCACCTCTGAAGGAGATCTCATCGCTCAGTCGGCTTTACCGGGCAAAATAAAATACTCTTTGGTTCTTTCGGTAAAGTCACGTAGGTAAAAAAAATAAAAATAAAACAAAATTGAAAACAACTCAATAAAATCACGACGTTTCGGAGGCAACACAAGCTTCCTTCATCAGGTGTAACTAGCACAGCAAAATTACTGTAGGGAGAGCCGTGCCAGTTACACCTGATGAAGGAAGCTTGTGTTGCCTCCGAATCGTCGTGATTTAATTGAGTTGTTTTCAATTTTGTTTTATTTTGTTTTATTCTTTTACCTACGTGACTTTACCGAAAGAACCAAAGAGTATGGATCCGTGCGGTCACGAAAACTTCAAATCTATAATTAAAATAAAAAAAAAGTTTAATTCAGTGTCCACTCATTTTCAGAGGGGTCGGGGGGGGGGGGGCTACTTTCGCCGATAAGATGTCAGCGTGAGGGCCACGAGACCACCTGCAAGGAGTGTCACGTGGTGTGTGCGCTGTCGGGGGCCCGCACGTCAGGGGCTGCACTAAAGGCCACAAGGGGCCGCCAGTAGCCCGCGGGCCTTGCAAAAGAAGAACGTTAAAAAAAACACGCCACTTTTTTTCCAATTTTCTTGCTGTGGTTTTCACACCTGATGATGATTGCTTGTGTTGCAGTCGAAACCTCGTGAGAATTGTATTGTTTTGTATTTTTTTATTATTTTATTGTTTCCCTTCTATGTGACTTCACCGAAAGAACCAAGAATAAGAAGAACATTATATTATTGGTTCTTTCGGTAAAGTCACGTAGAAGGGAAACAACAAAATAATAAAAACTTAAACAATTAGAACTCTCACGACGTTTCGACTGCAACACAAGCAATCATCATCAGGTGTGAAAACCCTTCTACGTGACTTTACCGAAAAAAAACAAGAATACGAATCCCCGCAGTCACGAAAGCTTTAACTCAAAGAAGAACATCGTTGATTTAAAGCTTTCGTGACTGCAGGGATTTCTATCCAATGGTTCTTTCGCTAAAGTCGCCGCGTAGAAGGGAACCAGTAAAATAATACTGTTTCCCTTCTACGTGGTGACGTCACCGAAAGAACCAAGAATGTGAAGAACATCGTGCTAAGGTTCACCACTTGCGTGGCCGCCCTGCCGCCCCCACGTGACGCTTACTGGACAAGAGCGGCTGGAAGCAACAGGCGTGCGCCCACTCGGACGCGGCACCCGGCGCCTCAGCGCGCACGCGGAGGGTGTGGTTGGACGACGGCTGGCAGCTCGCCGTGAAATCGCACTCGCTGCGACGCGCGTCTGGGCAAGAGATGTTCTTCCACTTGTTGTCGTCCTTAATCCAGTAGCTGTCGGGCGAGACAGAGTCACGAGCGTGAGTGCGCGGCGGGCCGCGGCGATTGGGGTTGGCCAAGTGAGCCCACGCGCAGCGCTCGCCGTAGCAAAAAAAGCACGGATCGGCCAATGAAATGCAGCAGCACCCTCCTGAAAAGAAGTCGCTTGACGCGACGTATTATTTTTTAATTATTATTATTATTCAGCCCAGCCACTCGGTCGCCTCCTTATCACTCTTCTATCACCACTACAATGGTTACTGCTTCTGTCCACTTCACTCAGTGATTCCTCGACCCGTGTCAAGGGCTCGGTCTACCAGACACCGACTGTTTCGTCTCATCCACACTGTTTTCAACAACCACCACCAACACAGCAGCTTCCCATAACATAACAAAAACCGCCGTTGACCACTAAGTCGCGGTGACATCACCACGGCGCTTGTGCCATGGTCGGGGCACTTTGAGGCCACGTGGAGTGTCGAAGGACCCCGCTGGCAGGAGGTCACGAAACAGACCCAGGTGCCATGGGTTGACTGAGATGACTGGCAGAGATGCAGCAACTTTGTTGGCACAGTGGGGAGCACACTCACCCACTCGCTCACCGCACTGCGAGTCACAACCATTTCTCCCATTCTTTCCTCACACTGCTCCACTTTGGAATTGCCTGTTCCCATCGTCTCTCCATCCTCAAGTTCTTAGAAGCTCGCTCGATTCAAGAAAAGCATTTGCGACAGTCTTGACGATTACAACTCGAATGGTGCTGTAAGTTGCTGGCCGCTTGCCATTTATTGGCCTTTTCGGACGTGTGCTCAGAAAACCGCGAGAGAGAAAAACAAAAGCAGGCTTTGAAGGTTGGTCAACATGTTGTTAATTACCTTTTATACTGCAGTCTGTAGGTCACATCGCGGGTCGCGCTGGGGTCAGGTGACCACTCGGCAAAGCAGTTGAGATCCACAGAGGTCACGCGAAAGTTGCGTGGCGCCGGCAGACCTGGCCAACAGTCAGAAAAAGAAACAGACATTCCATATCGTGGGACCTTCTTTGCCTTTACCAAAATACGAGAATAGGTTTTTCCCAGTTTTTTCTGGCAACAAAACAGCTGTGTTAAGATGTCAAAACACCAAACTGAAACCTTTCACAAGGAATCATGTCACTGCATTAACCACAACGCTTGTGGTCAGAATACAAACAAAAAACACGCTCTGATAATATATGGCATTGTCCTTGAAACTGATTGGTGCACACCAGAGACAACTTTCTTTTGAGCCTCGTCTCAAAACGGTGTTAGACCAGAGGACATTCCTTATATTAATGACCATCACCCACCGTAGTCTGTGCTCCTTTCAAAGAGGAGGAACGGCAAAACTACACTCTCTCTCTCGGCTGAAGCTCTCTCGTCGTGGCTGGCAGACCTCGACATTGGCACTCGGCTCCTGAACACATTGCTGCCATCAAAACATACGCAGGAATAACGATAAATTGAAAACGAATTTTGCTTTAGAACTGCTTTTTTATGTTTAGCTTGTTGTCTAGATACTTTTGTTTTGTCACACACGTGGTGCTGATATGCCGGACTGGTTTGTACATAATAAATTGTATGTAGTGTATAATGCACCGGATGTAATATTTAACGCCGAAATCAAGCGTAACTACTTTTTTTTGTCACGCACGTGGTGCCAATCGCTAGGACCACAGGAACAATATGGAAGCAGCTGGATAATCGCGTGCCGGATAATCGATTATCAACTGTGTGTGTATATATATAATATCGGCGACGTTTTGGGGAATGACCATGGCTCGGTCGAAGGGGAAATTAACAATGATGTGCTATTAAGAATTATTGCCTGCAACGTCGCCTATTTGTGTAAAAAGAAAATAAAACGTGGGGAGCATTAATGACAAATATGTTGAAATCAGACGAGATCGGGCACATTGCAGGCGACCTTGGCCAGAGGCATTTCGTATGAAGTACAGAAGGAAGGTACAGTATTAGCTTTGTAATAGTTCTGGCGAGTCGCCATGTTAACTGCACGAGGCCCCGTACACCATAGTGGTTCGCCCATCCAAGCATTTATCCCAGCTCAACTCTTGCTTAGCTTCTGACGAATCTGAGCAAACGAAAAAAAATCAAGCAAGCTCAACACATCCCTCAATAACACCACACACAGTATGGTGGCCTGAAAATGAATATATTTCAAAAAAATACGTGTATGTACGTTGCACTTATTTCGTATGGGGCCGTCCATAAATGACGTCACGAGAATTTTTTGGACGATTTTTGACCCCCCCCCCATCGTCACACGGCGTCACGAAAAAAGTCAGATTCCCCCTCAAATATGACGTCACAAAGCTCTGCCCACCCCCCCCCCCAAAAAAAATATAAAACATGCTTCAAATCGCTTCATACTATTGTCATTGTAGCGCGTATTTAATGTGGCGCTGCACTCTGATGTTGTAGGAGAAAACATTTATTAAAAAGTATATTTAATTAAGTAGAACGTGTTGTCTATATTTATTTAAAGTTGCGCATTTTGATGTGACGTCACATTTCTCAAACCCCAACCCCCCCACCTCGTCACACATCGTCACAAATGCCTGACCCCCCCCCCCCAAGCGCGTGACGTCATTTATGGACGACCCCTATCGTACTTTGCCAGCTGTGCTAATCGGAGGTACCGGGGTGAAGGAAAAACCAGCTAAACACAAACAGCGGTTCTAAAGAAACGCGTTTTCAATTGAGATGATTTCATGCGCACGGCGCCAATTGGGTTGTCTAGTATGGGAGGGAAGAGCGTTCCAGGCGGCCGCAGAAACGCATCCGGTCACCGCCGTCATTGTTCGATCGATTATCCAAAAGGCGCCGCCACTGCTGCTGCTGCGAGGACGATGGGTGACGTTTCGGGCAATGGCCCTTCTTCACAGCACGCGAAGAGACGCGACGAAGAATGGGCCGCAGTTTGGCCGCGGCGGACGGCGATTGAGGGCCGGAACTGATGTGGGGTGGGGACGGAATCGATGGTTGCACGGCCCGGGGCAGTTGGCACTGGCACGTGGCTTGCGACTGCTGCGAACGTCATCACGACAGCCATGCGACTCGTCCAGTCGGTGCACATTGCTCCACCATGATCAAGGTTGCTATTTATTAAAGCAAAAAATATATATCAAATTTATCATGCGTGTTTGTGATACACAAAATAGCTTAGTATATTTTGATTGGAAGCTTTCGTGACCGCAGTAATTCATATTCTTAGCTCTTTCGGTAAAGTCACGTTGAAGGGAAACAATAAAATATTGTTATATATAATAAAATATTGTTATATATTTTATTATTTTATTGTTTCCCTTCAATGTGACTTTACCGAAAGAGCTAAGAATATAGCTTAGTATATGTACAACTAAGAGTATACAGGTTGCTTCGACATTTTTTTAACCACTTATATGGGACTTTCTTTTTTAATGGGAAAAAAAGCAACGGATACTACACTGTAACGTGATGACAAATGTAATGTGAATAGCTTCAACAAGTCAAAGAGTCTCCCACGTGTTCGCCGTCGTTGTCAACACGTGGGCCTGGAATCGTCTCCACGTGATCTCCGGAGCCCGGAGGCAGCAGCGCATGTCACGTGGTTATTGCTGCAAATTCTCCGAAGTGTTCACATTTTTTTTTAAGCACCCTGTATATCAACCTAACCTCATTCGTCAATAACACTGTGTGCCATTAAATGGAGAAATGGATATAACGACGGACAGTGTCGATGATCTCAACTTGCGATGCGCCGCTGAGAACTGCTCCCTCGCTCTCTGAGAGAATGCCCAATTGCCCGGGGGATGCTCTCTGAGAGAGCTAGGGAACGGCTCAGAGGCGTGTGGGGAACGGACCACAGACAACGGCGAGCAGAAAGGCAGCAGCAGCAGCCGCAGCAGCCACGCGGTCAGCCGGCGCTGCCAACAATTGCCCAAGGTCTGCGGTTCTCTCTATATATATATTGCGGTGTTATTGACCTGTTTGGTAGAACGAAGGGTGTGGTGCAATACCCCGCCCCCCGTATAGACGGATACAGATGGAGAGTTCACTTGCCGTACCGCCTTCTGCTGGCGAGCAAGGGTATGTGGCAATCTTCTCGAGTTTGACATCGACCTGGGAGCATAGAAGTACGGCACAACGAAGAAGAAGAAGAAGAAGCGCGCTACGCTGCCAGCAAATTCCGCACCAGGATGTCGATGCCAACCTGTTTGTGCGTGGTGATCACCCATCAAAGCAATACCCACGTGTGTCTAGAACGCCTTGCCTCACTTTTGTCGAGTGCGGCTTTGGCCAAAGGGACATCGTCATTGATGTGCTATGAAGGTCCATTATTGCCCGAAGCGTCGCCGATTGTATCTTTAGTCCTTTGAAGGCCACACAGTGTGACTGACGAATTAGCAGTGGACACAGTCGCCCTGATATACTCGTATGCACAGGTTGACTGTACTCGTGAAATAATGATGGAATCTCACTCATTAGTCAATTACACTTCTCCACTTTTAGGGTATTCCACAACTCAATTCCCCCCCCCCCCACTCGACACAAAAATAAGTCTCTTGTGTTGCAGTCGAAACATCGTGAGAATCTTATTGTTTTACATATATTTTATTGCTTCCCTTCAACGTGACTTTACCGAAAGAACCAAGCAATATGAATCACTGCAGTCACGAGAGCTTTAAACCAAAATTTAAGTCTCTTAGAGTTGTACCCATTCACCCCTCCGCACGCCCCTAATGTTTTCTCAACAGATGTTTTTTTTGGCCTACTCTTCCGCGAAGGCCATGCATCTTGGAAGAGGCGGGATGTGTCACGCACGCTTTAACCCCAGCCTCCGAGCGGCCTTGCCGAGCGACTTTTGTGCCAACCGTGCTGTTTGTTGTGCCCAGGTGTGCAAACCGACGAGAATCCTGTAAAGGTGCCGTGTTCATTGCGACGAAGATTCCCCCGACTTAACAATCTCGCGTTGTCCGGACGGGCTATCCTGGAGCAATTCTAGATTTAAAGCTTTTCGTGACTGCTAGGATCCATACTCTTTGGTTCCATTGGGTAAAGTCACGTCGGTGAAAAAATAAAATAACAAAAAATCACGACGTTTCGGCCACAACACAAGCGGCCTTCATCGGGTGAAGGGACTGGACTGTCTGGAGGACAGCGCTGGAGTGGGAGAAGCCACGCACAGCTTAAAGGTCGCGATCTGAGCGTGGCTTCTCCCACTCCAGCGCTGTCCTCCAGACAGTCCAGTCCCTTCACCCGATGAAGGCCGCTTGTGCTGTGGCCGAAACGTCGTGAGAATTTTGTTATTTTATTTTCACCTACGTAACTTTACCCAATAGAAACCAAAGAGTGTCCTGGAGCACACAAAACTTCCAACGACACCCGCGCCGGTTTCGCTTTCCGACGAAACGCGAAACGCGCAGTAGTCTGAAGGTCGGGTCGCGTTGGCAAAACACAAAACAAAACCCCAGCGTCTTACCTTGAACGTCCAAACAGGACGCGCTGCCCAACAGCACCAGCAGCACAATCGTGGTGGTGGTGGTGCTGCTGTTGTTGCTGTTGTTGTTGCTGCTGCTGGTGGTCTTCATTTGGGAGGCATACGAAAGCGGTCACCCACCCACCGTGTTCGCTCTCATCACCTGCGCCGCGGTGAGACCTCGCGTGCGTCGTGACGTCAGGCGGCGTGCATTGAATGCCGTTCGTGGGATGGGTTTTTAAAAAAAAAAATGTTTTAAGAGTAATAAACGGCACGCATCGTGGTGATGGGTTTTACCCCGGGCGGGGTCAAGGGGGTTGGCAACGAAAATAAACAATCGGAGTCATCTATAATGTTGGAGGGGGGGGGGGGGGGTTGTGGGGGGCTGGGAGAGGGGGGGGGGTAGATCGTGAAAATATAAAATGTGTCGTTAAATCCGCCACCACCCGACACAGCCAATTAGTTAAGGTTCGTCACGTTAACAGAACGTGCGAATTCGTTACGAGCACAGCCACACACACCGCTGTGTTGGAGCGCAAATCCGCAACATTTACAATCTGTTAAACCGAATAAGAGTCATGTGTTTTTTTTGTTCGAATTCCATGACAAAACAATAAAACTACCATACATATTTAAAAATCCCGCAATGGGTTCGTCATCTGGTCGAGCACCAATTGGGTCGAGGCTCAAAAGAAAGCCGTCCTCTTGGTGTGGACCAATCAGTTTCAAGGACAATGCATCATATATTATCATAGTATGTTTTTTTGTTTGCATTTTGACTGCAGGTATTGTGGTTAATGCAGAAAAAATGGGAAAAACCCCTATTATTATGCTTCAAATCGCTTTAAACTATTGTCATTGTAGTGCGTATTTAATGTGGCGCTGCACTCTGATGTTGTAGGATAAAAACATTTACAAAAAAGTCTATTTAATTAAGTAGAACGTGTTGTCTATATTGATTTAAAGTTGAGCATTTTGATGTGACGTCACGTTTCTCAAACCCCCCCCTTTCTCGTCACACATCGTCACCCCCCCCCCTAGGTGCGTGACGTCATTTGTGGACGGCCCCTTATTTAAGAGGGAGGGGTTGCCCCATGTGGAGTGACGTCACCCGCTAATGGTTATTGGGGAGGGGTGCGGCATGTGGAGTGACGTCACCCGCTTATGATTATTAATGAGGGGAGGGGTGCGGCATGTGGAGTGACGTCACCCGCTCATGATTATTAATGAAGGGAGGGGTGCGGCATGTGGAGTGACGTCACCCGCTTATGATTATTAATGAGGGGAGGGGTGCGGCATGTGGAGTGACGTCGCCCGCTCATAATTATTAATGAGGGGAGGGGTGCGGCATGTGGAGTGACGTCACCCGCTCATGATTATTAATGAGGGGAGGGGTGCGGCATGTGGAGTGACGTCACCCGCTCATGATTATTAATGAGGGGAGGGGTGCGGCATGTGGAGCGCGCGACCTTCTTGTGCGTCAGTGTAAATTTCCACGCGTGCATGAATATTAATGACGGGGGGGGGGCTTTTGTAGTGACGTCACGTACGGATGTAGCACTGTGCTGTGTATGAATATTGATGAAGGGGGGGTGGGCTCTTTTGCAGTGACGTCACGCACGGATGTAGCACTGTGCTGCGTACATTTATTTTTTTTACCGTCACTTTCAGTAAAGAAACGTCGTCACATTTGAAGCGACTTTGCGTAATAAATTATTTAATTCAGCTCGACCTTCCTCTGCGTTAGTGTAAAAATCCACTCACTCATGAATATTAATGAGGGTGTGGTCCTCATGTGGAGTGACGTCACGCGCGGGACGGACAGACATTTCTGGGTGATCATAGTTCCATATTTCGACTTAAAGCTTTCGTGACTGCAAGGATTCATCTTCTTTGGTTCTTTCGGTATAGTCACCACCACGTAGAATGAGAATAAAATAATAAATTGATAAAATAAAATAACACAATAAAATTCTCACGACGTTTCGGCCACAACACAAGCGGCCTTCATCAGGTGAAGGGACGAGACTGTCTGGAGGACAGCGCTGTCACTCCAGACAGTCTCGTCCCTTCACCTGATGAAGGCCGCTTGTGTTGTGGCCGAAACGTCGTGAGAATATTATTGTGTTATTTTATTTTATCAATTTATAGTTCCATAGTTCCATTTATTTTGTGTATAGCCCTGTGAGCCATTCGGCTCTTGAATCGGATGCAACCGCAACAAACAAAAAAACATGAACAAGAAAAACATCTTAAAGTGATTATGTGTGTGTGTGACCGTGCAAACAGAAAATCCATGGAAAACAACATAAAAAAATATTCCTGAAATAGCATTAGTCGGTGATGATGCCAGTCACGTGGCGGTACGATCTCGAATCCATGCGCTCCTCTTTACAAAACATCTTATCGGTGTCTTTCCTCCAATTAGCAAGGGTTGGCAACGTACGGTGCGAAAGAAGTTCGCAATACGTACACACAGCATGCGTAAGTACCTGCACGCGTCTCTAGTTAGCGCGTGTTAAAAAGTGTACGTTCATCAATGCGAGTACAACAAAAAAATTACAATTCACGCTGCAATAATGCACGTGCACGCTTGCAAAATTCAATGTAGTCCGTTTGAGTAAATATATTCGGTTTTTGTTTGTTTTGTTACAATATTTAACTGCACTGTTGAATGGCCTCGCCGTGCCGTGCCTGCCATTGGGGGGTTTTCGACCATACTTCACCGCACTGAAATATAGGCAGTGGGAAGGGCTGCAGGACCAGTGTGGATGAAACTCGCTACTCAATAGCAGCTGTGGCCGGGGAATTCCGTCCGCCGCGGTGGGGAGATGTTAACTACCTCGCCTGGTATACAGGTCAATCCCGGACACTAACGATGCCCCCTATATTTGGATTTTGCGTGTTTCTCCCCGTAGTCGCGTGGACTTTTTTTCCGGGTCCTCCGCTTTTTCCCTCCACATTTAGAATCGTGCGTTTAAGAGTGCTATAAATTTCCACATAAGCCATTTGTAAAAAAAAAAAGCTATATAGGTTAGTGGGCCTTACCTTGTACAATAAAAACGATTTAATAGTTAATTCCAGTAGCCAGGTTCAGTGCCCTGAATCACCGCACCACTGCTTCACCCCCCCCCCCCCCCCAGCAATTGAGTATATTGATATCAATATCAACGTCTTTTAGGCTTTTGCACAAGTCCACAGGGCCCTCGGCAATCGTCGAGTTTTCAAAATTGCCAATTCGAAAGCCATCAAGTGATAAAATAGTGTAACTCACACGGGAGCATTGTCGAAAACAGAATAAACACATCGAGGTTCAGCATTAAAATGAATTTGAAAAACAGAGATTGAAATACGCATACGAAACGTTACCAAAGTCATATCAACAAACGACATTTTTTTAATATTCTTAGTTCTTTCGGTAAAGTCACGTTGAAGGGAATTTTTATTGTTTTTTATATATATTTTATTACTTTATTGTTTCCCTTCAACGTGACTTTACCGAAAGAACTAAGAATATGAATTACTGCAGTCACGAAAGCTTTAAATCAAGACAATTTTTTTTATTGAATAAACAAACAATACAAACGTTATTGAGTCTAGGCCGGCGTCCCCGTTGCACAATTTTTAGAATTGCGAGCAAGGATTCGGCATCGTGACTTGCGAGCACACTTCACCCTCCGCCTCAGAGCGGTCTTCGAATCCATTGGCCGCCCCGATAAATACTGCGGGTGTGTATAAACCTTATGACAGCGGACGCTCGGGATCCCGTCACGTTGCTCGCAGGACCGGGGCGTTTGTGCACCGGTGCCTTGGTCAAATTACATTTTAAAAAAGATTAGAACCCCGCAAATTCATTTCAATGTAAATACCAATCATCGCCTCCTCCTCCTACTGCAAAGAGTCGTGAGACTCTCAGAGGCTTTCCTGGGAAAAAAAACAAGCGGATGACGAATATCTTTCTGTCGATTGGCCTTTTGCCGCCAGCCGGCAGGCATTTAATTGTTGCGGTGAGTTTTCTCACCATTATGGTGTTGGATTCGAATCTATTTTGCAAAATAAGGTAGAAAATAACACTCGAAATGTGTTGTAAAGGCTTCGGTGATGAAGTTGGATACTTGTTTTTGCAATGTTCACATCAATTACCAGCACTGTAACCAACATTTCACCAAAAAAAACCCTCCCCCCCCCTCCCCCCCCCCAAACGTGAAATATCTTCCAACACAACGTTTATGAACAAATGAAGCTGAAAAAAAAACTCAGCACAGAGAGACGCAAGCTTGAAACGACACCGGCAGAGTCGACACACGTGCACGTTAATGACATCAAACTGTGGGGCTTGGGCAGGACACGTCAAGAAAAGCCGATCACGGATTACAATCAAGAAGAATAACGGCGTGTGGCAGCCAATGAATGAAACAAATCCAAGATGATGTCCACCGAGTCGGACGACTAAATCGGTGAATGTTGTGCTGGGTGGATTGTTAATTGACCGTCGCAAGATTGTGAGGTGGCGGACGGCTGGGGATGGGGACTCCAATCCAGCAGCGGATTAACCATGGCTGATGACGATTGAACTTGCTGGCTGCGGCCAATTATTCTCACGGGGCTAAGTGAACCACATCGTGCTAACTAAGAAACGCCACGTGCTCCAAGTGCTGCACATTCCGGAATATGCCCTGTACGGCGACTTGAGCGCCACGTCATATCCGGTGAGTCACCACTTATATCGCACCTTCAGAGTTTGTTTAAAAATAATAATAAAAAAACCACAGGCATTGCATTGAATGGGAACTTCAAAGCAACGGCAACTCAAAGCGCCTTACATAACATCCCGTCTCGTGAACTGGAAGAGAACCCCCCAGTGGTAGCTGTCCCTGTGTAGCACAAGGTGATTCAAGTTGGGGGGATTGGTTTGTCAGCATGTGGCAAGGTCTGCAATGCGTAATCCTTGCCACAAAGGGAAGAGCGCTTGAAAGGTCAGAGATGAGTAAGCGAATTTCGGATGTTGGGGAATCTCGAAAGGAAAGGAGGAATTAATTTCACGATACGGCGCGATGAAATCACCTTGCGTGCAGGTGCTCGGTGAATTATTATTGCGACGCAGCCAGGTGAGACCTTCATTCAACATTTGATTGACCATGGCTGACGATTACAATATTTAAACAATTTATAAAAAAAATACACATTTGCACACGATTTACGACGCGTTTATCGTCTCCTGCCAGGCTTATGCTTTCTGAATCCTGTTCTCGGTCGAGCTGGTTTGTTGAACTGGTTTTTGAAGTCAATGAGACAGTCTGGGGATTGGGAAATTGATCTGAAAGACTTGATGGGCGAGTTGCTGATGACAATGCCTTCCAGAATGTTGTCCGAACCATCTGCAACCTCCCTCTCACTCACTAAACTTGTGCTGCTGTTGCTGTCAGACTCTGGGACGAATGTTTGACGGGAGGCACCAGTGCTCCCTTCCCTGTCAAAAAGAGAAACATCTTAAGACTCAAGCAGATTGCCAACAAATTAACAACGTAGTCATTTAATGCCGACGATAAAAGCCAATGATTCTCAGTGTGCTTGCGGAGGCCAAGAGGGCAGAACCAGGTTAAGTGCATCACAGCTGTTGTAGGCCCAATGCTGTGATGCTACGTGGTGACCAGGGGATGGCAGTACAGCAACGCGCTCAGTCCACATGCAGATTGATATGCATGCGTGCATATTGAACTCATTTCGCACCGTCCAGAGCCAACCGTGCTAACCGGAGGTGCAGCGGAAGTGCAACAAACGAAACACAACAAGCAAAGTTCTACAGAAGTGAGTTTTCAAACGAGGTGTAAAAGCGCATAGCTCAAGTGGCTTCCGAATCTTGATTTGAAGCTTTCGTGACTGCAGGAATCCACACTCCTTTCTTTCTTTCGGTAAAGTCACGTGCGTATAAACTAAATCACGACGTTTCGGGCGCAACACAAGCGTCCGTCACCAGGCTTTCACACCTGATGTGCCCGAAACGTCGTGATTTATTTTATTTTATACCCACGTGACTTCACCGAAAGAACCAAATGGATTTCAGATATCGTAAGAACGTTCGAGACACGTAGGCTAATCGGACCAATATCCATAACACAGTTTTTTGAGTTAGATCGTGTAAAAATAAATGTGCACACGATAACAATGGGCATGCATAATGTGAATTCATAATGTACATCCACCCCCACCCCTTCACACGTGAAGTGCACACAAGTGACGTCATCACACCTACCCCTCTATTTAAGGAACGCAACAGGAGGATAATCTCCACAAATCTGGTTGCTGTCCGCCTGATGAAGCTAGTTGTAATTACTGGCGAAACGTCGTACACTCAAGATTGTAAATGTTGTGGATTTGCTCACCCAACACACCGGTGTGCTGTACGAGTAACGAATTGGCGCGTTCTGTTTACGTGGCAAACTATTACTAACTGCTTGTGTCGGGTGGTGGCGGGGCTTAACGACGCATTTATATTTACGCAAACCCCAAAAAAAACGATATTATGAACGTTCTAGACGGCCGCAAAAGCACATCTGAAAGTGCGTGGTGTAGTGACTGTCTTTGTTCGATGGCTAGCCAAAAAGTTGCTGCAAGCATGAAAACCACTGCTACTTATTGGGTCTCTCTGTGGATTGCATCTTTTTTACGTGTAGAACTTTTGAGTGTTATATTCTTGTAAGTATGGGTTTCCCTAGGAACCCTGGTTTGCCTACAAAGGTCAAACACTCATTGGTATCAGCCAAACGTGCCACCACAGGACCCTCCTGAAAAATCATAGAGATTCAGCGACGCTTTCCAGAGTGAACAATCACAATATATAATGTAACGTTATCTTTCTTCGAGACGGAATGAATACCATGCAGCGTGTTACAAGTTCAACTTGTTATTAATTCACCTGGACCATGAAGGTACCTCCATTTTAGAGTTGCTTGGGACGTAATTTTCTGTGAAATGCACACGTTAAACACATGTTCATTATACTGTATACTGACTGCAACAATATAAATTGTGAATGTACTCCACTAGCTACTGGAAATGGTGCGTACTAGGAATGAGTTACAGCTACAAATTTTATGCTCAATTTCAGGCCCAACTTTTCCGGTAATTTTTTAATGTTACTAAATGATCATACCTAAATGTAATAATCTTAAATATTAATCACTGATTTATACATTTTAACATCATGTTCCAAAAGTAAAACAATAATTTAAATATATTTTAGATAAAATTTCAGTAAACGTGACATTGTGTGACAACACCTTTGGCAGGAAATGTGAGGACAAAGTCACAGGAAGTGATGTCACCCTAACTCTCAAAGAGATGATCAAATATAAATTAATCTTAGCATAAAATTGTTTCTCGCAGTTTCTTTTATTCAACCAGGTGAGAATTCTAAAGACCAGCTTAGTCTAATTTGCAAGAGTGACCTCGGGCAATGTAAATAAAATACAGAAAAGCCTTGGATTGCGAGCATAATTCGTTCTGGAAACGTGTTTGTAATCCAAAGCACTCGTATATCAAAGCACTCGTATATCAAAGCACTCGTATATCAAAGCACTCGTATACCAAAGCACTCGTATATCAAAGCACTCGTATAATCAGTTGTGATCACGTGACGCTCGGCAGACAAAGCGTTATACTGTGTACGTACTACTTGTATTACAAGACCCTCGCTCGTTTATAAAATTAATATTTATTTAAAATGTTTGCTCGTCTTGCAAAAACACGAGCAGACCAAGTTACTCGCAATCCAAGGTTCTACTGTACATTGAAACAAAAAGAACTCGGTACAAAACTGTACCACATGAGAAATGGAAAAATAAAAACATGAAACGGATAAGGTGATTACAGCACCTGTATGTAAACAGGTAGATTAGAGACTTGCCCTCATTAAAAACTTTGGCCAAATTTACCAAAGTTTGACTAAAAACAGAGCAAAAAAAATCCCATCTGCATATATACACAATATAATTTTACGATGGAAGCTGTCAGAAATATGGAAACATATTTCGCTGTGGCAGCTACTATACTGCTAATTAAATACTTCCGAAGGCAATGCATCGCGCAATCATTGCGTGTGCACAAGTTTTCTTCACTTGTTCACGTGAAAATGGCCAATACAGCGTTCAAACTGAAAACCTCGAATACCTGCATCGTCCACATCTTCGGAGATGCAGCATTCAGATGCGTGCTGCTCAATGTGAGATGCCAAGAACTCCACCAAACACAAGGGGCAGGGCACGGTCTTCTCGAGCCTTTCCTTCTGCGAGGCGGTAAAAAAAATAACAACCACACACACATGCAGTTCTTTTCTAACCCTTTACAAACCATGTTGAAAGCATTCATGCTCCACACATAACGGGGGGGGGGGGGGAGTTAACAGGTCCCTGCAGGGTGGGCTGGTAGGACAAGTCTCTGCGCTGTCTGTTGCTGATTTTACACCCCCAACAGCACGAGATTTCACTTCGGTAAAGTATTGAAAGGGGACGGACGGACGGACACATTAATCTATTGCAGGCTGGTACACTCAGTTTACAACTTCGTTCCTACCAGTATAACTCTATCACTCTCGTAAAGATGATCCATTAAGAAAGCTCGAAAATAAAGTTGTTGCGATGTAGGACTTGCCCGATTGAAATACAGTAGACTCGATTATCCGCGCTGACGGGGAGGACGACCACGGATAATTCAAAATCTCGGACAATCCAAAAATACCCATTTTCTGCGGATGTCTATGCAAAAAAACCCCACTAATATAGGTATAAATGATGTGAAAGTTAAGACAATTTAGTTTGCTAATGAACAAAACAACATTTCTCGGAAAGAATCAATGCGTGTGCTCAGTGATAACACTTTCCTGCTCCCGCGCAGAAGACTCCAGCCACAAAGTGGATAACAGAGCCACGCCAATCAAAATCAATCACTCCGCCCACTCTTGTAAAGATATGCAACTACTGTACTGTAGAGGCGATCGCGTGGATTTCGGATTAACCGGAACACAAATTTGTTCAGTTTAAGCACGCGACTTGTAATAAACATTTCCAAGAATAACAATGGATAACTGTTTTTAGATTCTTCATTTGAGCTTCAGGGAAAACCCATGCGCGATTAATCCCCAAATCGGATAAACCGCGCGCGGGCAGCCGAATCGATCAAAGGGCTGCCGAAAACGAGCACATACAAAACCCGAGCCGAAAGCATGACTGCTTTTGTAAATATGCGAATGGGGTTTGGCAACAGCGACAGGTCGGCCTTTTGTTTTTCACTTGGAATGTTGCTGCATGCACAGTATTCGCTCACTCTCCAAGAGAGGGACACAACTCAAGAGGCATGAGGAACCAGACAAGTGGGGAAAAGCCCCCCCCCCCCCGACCCCTAAGCTCTTGTTTTTCCTAACTTGCTTTTATCTGATACCGCCTGAAGTCAACACTCATGTGATGCGAATTAGAGATGTCCAAAATATGCGGCGCACATGGTCGTTTTTTGAAAAGCAGCAAAACGGCGGTGGTGCAAACAAAAATGGGAGTACCTGTTCGTTTTTTCTCTGCAGATTGTGCTTCTGTAGAGACAAAACATGTTTTCTATCACTCCCATCAGACGACTGCAGAGAGGGCTCGGGTGTTTCTTCATATCTCTCCATTACCCCTTCCTCTTCACATTGCATGACTTTCAATTTGGCTTTGTTCGTGACGATTGTTCCATCGTTTGCCGACGGAGACGTAGTCAGTTTTCCTTCAATATCACGAACCTTTATAACGTCATTCGAGTCTCCCGATTGATTTTTGTACTCTTTGCAGTCACCAGTTGCCGTTTTCCTTGTGCAATCATGTTGATTTGTCTGCTTATCATCATCATTATTATCATCATCATCATCAAGAATCAAATCAAATTCATGCTCATTAATTTTAGGGCTCGTAACTTTAGAATTATTAGCTCTGTGTTTTACATCGACTTTTTCACCAATGTGTTCTGTCATTTTTCCATCACTTTCTTTCCTGACACGTGTTGGAGTCTGTATTTTTCCATCCACGGCGCTAAAGTTGGCCAAGGTTAGTTTACGGGGCTGTAGACTTCCCGTCGACAGCATCATTTCATTCTTGCTACAGTTGTCGCTGCGTGTGTTTTTTGCTAGATATGGACTCCCTGTCGAAAAAGCACTGCTGTCCCTGCGCGCTGTCCGTCCTCTCTCACCTGCTGTACAATTGTCTTCAAGAAATACAACCTCATCGGCTCTTCGTTGAGGGGTGCCAGATACACGTTTAAGCGTTGGTAATGATATAAAATCATCATCTTCATCATCATCACATATTTTACCATACTCAATTTCCCCAAGCTTAGGAGTGTCTGAATATTTAACATCCTTATGCTGGGGCAATCCCTTACGTCTTTGCAATTTACATTTTGGTAGGCGTTTCACCTTTTCATCAGGGGGCGACATCGTTGAGGCACGTAAAGAATCAGTGCTTTTTTCACGCACTTTCTCAGCCGACGATTCCGAATCTTCATTTTCCCCCTCATCCTCATCCTTGCTCAGTCCCTCATCCTCATTTACGTTGTCGCTTCCTTCTTTCTCTTCCCACCACTCGCGAGGTGTGCTCCGCCCTCCCTGCACGCTAACGCCCTGCTTCTCCTCACCCGCCGCTCCGCTCTCTTCGCCCGCGGCAAATGGCTGGCGCTTCGCGTCGCCCGCTCGCGCTTCGGATCGTCCACGCCACCGCCGGTCCTTCGCGGGCTCTGGCAACGCCTCGCACATGTCCGCTTTCCGCAGCAGCCGCCGCTGCTGTTGCTTCGCCACGGCCGCGTAGGTCTGCAGCTGACAGAGGATGACGCTCGTGTATTCGTCCGGGTTTAAACCGGCGGGGCAGAACGGCACCCCCCAGTAGTAGTTGACCACGTCGTCCCGACCCAGTGTCCTCCCGCTGGGGCCGCAGGGGAGTGCACCACCCTCGGTCGCTTTTGCACCGCCTGAAATCAGGCGGTTGTTGCGCTCCACCTGGCCCGGACCGTTTTCCCCAGTGCCGATGTCGTGTCGCAAGCCACCCGCGTCGAAGACGATCGGACGATCGCGGATGCTTCTTGTGCGGGGTTCGTCGTCGACACCAACGTCGTCATTCCTGTCTTTGCTTTGCGTTGCAAATTCAATGGGGTGCTCTTCTCCCAATGCAGGCAACACCTTTGCCTTCTTATTTATTACCGACGAGGACTGTGTGTTTTTTCGCTTCAGTGAAATATGCGTACGTGGTTTGCGCGCGCGATCACTTTTAATGGAATCTTCATCGTCAGCCCCGTGTGAATCGGAGGATTGCTGAGACGCGTCTGTGTTTAGTTTGGAATCGCGCGATCCTCCGCTGTCAGTTGCCGAGGCAGTGCCGGAGGCAGGTGACCTGTGCTGCCTGGTTGTCCACGTCTGGGCTCTGCCTGTGGTGGACCGAGACGAAACAGATCCAAGAACACGCGGAGGCGACCCGTCGCTCGAAGACACCTCGGACGTCTTCAAATCCTGAAACCGTTCACAAGCGCGCAATCAGCAATCCTCGCAGACCACGTCACAACGTCTGTAGGGAAGTAGCAATGGTAGTTTCTCGCTGACGAGTCTGCGTTGCGTTTCGAGGGACTTCCCTTTAAACAAGCGAGTTATCCTAAGGTATTCATGCTACCGCACATTTAAAATATTCTCCCAAAGGGTGTAAGAAGACCCACCTGAAAATGTCTCAAGACTCATTAACTAATGACTATTAATCCAAGTGCCCTCTTCCGGCTTCGGCCGCGAATTGGGCATTAGTTCTCTCAAGCTTTGACGGCTGTGGACATATTTCAGGAGTTGAAGTGAGGAATCCCCACATGGTGTCCTCCAACCTTATGTGTTCACTGACCCGGGTGAGATTCTTCATCTAATTTCCTGAAGATACCCACAGCAGTGCTTGGCAAAAGAGTAATAATGTTCAACATAAAGCCCAACCCAGAAGATGACACTTGGGATGAGGAAACAACTGCAAAAACCCATCTGCTAAGATAACAGCCATATTCTCTGGATATCAATTTTTTTTCCACGTATATTAAAGCAAAATTTGGTGAGGTAGGGGTGTCTTATAATCCAATAAAGGTGTGTGTGAAGAGATTTGTATACCTTTAATGAAAACAGGCGCACGTTTTGGATGCGTTTGCATCTTATAATCCAGAGAATACGGTACGGAATTGGCCTACATTTACCAGTGAGGATGGCAATGGACGATGATTACTTGCTCTGGTTTTCATTCACTGGCACGCAAACATTATTGGGCAATTACAATAAGCCAAACAACTGGCCTAGCGGTAGCACATTTGCCGTTTCTTGGAGAAGTTCACGGTTCAAATCCCACCGCCGCTCTGATTAATACTGCAGGTGTATTAACTGTAAATTATACGTGCCGTTTGCTTCACAGTGAGTGGATGTTACAGACCTGTAATGCCATGTACAAGCAGAGGTCACTGTGTGCCCTGATCCAAATGTGAAAAATTTAACGGAAAATAATTAATTTAAATATAAGCAATGATTACCCCCCGACTGTGAACATTTGGTGGGACCCTCCTGAAAGAGATTCAGGAGGCTTTCCTGGGTAAATAAGCGTTATAATAATGCGTAACTTAAGTAAGCAATCCTTGGGAATCTTTTGCAATACCGTGGATTTATCTTGAGTCTGCCGTTCCTCCCTCTCCTCACAACTGATCTTCATTGCAAGCACCACTTGCTCATCTTCGCTCATGTCTGAAACAATCGCATCGCAAAAAACGAGATGGATGAAAAAAAACAACGTAACGTCGGTACGAAGGTAATGTTAGGGGTGGAGTGGGCAAGCGTGCAGTGGTTAGCACCCTGCGCTCTGAATCCAGCAACCCGAATTCGATTCGGAGGTATTTGGCTGCCATAAATGTGCACGTGATGATAAAGCCACTTCGTTGAGCTATCGTTTGCGATAGGCCAGGTCGCTTCTGAGAAAGAGCTACATGGCTCAGTGGGCCTTACCTGGTAAAATAGAAAATAGTTGAGCTTCATTTGCATGCCACAGCTAACATCGGTGAGCGACGAGTGATATCTTGACTGGCGCTGATAATGCCACGCCCCCCTCACCCACCCACAGCTGTCCCCCCCCCAGTCATTACCAAAATGTACTGACCAGCGTGAAGTGCGGACTAACAAACTCCCCTGACAAATTATATGGCGTGGGGGAGGGCCTTCATCCAGCGTGGATTGACAAAAAGGCTGTACAACACTAATGTGGCACATCTACAGTTAAGTTTACTTTATTTAGTTTAAGCAGGCGATAATTCATGAGACCGCAATCGTCTCATTTGCACGAGGGACCAAATTATCCGTGAGACTGAAAGGGGCCAAAAGTAACAAAACAATATAATAAAGCAGGGAAAATAAAATGTTCCGTCACCCAAGTTGGCTTGGTCAAGTTACTTTCGTGTTTAACACGTGTTGTTTTTTGGCATACCGGTCACACATTTAATGAAGTCTCTCTGCTGGGCTCTTTGTTCACGTGTACCCCTCGTTTGTGCAGTGCGAGCGCCGGGACGATTCGCCCCTGCCTCTCGCTTCGTTGGGGTGGGAGGAAACAAACAATAAAAAGCCAACACAACCGTCCATCAAGTGTCACGTGCTCTTCTCAATTATATTTTTTGAACATGTTATTCATCTTTCGATTTGAAGCTCTCGTGACTGCAAGGATTCATCTTCTTTGGTTCTTTCGGTAAAGTCACCACGTAGAATGAGAGTAAAATAATAATAAAGTCATCACATAGAATGAGAATAAAATAATACATTGATAAAATAAAATAACACAATAATATTCCCAGATAATATTCTCAGATTGATAAAATAAAATAACACAATAATATTCTCAGATTGATAAAATAAAATAACGCAATAATATTCTCTGAGAATATTCTCTGAGAATATTATTGTGTTATTTTATTTTATCAATTTATTATTTTATTCTCATTCTACGTGGTGACTTTACCGAAAGAACCATTAGAAGATGCTATTTATCATTTATGGAGATTGATAATTTGCCTAGAATGTGTCCGATCGCGTCAGACCCGGGAAGATGAAAAGGGTTTAGAGCCTGGGCAGTGCTTGTAAGAGTGACCGCCATGCATAAAAAGGTGATAGCGCCTAGCAGCGCTACGTTCCGGGTAGCGCAGGGCTGTGTACCAAAATACATTTCTAATCTTGAAAGCAACAAAGCAAAGGGGATCTAAAAGAAAAAAGGTTTTTAATCAGTGCATAATTACTATGACACCTCTCAAAGATGCATCCTCGCTCAAGACTCTCTCCACTGAATCCTGTGTATCATCCATAAATGGGACATCGTGGAATTGGAGTGAGGAATGATAATTCTGCGTATAAATGGTAAAATGTTAAATGTGCAACTGTGACATTTCTTGCTCACGCCGCTGGAGCTCATGAGAGCCCCATAAGAGGATGTTTAGCCTACACTTCCATGCTAATAACGTGTGGGAGTACCCACACTTTACCCCACCGCATACGCCTTGCCATTCGACTGTGGCGTGCTCAGTTAAAACGGTGGGAGGACAAAGGTGGGCGGGGCAGAGGCGAGCTTAAAGAAACTTGCTCTTTGTTTCAATTGCCGCATCCGGAGATTGAATCGAACCACGACCCTCTGGACATCCAGTCCAGTGTGATGACCATTGCACCACAGCAGCAGCAGCAGCAGCGGCATCCCAGTAGATATCTGCTCCAGAACGTTTGAACACCGCAGTTTGCAACGCACCTGTTTCCCATCGAGTCTTCCGCTGGGTCCGCTATCTTCATCGTCCACAGAGCTTTGATTCGAATCGATGATCTCCACGGTTATCTTTGACATGGTGAGATTCACGCCCCTGCACACGCACGAAACGTAATTTTATCCACGCGTGTGCGAATGGCAGGAATGTGCTGTGACAAGCGAAAATAATTACGCAGCATATTTGGTGATGCTGCTGCGTTGGCAGCGGTGGTGCGCAAGCACAAATAACAAAATAACTCAAGACTATTTTACCAGGTAAGGCCCACTTAGCTATATCGCTCTTTTCAAAAGTGACCTGGCCACAAAAAATGATAGCTCAAAAAAGCGGCTTATCATTTGGAAATGTATAGCAGCCAAATGCTCTAAATGCGTAACGTTGATTCTTAATATGGAGGGGAAAAAAAACGGAGCGCACCCGGACAAAAATCCACTTGCCCACGGGGAAAGAGGACATGCAAACTCCGAATAAACAGCAGGCGTCACAGGGTCGGGATCGAACCCAATTTTACATACCAGGCGAGGTAGTTAACGTTTTGCCGATTCGTCATAACACTGCCGAAAAAAGAAAAATAATACACTCGGCTAACTATAAGACGACCGTTTGTGTTATGGTCGAAACGTCGTGAGAATTTTATATTGTTTTATATATTTTATTGTTTCCCTTCAACGTGACTTTACCGAAAGAGCTAAGAATATGAATTACTGCAGTCACACGAAAGCTTTAAATCAAAATTGAATCGGCTAACTTTTAAGGAAATACGTTTTCTTTATTTAACGTAAAGGGCCGCTGCCCAAAACGTCGCCGTTTGTATGTTTTCCTCGAAAGGCTAGTGCTGTTTATTCACACGTGCTGAGTTTGTATGTGTTCTTGTGCCCAACGCAGCTGTAGTATTACCCCAGAATGTTTCACTCGAATGAACTCTCTCCATTCGTGTTTACCAAACATCAAGACGCGAACGGTGCCGAAACAGCGATTTCTTTCACACGGTAATTGGAACGGAGCTGGCGCGGTGGTTTGGCCCTGAACAGACTGCTGGGGCAAACGTTGCTAGCGAGCACCCATAAAAAGTCCGGCACGGCGCACGTGTGGGTGGGTGGCCAACGCCACACCCGCCCGCCTTTGTCTCTCCCCTGAGTGGTCAAGCTTACCACACGCCACACTGGGAACTCATTTGAGGTCCAGAGCCCGGCACCACTGGAATTGGCCCGTGAGTGGGAATCGAACTCAGGTTGGCCACAGCAGCACTAACCGCTACACACACCGCCTGCCGCAAACAACATTCAACGTCGGTTTAACGCGTAGCCTTTCGCGGGGCGGGGGGGGGTTAGATCATGTAAACATAAATGTATCGTTAATCCCGCCACAGCCAATTATTAAGGTTTGTCAGAACATGCAAATTCGTTGCCGTGCTGTACTAGTAATCGGCTTGCTTACTAACTGGCCGCGTCGGGTGGTGGCGGGCTTGACGACACGTTTATATTCACGTGATGATCTAACGCGCCTACTATGGGTGACCTTCAACGTCACGACCGACACGGTTGCAGCGCCGCCGCCGTCCAGCTGTGGATGGACAACAGGGCCGCACGATTGACGACATTATTCACCCAAGGAGGTCAGTGTGCAACGCACGTGACGTCACCCCACGGCGATCGGCCCCCTGATTAATAATCATGAGCAGGTGACGCCCTCCAAATGGATAACCCCCCCCCACTCCCCCCATTAATAAGAATTAGCGGCTGACGTCACTGCATATGGGGGGGAGGCGGGGAGTGGGGGGCAAGGAGCCTCCTCCGCCCCCCTCCTCGGCGTCAACTTTTAACCCTCACGACAAATCCAGAACCCTCACGGCACGCGATCTCCGTGGCGCTCTTGTTGAGACGTCCAAGCAAAAAGGACGTCGTGATGAACAAGGGGATCGCATGTGTCACCGCGCCCCTTACAAATCGCACGCACGCACACACACACACGGGGTGGATGCAATGAACGGCACGTCGCGGTCCTGCAAGTTAAAGGTTTACTTGCAATGCACCCGTCCTCGGAAGGGCTGCGAGTTATTGTGCAAGGTGCGCCGTGGCACAGCGGGTCACGGCGAACGCTTGCACACACACGAGCCACGGAAACCGCCCGGCGTCCAGCGGTTCACTCCCTGCGGGAAGGCAATGTTGAACGCCGCTAGCGAGTCACGTGAAACGTCACGAGCAGCGCGAGATGTCGGAACGGTCACGTGGGAAGTTGTAACAGCCACGAACTTGATGTGGCGCTACCGTGGCTGCGGGAAACTTATTACTCTCTTGGGTCCTTTTGGCGAAGTCACGCGGGGAAAGGGAAAGTAAGGAATGAAATAACAGCGTACGACGTCTCGATTGCAACGCGAGCAATCATCATCAGGTGCGAAATGAAAGATAAAACAAACCTGGTAAAACTTGGAAATGCAATGTAATGCAACGCAGGTAGTCGGCTGACGTAACAGTCAACACCCCCACCTGGTTGATTACGTTCTTCCAAAGATTGCTACATTTGAGAGAGAGAGAGACAAAACACGTAACAGGAGACACACGGACAGACACATAAGCAGAGAGAGATAGCACAGAGACATACAGAGAGAGAGAGAGAGAGAAACGACACTAGGTCAAACAAACCTCGTAAAATTTGGAAATGTAATGCAACGCGACACAAGGGATTCGGCCAACACACAATTGCAGCGTGGCGTGGTTGATTACGTTCTTCCAAGGATTGCTAAGTTAGAAGTTAAGTGTGAAGTTTGAGAGACAAGAGTGTAACAGTCACGTTAGACGTTGTTAATAGTCACGTTAGACGTTGTTAATAGTCACGTTAGACGTTGTTAATAGTCACGTTAGACGTTGTTAATAGTCACGTTAGACATTGTTAATAGTCACGTTAGACGTTGTTAATAGTCACGTTAGACGGTGTTAGTAGTCACGTTAGACATTGTTAATAGTCACGTTAGACGTTGTTAATAGTCACGTTAGACGTTGTTAATAGTCACGTTAGACGTTGTTAATAGTCACGTTAGACGTTGTTAATAGTCACGTTAGACGTTATAGTCACGTTAGACGTTGTTAATAGTCACGTTAGACGTTGTTAATAGTCACGTTAGACGTTGTTAATAGTCACGTTAGACGTTATAAATAGTCACGTTAGACGTTGTTAATAGTCACGTTAGACGTTGTTAATAGTCACGTTAGACGTTGTTAATAGTCACGTTAGACGTTGTTAATAGTCATGATAGACGTTGTTAATAGTCACGTTAGACGTTGTTAATAGTCACGTTAGACGTTGTTAATAGTCACGTTAGACGTTATAAAGTCACGTTAGACGTTGTTAATAGTCACGTTAGACGCTGTTAATAGTCACGTTAGACGTTGTTAATAGTCACGTTAGACGTTGTTAATAGTCACGTTAGACGTTGTTAATAGTCACGTTAGACGTTGTTAATAGTCACGTTAGACGTTGTTAATAGTCACGTTAGACGTTGTTAATAGTCACGTTAGACATTGTTAATAGTCACGTTAGACGTTGTTAATAATCACGTTAGACGTTGTTAATAGTCACGTTAGACGTTGTTAATAGTCACGTTAGACGTTATAGTCACGTTAGACGTTGTTAATAGTCACGTTAGACGTTGTTAATAGTCACGTTAGACGTTGTTAATAGTCACGTTAGACGTTATAAATAGTCACGTTAGACGTTGTTAATAGTCACGTTAGACGTTGTTAATAGTCACGTTAGACGTTGTTAATAGTCACGTTAGACGTTATAGTCACGTTAGACGTTGTTAATAGTCACGTTAGACGTTGTTAATAGTCACGTTAGACGTTGTTAATAGTCACGTTAGACGTTGTTAATAGTCACGATAGACGTTGTTAATAGTCACGTTAGACGTTGTTAATAGTCACGTTAGACGTTGTTAATAGTCACGTTAGACGTTATAAATAGTCACGTTAGACGTTGTTAATAGTCACGTTAGACGCTGTTAATAGTCACGTTAGACGTTGTTAATAGTCACGTTAGACGTTGTTAATAGTCACGTTAGACGTTGTTAATAGTCACGTTAGACGTTGTTAATAGTCACGTTAGACATTGTTAATAGTCACGTTAGACGTTGTTAATAGTCACGTTAGACGTTGTTAATAGTCACGTTAGACGTTATAAATAGTCACGTTAGACGTTGTTAATAGTCACGTTAGACGTTGTTAATAGTCACGTTAGACGTTGTTAATAGTCACGTTAGACGTTATAGTCACGTTAGACGTTGTTAATAGTCACGATAGACGTTGTTAATAGTCACGTTAGACGTTGTTAATAGTCACGTTAGACGTTGTTAATAGTCACGTTAGACGTTGTTAATAGTCACGTTAGACGTTATAAATAGTCACGTTAGACGTTGTTAATAGTCACGTTAGACGTTGTTAATAGTCACGTTAGACGTTGTTAATAGTCACGATAGACGTTGTTAATAGTCACGTTAGACGTTGTTAATAGTCACGTTAGACGTTGTTAATAGTCACGTTAGACGTTGTTAATAGTCACGTTAGACGTTATAAATAGTCACGTTAGACGTTGTTAATAGTCACGTTAGACGCTGTTAAGTCACGTTAGACGTTGTTAATAGTCACGTTAGACGTTGTTAATAGTCACGTTAGACGTTGTTAATAGTCACGTTAGACGTTATAAATAGTCACGTTAGACGTTGTTAATAGTCACGTTAGACGTTGTTAATAGTCACGTTAGACGTTGTTAATAGTCACGTTAGACGTTGTTAATAGTCACGTTAGACGTTATAGTCACGTTAGACGTTGTTAATAGTCACGTTAGACGTTGTTAATAGTCACGTTAGACGTTGTTAATAGTCACGTTAGACGTTGTTAATAGTCACGTTAGACGTTATAAATAGTCACGTTAGACGTTGTTAATAGTCACGTTAGACGTTGTTAATAGTCACGTTAGACGTTGTTAATAGTCACGATAGACGTTGTTAATAGTCACGTTAGACGTTGTTAATAGTCACGTTAGACGTTGTTAATAGTCACGTTAGACGTTATAAATAGTCACGTTAGACGTTGTTAATAGTCACGTTAGACGCTGTTAATAGTCACGTTAGACGTTGTTAATAGTCACGTTAGACGCTGTTAGTAGTCACGTTAGACGTTGTTAATAGTCACGTTAGACGCTGTTAGTGTACATTTTTTTGCCGAAATACGCCGGGACTTACGCCACACTGTACGCCGCACTGTACGCACTTCCCGCCACTTGCTGTGTGACGTCACGTCCGGCTCGGGCTCGCCGCCTCTTCCGGCGAGCCGTCTCCACTGCTGGATGAGGGCCTCACCACGCCGTTACAGTCCCCACGGGAGCCACTTAACCAGACACTTAACCAGAGTCAACACTTAACCAGAATCAACACTTAACCAGAGTCAACACTTAACCAGAGTCAACACTTAACCAGAGTCAACACTTAACCAGAGTCAACACTTAACTACACCGTTCTCGGTGTAGTCACACTCGGTGTAGTCACATTATTTTATTGCCAGGAAGAGGTCACACCTACTCTCACAAAATGTTTCTATGTTTGTGTTTGAACATCTTAACACGTGTTTTATTACCAGAAAAGGTGTAAAACCTATTCTTGTGTTCACGAACCGTGCTTGTGAGTTATAACAAAGGCGTTCGAAACCGGTTCGCATCACAATTGTATTGTTGGTGCCTCAAGAGAACGCCTTAAACCAGGCCTCATGTTAACAAAAACAATAATAAACCTCTGACATGGCAACAACCACCACCATCACCATTCCCATACAAACCTCGCGCGTGCATAGCCGCAATAAAAGACAAAGAGATTAGCTCTTTACAGGGGGTGAGCAAGGGGGCTGTGAGTGGCACATGAAGAGGTTGGCTGGCGGCCAACAACCACGCCCGGCCGCCTTTGTATCCCTCCCCCCCCTCTTCTCGTTGCTTGTGAGGGCCATCACCTAACCGCTGCACCACCGTTCTCTCTTCTTTCTGCCCACACACACACACCACACAACAACCACCACCACCACCACGACGTGGCACGGACACACAAAACAAAACCCCACTTTCCACAACGGGCGACTTTCACCACCGAGGTCACCTCGCTGAGGTAAAAGTGTGTCATCGTCCACCCCCCATGGGCATCGATCGAGCCAGAGGCGACCTCGTTGCAGCCGTTCGTTCGTGTGTCGTCTTTAATATAAAAATATAATAATTATTGTTATTATTGTTATATCGAGATCCACCCGGCGGGGGCCGCCTCACGCTTCGTGTGGCGACTCCCCCGTCCCACCACCACAACCATCACCACAACAACCACCACCACCCTCCGTCACCACCACCACAGCCACCTCCACAACAACCACCACCACAGCCACCACCACCACCACAACCACCACAGCCACCACCACCACAACCACCACAGCCACCACCACCCCTCTCCGTCGCCACCACCACCACAACAACCACCACAATCACCACAACCACCACCCTCCGTCACCACCACAACCACCACCACAACCACCACCCTCCGTCACCACAACCACCACCCCCCTCCACCACCACCACCCTCCGTCACCACCACAACCACCACAACCACAACAACCACCACCACCCTCCGTCACCACAACCACCACCACCCCCCTCCACCACCACAACCACCACCCTCCGTCACCACCACAACCACCACCCTCCGTCACCACCACAACCACCACCACAACCACCACCACCCTCCGTCACCACCACAACCACCACCCTCCGTCACCACCACAACCACCACCCTCCGTCACCACCACAACCACCACCACAACCACCACCACCCTCCGTCACCACCACAACCACAACAACCACCACCCTTCGTCACCACCACAACAACCACCACCCTCCGTCACCACAACCACCACCACCACCCCCCTCCACCACCACAACCACCGCCCTCCGTCACCACAACCACCACCACCCCCCTCCACCACCACAACCACCACCCTCCGTCACCACAACCACCACCACCCCCCGCCGCCGCCACCGCCCCTTAGCAACCGCGTCCCCTCAACGAGGCCCGCCCGGCCTTAACCAACAACGCCGCTCACGGAGCTGTGAAACATTCTCATCTTTACACACTTTAACCACCTAACCGGGAACGCGTTTATACTCTTGTTGTTGTTGTTGTTTGTGTGTTGTTGTTTTTTCTTTGGGGGGAGGTTTAAACGATCTCAGGTGTCCCCCCTCTCCTCTCGAGGCTTCATTCGGTTCCATCGCGGCCGTGAAGCGACCAGCGCAGCGAGGAGCTGCGGCTGCGGCTTCTACCGCCATGGTGAGGGCCTCCACAACCACAACAAACACAACCACCACCACTACCACCACAACAACCACTACCACAACCACCACCACCACAACCACTACCACCACCACTACCACCACAACAACCACCACAACCACCACCACCACCACCACTACCACAACCACCACCACCACAACCACTACCACCACCACTACCACCACAACAACCACCACAACCACCACCACTACCACAACCACCACTACCACAACCACCACCACAACCACCACCACAACCACCACAACCACTACCACAACCACCACCACAACCACCACAACCACCACCACAACCACCACCACAACCATCACCACCACAACCACAACCACCACCACAACCACAACCACAACAACCACAACCACCACCACAACAACCACCACCACCACCGTGGAGCAGGAGCAGTGGCGGTGGTTTTTGGGGTTTGTGTCGTGATTTGTTTTATTTTCTACCTACGTGACTTCAGCGAAAGAATCAAAGTGTATGGAGTTGTGGTGTTTGGGCTGCCGTGCGTGTTCTTCTTCTAGATTTGAAGCTTTCGTGACTGCAAGGATCCATACTCTTTGTTTCTATTCGTTAAAGTCACGTAGGTAAAAATAAAATAACAAAAATCACGACGTTTCGGCCACAACACAAGCGGTGTTGAACCAAAGAGTACGTGTTCTTCTTGTTACAGGGGACATTATTGGAGGGGTTTCTAAAGTCAAAATTTGTAACTCGGTTGATAATCTTCATGAGCGTGATTCGTTACATTGATACACCGTGTCAACAACCCACAAGATTTTAACTCCCGTGTTCCTGTACAAGGATATTGAGTTTTTTTGCGGGTCTGTACGGCGTACAGCCGTTTCAATAGTGCAAGCAAAAACTAGGTAATTTTAGTAACGTAATTTTTGTGTTTGTTTGTTCTAGATTTTAAGTTTTCGTGACTGCAATGATCCATGCTCTTGGTTCTTTCGGTAAAGTCACTTAGTTAAAAAATGAAAATTAAATTAAATACAACTAAAATGAAAACAACTCAATTAAAATCACGACTTAAAGCTTTCGTGACTGCAAGGATTCATCTTTGGTTCTTTTGGTAAAGTCACCACCACGTAGAATGAGAATAAAATAAAACAATAAAATTCTCACGACGTTTCGGCCACAACGCAAGTGGCCTTCTTCAGGTGAAAGGGACAGACCTGTTGGGACGTTTGAAGCTCTGTTGTCCCAACAGGTCTGTCCCTTTCACCTGAAGAAGGCCACTTGCGTTGTGGCCGAAACGTCGTGAGAATTTTATTGTTTTATTTTGTTATTTTATTCTCATTTTACGTGGTGACTTTACCGAAAGAACCAAAGAAGATAGAATCACGACGTTTCGGGTGCAACACCAGCGTCCGTCATCAGGTGGGGGACAACCCACAGCGAAAAAACAATCGCTGAAGTATGCCCGAAACGTGATTTAATTTAGTTGTTTTCATTCTTGTTTTATTTAATTTTATTTAATTTTTACCCACGTGACTTTAGTATCTATTTGTTTGTGTTCCTCGCCTGTGGGGATGCACGTTGAGATTTCAAATGGGGCACGGGGTTTGACCAATAAGGTCTGAATTGGTCTGTAATTATTTAGATTTAAAGCTTTCGTGACTGCAGGGATTCCTATTCTGATGATTGCTTGTGTTGCAGTCGAAACGTCGTGAGAATTTTATTGTTTTATATTTTTATTGTTTTCCTTCTACGTGACTTTGCCGAAAGAACCAAGAATATGGTCTGTAACAAGTTAGGGGCTTAGTGGTGTGTACGTGGGTTGAACTTCTTTCGCACCGTACATGGCCAACCGTGCTAATAGGATGGTGATGGTTGTGGAGATGGTCGTGATGATAATAGTGATGGTTGGTGGTGTTTGTCACTCGGGTACGACTGTAATCGTCTTCATAGTTGAGCCAAACGATTAAAAACGGAGATTATTTATGACGCGAGGCTTCCAAGACGTCCGGCCAGCGTGTAAAAGTAGGGCAAAATAACCTCCCAAGAGAGGGGGCCCTCTAGGGCTGCCTCTAGTCTAGGAGGCCCGTCAGCTTAGTGGCCCTCAGCAATTGCAGTGCTGCGCCTTTACCCGCTATTGATCGCCAATGCAATAAATTGATGAACCTCACCCACGACGACCTCTCATGACATCGTGAGCCAAGGAGGATTTCTTTGGCCTGGGTCGTGCTTTGATGGCGAGATGTTAACTACCTCGTCTGGTGTACAGGAGGTCGCGGGTTCCATCGTAACCCTTGATGCCTGCTGTATGTTTTGGAGTTTGCGTGTCTCTCTCTCGCCCCCCCCCCCCTGGTCGCGTGGATTTTTCTCCGGGTTTTCCCTCCACATTTAGAATCATCATCATCACGCGTTCGGAGTATTTGCCTGCTATAAACTTCCACGTGATAAGCCACTTCGTTGAGCTATCATTTGCGGTCAAGTCGCTTCTGGAAAAGAGCTATGTAGCTCAGCGGAGCCTTACCTGGATGGTTAACCCACGCGTATAGTAACAGGTGTTGTAGGCGTTGTGGTCCGCAGAGACAAAAGGAGCACAATCCATTGTTCTGTACCCTTCACCAACCTGCGGTTGACCAGCGTGGTGAAATATGGCCAAAATAACCCTCACAACTCAAGGCGTAGGGAGTAGGCCCTCGTCCCTGAGTTCTGTTTCTTGGCCTGATTTTTAAATTCGAAAATATCTTTAAGTCTGCAGTATTCCAGGTTAGTATGGTTCTATGTAGGTATATATTGTGCTATGGTTGAGTGACGTATATCTTGGTTGGCATGGGCCCCGGTGCAACGAATGACCTTGGGCTGGACCCCTGTGAGATTTCCCTCATCTCTTTGGGCCCCCGCACCTGGGCCCATCTGGGCAGTGGGCCCCATCTGGCCAGTGACACCCGGTGTATTTGCACGGCCTGTACACCTTAACAGCCACACGCCACTGCTTGGACGCGCTAAGCCTCTGCTTTTTTAATGCACTGGGTATCCCATAGCTTCACAAACGGCCCTTGGGTTACTCCCTCTTCTAAAGCGCAAGTGATGCTAAAACTGTCGATTCTTTACGGCGACTTCACTTGCAATTGCATGTGACATTCTCGTCTGTTTACATGTTAGTACAGTGGTCAACTTATATCTGTTTGACGTCTCTGTAACTCAATAATTGTACTATGATCAGTTGAGGGTACTAAAGCCAACCTATATTCTGTTAAACGTTAATGTTCCTGAAGCTTATTTTTGTAATCTGTGTACTGTGACCTCTCTGGAGGTAACCTTACCGAGCCAGGAATGTGATACTTCTCTTTAATTTAACATTGATTGATATTTGCAATATTTTCTATTCTGCATGTGATGCAGTGTCTTTGGGTTTGTCCTGATTTATTTTCTGCATTGCTGTGCTTTGCTCTTCCCTTTGTGTTTTTTGTGACTCAGGTTACTTGCAAATGAGGCTATCCTGGCCTCTTGTGTTCTCACATGGTTGAACAAAATAAACTTGAAGCCGTAGTCACTGCATCGTTGTTGTGCTCGTTTCTCGTAGATGCTGTCACGGGCAAAGCCGGCTGTGGGAGCAGGGGCACAGCCGGCAGTGGAGAAAAAGAAAAAGGGCAAAACGATTCCTAAACTGGAAGACCTGTTGAGCAACAGGGACTACACAGGAGCCATCACATATCTCGAGGTAATACGTTTCCTTTGCTGTGTTGCAAGAGGCTCTTAATATGCTTTAGTTGTCCTCCGCTCAGTAGCGGATTTCTCTATTGTCCTCTGCTGCCCCAGCAATATTGAACTTCCAGTCATCCATGCTGTATAATCCCAGCCGCTTTTCAATTCCAGGATCAAAAACTTAATCTCTCTTGTCTATACCTGTCTCCAATGCACAAAGTTCTGGTTGTTTATTTGTCATGTTTGTAAAATGTCCTGCTTTTATTCTACGCAACCCCTGTTCATCCCTTCGACGTATATATATGTTGAACTCCTTTCGCACCGTACGAAGCCAACTGTGCTAATCGGAGGTACACTTGCTACCGTATTTGGCCATTTTGGCCGAGATACTATTTAAAAGGAGCTTCTTAGCTCAGTTCAGTTTCAGTTCAGTTTATTTTGGTAGAGCCCTGTGAGCCATTCGGCTCTTGAATCAGGTGCAACCACAACAAACAATTGGCCTTGCCTGAAACCAACTGACTGATTATTCTACAGTATATGTACTGTATACATTTTTGACTACATGATTCGCATGTTACACCGTTGTTATTACACAGTGCCTTTGAAATTAAATTACGTTTCTATGCAATATAAATCCAAATTGTACATTGTAATTAGTGTTTATAACGCTGTGTGTTTTCATTGCTCAGTTTCAGCGCCATGCAGGGGAAGGGAATGAAGAGACAGACCTTTGGATGGCGTACTGTGCTTTCCACCTTGGAGATTACAAACGTGCCATGGAGGTAAAGTAACTTTCACGCTGATAGATTGAGGGGGTTTTATGTTACCAGGTGAACACCCACTGAGACTTCTGCCACGCCTTTTAAAATGGCACATCCGACCTCCGCCAGAGTGGGGTCCTCTGGTTACACAGGTGGTTTTCCACTGGCTGTTTGCTGGGCCGAGCTAAAACTAAACCACCAAAACCCTGGCCTGATTTGGGGCCAAGTGGGGCCAGTGTGACGCTGGCGTCATCGCGTGGGATGTCAGCGGCACGGTTGAGGTTTTGCAGTGGGGAAAAAAAAAAACCTGCCACCGCCAGAGCTGAGTCAGGTTGGCTGAGCGCAGCCCCGACACGGCGCGGTTGTACAATGGAAAAGAGGTGCGAGTCGCTTTTCTAGGGAGATTTATTTTACCAACAAAATGGCAATCAGTACAGTTATGAAAGAAAGGCCTAACCACACCGTGTCAGTCTGGGGGGATGTTTGAACATACACAACTACATTGGTCAGGCCAGGTTGGCAAAGGGGTGGCCTTCAGCCAACAGTGGATTGATCATGGCTGATGATGACCGGACTGTGTCTACAGGAATATGAGGCGATGACGAAGCGAGATGGCTGTAACCCTGACGTGTGGGTCAATCTGGCTTGTGTCTACTTCTTCCTGGGCATGTACAGCGAGGCAGACGCGGCAGCGCTAAAAGGTATGATTGCTGTTGAATGTGAAGCGAAACTCACAATGGAGCACACAGTCAACTGCTGCCTATTAAGACCACTGAACAGCAGCACCAGTCCAATTCATAAACGTATAACCAACGCTGGTGAATGACTAAATAGCTTGTTGGTGTTTCACAAACCAGTTCCTTATCTCTGCAAAATGCCATATGAAAGAATATTGTTAAAGTAAATCTCATTGCATGCGTTGATGATGATTATTTTGTGTGGCCAATTAATAATAACGATTAGAAAGTCAGTTCCAAGTGATTTAGCCATTCATTTGCTTCGCAAGTTGGTAAATTGCAGAAAACATATTTGGGGGTAGTGCGAAGTTCTATGCTCAAAGGTCTGGTGTCTCAAGCTGCAGTCACGCACACGTTATATTGTCTTTCATCTTCCACTTGTGCAATTAAGAATCTGCATTTACTTGTGTTTTTTTTTTGCACATCCAGTTAAGCGCTGCCCATTGTTTTCACACGCTTTGCATGTGAAACATACACGTGCGATTATGTTTCTGTAACCCATTGTAAAAGTACATTGTAGGCATGTATTTTTTTATTTTCAGCACCAAAAAGCCGCCTGCAGAACAGGCTCCTGTTTCACCTGTCCCACAAGGTGAGTTCCGAGTTGACAAAGCGGCGCACCTCGTTCAAAAATATACTGCCTCACTTTACGTGCTTTGGCCATGCGATTATGGACACTTGTTCTGTACGCTAACGTGGAAAACTTGTTGATCTTTTGTGAAACCAGTTCAGTGATGAAAAGCGTCTGATGGGCTACCACCAAAACCTACAGGACATTGTTGAAGATCAACTGAGCCTGGCCTCAATTCACTACATGCGCTCCCACTACCAGGAAGCCATCGATATCTACAAGAGGATCCTCTTAGATAACCGGTACATGTTTAAGCAGTTGTAACGTTCCTTGCCTCCGTCCTGATTGATTGGAAACCACTTGGTGTAGGTCCTTGGCATGTGTTCCCAATTTTTGTTATTCATCTGAAGTATCTGTAAATTGGGCCGTGATAAACTTTGGATGATCTGAAAGTATGAAGTCGCATGCAATTATGTCAATAAAATTACGTCATTTATGTGCCTCCCACCAAAAGTGGTGTCACGTGGAATTTTTTTTTTTAAACCTGTAGTAGACGCATAACATTTTTACTTGCTGTAAATTATCCTAAAATCCGAAGAAAGAAAATCTGAAGTTATCCTTAAGAATCGGTATGTCCAACATCTGACACTTTTCTAAATCCTCAGCTTATCCCTAAACAGCATGTATTGTTTGATAATGATCGGAAGGGGTGTAACAATGTGCCCCTTTTGCGATTTAGTGAATGTTGCAATTCAGGTTCGTGGGTCAGTTAAAAAATAATTAATAAAACAAATTTCATTGTGGTCAATGCAGCGGCCTCTCTTGGCTGGAGCAGTCACGTGAACACCATTTACAATAAAAAAAAACGTAATAAATGATAAACATTGATTCGTACACACGGCTCAATTTGTACATCGTGACCTTAAGAATAGAGGTACATCGATGGATCATTACACACCCTTGATAGTGACGACATAGCCAGTGACTTTTGTTACAAGTCACGCACTAGTGACGAGCCTCACACACTGTGATTTGTTTGTTTCCGTCATCAGGGATTACCTGGCGCTGAACGTGTACGTCGCTTTGTGCTACTACAAGCTGGACTATTACGATGTGTCGCAAGAGGTCCTGGCTGTGTACCTGCAGCACTTTACGGATAGCGCCACCGCTATTAACCTGAAAGCCTGCAACCACTTTCGGCTCTACAATGGGAAAGCTGCCGAGGTCAGTAAAAGCCAGAACACACAGTTATCGCGGAATCAATGGATTGCAACGAGAAAGAACATCAACCTGCATGCAGAAGCCAATCGCAAAGCGGTCAATAAGGACGGGCCGGGTGGCTCATTGTGGTGCAGGGAACCAAATCTGGCCGTCCCCCCTTGTGGCACCTCGAGCCTGTGGGACCCCATGACAATTGCACCGCCCGCAAACTTCACAGCTACGCTACTGAGGACGGTTGCAGGGTTGTTACGCGCCGTGTAAAATAACGCCGACCTTGTAGCATTCTTGCGCGCGCGTACGTCTTCACTTTGTCTCCAAAGATGGAACTGAAGAACCTGCAGGAAATGGCTTCTCCTTCCTTTGAGTTCGCCAAAGAACTGGTCAAGCACAACTTGGTGAGTGTCACCCGTTCCAAAAAAATTCACAATCTAAAGCAGCGGTTTCCGAAGGGGAGTTACGTTTACCACCGGTGGTGCGCGAGCAGTCTGCAAGTGACGCACCAAAGTCAGTGCTTATGCATGTATGTTTTACATGCACAATGCATCAATTGGTACGTCGGTGCATATGCATGAATCTGTTCATGTGCAGCCTTGTATGTATTGTATGTTATGCACCCATTTGAATTCAGGCAGGCAGGATGTACACATCTGTTTCTGCTAAATTTACATGTATAATGTTTGTATAGTGCAATTTATGTTGAAGGTATTGTAAGAGATTGTAGCCCTTGGCTTTATGAACGCTACATTTGCTTCATGCCATTCAATACAATTACCATAAAGGTTTATTTTTTTATTTTACAAGTGGTAAATCATATTTATACAGTAAAACCTTGGATTGCGAGTAACTTGGTCTGCGAGTGTTTTGCAAGACGAGCAAAAATAAATAAACATTAATTTGATAAGCGAGCGAGGTCTTGCAATACGTGTAGTACGTATACGCTTTGTCTGCCGAGCGTCATGTGATCACAACTGATATACGAGTGCTTTGATATACGAATGCTTTGGATTACAAACACGTTTCCAGAACGAATTATGCTCGCAAATCCAAGGTTTTACTGTATATATTTTGACTGGTGGTATATGAGTGAACTATATTTTGTTGTGGTTTTCACACCTGATGATGATTGCTTGTGTTGCAGTCGAAACGTCGTGGGAATTGTATTGTTTTATATTTTTATTATTTTATTGTTTCCCTTCTACGTGGTGACTTTACCAAAAGAACCAAGAATAAGAACTGCTGATGTAAAGGATGATAATTGCTTTATCATCCTTGGTTGATCGTTCTTTGCACGTCCCCAACGCAGGTGGTGTTTAGAGCTGGAGATGGCGCCTTGCAAGTGCTTCCTCCACTCATCGACGTCATCCCAGAAGCCAGACTCAATTTGGTTATCTACTACCTGCGACAAGGTGTGCACACTCACTGAGAGTCGTAGCTGTAGGCTCAGAGGCTCGCGACATGTACCTGTGTACGGCATCTGAAATTCTGCTCCAATTATATCCTCACGCACGCGACTCCAGGAGATGAAAAATGCGCGGCGTGTTCATTCGATAGATACCCCCCCCCCCCCCCCACAGATGTCTCATGGCACCTCTTACTTTCTACTCAACCAGGTGATTGACTCCCGTGAAAGTGATGGCTCCATATGGTGGGAGACGTGTAGATACTGTGAAATAACATTTAGTTTTTTCACGAGAATTTTTCCCATAAATGGATCACCCCGCCTCATACACTCACACGGTGCTGTGTTGAGGAATTGATGTTTGTGGTTACTTTTCAGATGACGTGCAGGAGGCTTACAACCTCATAAAGGATCTGGAGCCGACGACCCCACAGGTGAGACCTAAATGTATCGGCATCAGAGGCAAATGCAGTCCTTCTGAGCAAAACATAGATCATTCATTGATTACTTCTTATATAAAGTTATGCACTGGTGTCATAGCTGATATGTCTTCAGTTGTTCTACAGAATTGTATTTTTTAAAATCAAATAACACTCCACAGGACAGAGGAACTATCGTGAATAATAATAATACAATATTCCTTTGATATTGCAATTGTGTTTGTTGTTTTGTGAATTCAGGAGTACATACTGAAGGGAGTCGTGAATGCAGCTCTTGGCCAGGATCAAGGATCTGTGAGTAAAAGGAACCTCACCTTTTAAAACCTTTTTTGCCACTACCAAGATGATGAAAAAAGAATAGGCTCTTTGCCTTTTGGTGTTCTTTGCCACGAAGGAGGCGGCCTCTGGTGTAGGCCAATCAGTAAGGACATACCGTATCAACGCATGCTTGTGTGCATGTTTTACCACAAGTATGTGTGGTTAATGTAGATTCGATGCCCTGTAAGAGGCATCGATTTGGCGTGTGAACATCTTAACACCTCCTGTATTCTTGCCGGAAAGGGTGGAATCTCACCTATCGCGGTGTGAGTGAGCGTAGCTAATGCACACTCATTTACCCCCCGCACCTCTGCTTAGCATAGATGGCAACGTACAGCGCAAAAGAAGTTCAACATACATATACACGGCACTCAACAACAGTGGCCATGGGTCGTATTGCGTATAGTTCGGCATATATTTTGACGTTTTGGTGCACGTGCTGGGAGCTCCTTCATGAACTATCCTGAAGAAGCTCCCAGCATGTGGAGTGAAACGTCAGACATGATGCCGATCTACACGCGGTACGATCCCAAAAAAAACATCTGAGAGCTACACAGCGTCGCGGCGAAAACCTGCGCAGAAACAGTGGTTCCGTTACGGGCAGTGGCGTAGCTGTCAAATGTGAAGGCAGTCACTGCACCAGTGTCCACAGGCCATAGGGAGCCCAGCCACTGGGCTATGGGGTGGAGGAAAATGGGACAGGGGACCCGTTCCTTGCACCAGGGCCCATGCAAACGCTGCTATTTCCCTGGCTATAAATACTCAGCCCCAGCATGCCTGTTATTTGAAAGTTATTTGAAAGTTGAATCAATCATAATGAAAACAATTATGCTTCTTGTATAATTGTTTACCAGACTTGGCCTTAACTGTATTTCTAAGTCTATTTGGGGTTTAAAAAAAACATCCTTCTGTAATTGACCTTGGAGAGAGAGGACAGTGTGCAAGATCATCAATATTTAAAAATACATATTTCTGAGTAAATGCGTGCGTTGCAGGTAGAGCACGTGAAGATCGCTCAGCAATACTTCCAGCTTGTAGGCGGCTCGGCAAGTGAATGCGGTAAGTTTGTCTTTCATATATATTTTGTACATCATATCGTTGCTTTGAATTATACTAGATTGTTTTTTAACAAGTAAAACGAGAATACATTTCAGCAGAAGAGGCATATCCTTATGTGTATAATAGTAATGCGTGTACTTTTGGAGACTTAACTTCTCCATGTGCAAGGGTTCTCAGCCTCGCTGTGTCAGCAATACCCTGCTCCATATCAGGGTTCAGTTTTAGGCACCACATGCAGCTGCCTAATTGAATAAATCGTTAGAGCATTCTCTACAAACATAGCCCAATTGAACTGTACATGTAATTAGGTATATTCTATGGTTCTTTCGGTAAAGTCACGTAGATAGAAATAATAATAATAAAATAATAAAAATAAAGTTGGTACAAAATAATAAAATATCGTGACGTTTCGATCGCAACACAAGCGATCGTCATCAGGAGCAGGGAGGTTAGCCACTGAGGGCAAGCTGTTTATAAAGGTTTAGAGATGGGCGGGGCAGCTAATGTTAATGTAGGAGAGGGCTCCGACACCGGCAGTAGGTCTACACCAATCAGAGAGCTGTTTATAAAGGTTTAGAGATGGGCGGGGCAGCTAATGTTAATGTAGGAGAGGTCTCCGACACCGGTAGTCGGTCTACACCAATCAGAGAGCTGTTTATAAAGGTTTAGAGATGGGCGGGGCACCTAATGTTAATGCAGGTGAAGGCTCCGACACCGGTAGTAGGCCTACACCAATCAAAGCCTTGCACCTCGCTCCACACACCCACACTGCTGACGGTGGAGGTGGACAAGAAAACACAAATCATGTCATGACCCAAAGTGGTTGATGACATCTTTCCAATGTGTGCGGAGCTTAAAACCGTCGTCTCGGTTGAAATTGTGTCTATGTCTGTATATATGGATGGCTTCGTGAACGAATCTTTGTTGATAGCCAGTCGGCTTGCAAAGTACCATCGTCTTAGAGAAATCAATTTCATGTGAGCCAGCCGCATTAAAGTAATGATCAGCCACGGCAGAAGTATTGGTCCTGCCGTGTTTCAGATCTGCCTTATGTTCACGAACACGGTCCGAGACATGTCGTTTGGTTTCTCCAATGTAACTGCTGCCGCAGATACAGCTTAGTTTGTAGACGCCAGGATGTGACGAATCTTGTCCTACACAGATGGGATGAGGTCACGAATTTTATACACTGTGTTAAATTGGACCTGGATCTTGTCTTTGTTCAAGATTTTGGAAATCTTTTTGGTTATCCTTTGGTTATCCTATCCTACATTAACATTAGCTGCCCCTCCAATCTCTAAACCTTTATAAACAGCTTGCCCTCAGAGGCGAACCTCCCTGTTCCTGATGATAACCACTTGTGTTGCGATCGAAACGTCGTGATATTTTTATTATTTTTTATTCACTTTTATTTTTTTTTATTTTTTTCTATCTACGTGACTTTACCGAAAGAACCATAGACTATTAATTCCTGCAGTCACGAAAGTTTTAAGTCAAAATTTGATTAGGTATATTCAGACCGTGTGAGTAATACATTTCCTTTATTGCATATTGGTTGTGAAAGCCTGTGTGTTAAATTCATCGTTTAATATCGCTTAGGCGTACAATACAGGCACCCGATGGCGTGTTTAAGATCTGGGATTATGTCAATGTGTATATATCTTGTATTGAGCGAGGCGGCTCATTAACCCTGCAGCTGCTGTCGGCGGGCACCGGTCACTGCAGCGATAAACACGGACTCGAATCCCCAGTCAAAGCACGATCGCGAATCTCGACGGCGCACACCCTCGCGTGTGATTGCATCTCGCGTTGTGTGCGCGCACGTGCGTTGCAGACACCATTCCCGGCCGGCAGTGCATGGCCTCCTGCTTCTTCCTTCTAAAGCAGTTTGAGGACGTCCTCATCTATCTGAATTCGATCAAGGTAACGCGTGTTTTCCGAAACCGCAATTTGTCACGCGTATGACCACCAGCCTATGAGTAGATGACCTGAAATGTCATGCGCCCGATCTTGTCAGATTTCGGAAGCTAAGTGGGCTTGAGCCTGGTTATTCGTGCTGACACACCATTGACAATGCAGTGCCACAGAATAATGAGTTTTATTTTGGACACTGGATAGTGCTGGAATGGGCTGTCCCAATGCATAACACAGGTGGTATAGGCTGCGTTGTCAGCAGGAGGCCGTGCCGTAACATCCATTGTTGTACTGTACTAAACTCAGTCGTTCGCTCCCCGTTTTCACCAAACTACCCTGGCCAGTAGGGTGACGTATGGCCAATAACCTCCGCAGCCCGCATTACATTGGGGGTGGAGGGCCTCATCCAGCAGTGGATTATCAAAAGGACTCTTCATGTATATTACCAGCCCTCAATGCTTATTTTCAAATTGGGGTCCTGAGTGTTTTGCTTTGTGTGTTACAGAGCTACTTCTACAATGATGACGGTTTTAATTTTAACTACGCACAGACGAAGGCTGCAATTGGGAATTACAAGGAAGCAGAGGAGGTAATGCAACATCTGTTTTTCTTGCAACCTGCTCTCTATGAGCCTATATGATGAAGAGTGATGTGGATGTAACTGTGTTCGTACTGTGTATGCGTGAAATTCAAGTGGAATATTAGTCTGTTTTTCACAACTGAATATTTTTTTACCATTTAGTGAACAATTTTACATTGTCCAAGCTGCCCTTGCCATTTTAATGCTGTACAAGGCAAATAATCTCAAAAGGAAGTACATCGCTGTGAGAAAATAAATTAAGAAATTTACATAATGTTTAACACGTAGGCTTTCACGACCAATATCCATAACAGTTTTTTTTAGTTATATCACGTAAATATACGTCGTTAAACCCGCCACCACCCGACACAGCCATTTGGTAAGGGTTGTCACGTAAACAGAACATGCCAATTCGTCACTAGTACAGCACTCCGGTGTGTGTTTGAGAGCCACCGGTGTGTTGGAGAACCAAGCCCTCCAACACACCGGTGTGCTGTACTAGTAACGAATTGGCATGTTCTGTTTACGTGACGAACCTTACTAATTGGCTGTGTCGGATTGGTGGCGGGTTTAACGAGAGATTTATATATTTACACGATCTAACCCTAAAAAAAACCTGTATTATGGAATTTACATGTCAAAGATATCTCCCCAAAATTAGTCTGTGCCAGGTCGTGCAATTAGTCCATGGAATGATAACTGTTGGCTACCTAATCTTCATTTTTCTTTGAACAGATTTTCCTCCTCATTCAAAGTGAGAAGCTGAAGAATGATTTTGTGTACGCGAGCTGGTTGGCTCGCTGCTGTGAGTTATCACTACGTAAATTCCACATTCCGTTTAAGAATAACCCAGTGTGAACCATCATATTTAAATGGGTTTGTATGGATCAATTTAACATTGTGGTTAATATTATTTGGGTCTTTCGGTAAAGCCTATATTCCCAGCAGTTCTCCCGCGATATTTCTCACCTGATGACGATTGCTTGTGTTGCGATCGAAACGTCGTGATATATTTTTTAATTATTTGATCTATGTCGCTTTACCGAAAGACCCAAAGAATATGAATTCCTGCAGTCATGAAAGCTTTAAGTCAAAAATGTGGTTAATAATGAACAACATGGACCTTTGTAATGGCTTGCAATGTTACGGCACAATAGAAATTGCAATTACAGTACTATTATTATTCATAACATTGCAGTCTCGATGGGTTTCATGAATCGTCTCTACATTGTTTGAGAATCACCGTGTACTTAAATTGGTTTTTCACTTGCAGATATAATGAACAGAAAGGCACGGTTGGCATGGGAGCTGTACCTGAAAATGGATACATCAGGAGAGTCATTTAGCCTCCTGCAGCTCATAGCCAACGACTGTTACAAAGTAAGTGTTACACACTGCTCATCGGCACTCGGACTTGCATTCAAAAGCATACACAGCATCAAATGAAATGCATGTTTAGTTATTCATCTGGGATGCTGCTGCAGTGCATTGGTTAGTACACTGGACTTGCAAATCCAGAGGTCGCAGGTTCGATTCGATCCAACGGCACGGAAGCTCAAACAACGAGTAGGTTTATTCAAATCTTCCCCCAACACCTCTGTCGACCCAGCAGTATAAAATGGGTGCGCCAATTAATTTAATGGCAGGTCATGTGTGGTGGGGGTAAAGTGTTGGTGCTCCCACCTCTTCCAAGACGTCTGGCCAGTGTGAACGTGAATGACAAAATACCCTTTAAAGGCACTGTCCAGAGCTGCCTCTAGTGGAGGCCATACAGCCAGCATTGGAGTGTGAAATAATTTGCAGGACCGCACCTCTTTGTTATTTTATACAGCATAAAAAAAAACCCACGTGTGTACTTACCTATTGTATGTTGAGCTTCTTTCGCACCATACATAGCCAAACGTGCTAACCGGAGGTGCAGGAATGCTGTGAACAATCGGGGAAAGTGTCAGAAGCCAACTGGTGCATGTGGTGGCTTGTTACACGAAGCTCCATGTTCTGGTGTGTGCTTGTTTTACAGATGGGCCAGTTCTTCTATGCAGCCAAAGCATTTGACGTGCTGGAGCGTCTGGATCCAAACCCGGAATACTGGGAGGGCAAGCGAGGTGCCTGCGTTGGAATCTTTCAGATGATCATCGCAGGACACGAACCCAAGTACGTGTGGATATTCACCACAAAAAAAAACAATCTTGCAAACCCTCATCAAACTAACCAAACGTTGTAGTGGAGAAATCGCTCTTGATGAATAACGAATACAGTTGCTGTAGTTACAGGATTAGAATGGAAAGTTCAAGCACATCGGGTACAACACTGAAATTTATAATACACTAAAGTAAAGGTGCAGCCGCTCACTGACACCACTTCTTGCGGAAGGGTTTCTACTTGAGGCAGCTCTTCAGGGTAATCTGGCCAATTCTTCCATGCTAGCCTGATGCCTTGGAAGAGGTGGGAGTGGCCACTCTTTATCCCATTACATGGAAAATGTAAAAAAAAACCTCCAGTGTGCAACTGTGGTCATCCAGAACAGACTGTAACAATGTATAACGATGCAATGCCCAATCCACAAATACGAAGCAGACATCACAGCGATAGACTTCAGCTGCCCCTGACGCGGTTGTCTGGCTTGACCACCTGAATGTGAAATTGTCGTTGTTGCTCTGAATCTACATCAGCCATACGAAAGAAGAACCCCCATTACATGCGGCCTGCCGATTTACTTACTGCATTGTACAATACTCATACTGCTGGGTTAGGACAGAGACGGTGGGCGGGGGGGGAGGTAACAATTAAAGAAACATGTTTTAACTGCCGCACCAGCGAATCGAACATTTATTGTGTGCATTTTGCTGTAGTTTTGGCATGTTGGTTTATTTGTAAGATGATTGAGGTCGTTGAATGAAGGGGGTTTCCACTTGTTCACAGGGAGACACTGCGGGATGTGATTCAGTTGCTGAGGAACACTGGAAATCCACAAGTCGAATACTTCCTCCGCATCTTGAAGAAATGGGCCAAAGACAATCGGTTGCCCGTATAAACCGAAGCACATTTTCAGCCAGGAGTCAAGATTTTGCGTTCCACTTTTGAGTTGCATCCCAACCACCGCGTCAATTTTTGAGGGGCATTGTCAAGTAAAATCTTGAGCGTTCTTTATTATACATGCGGTACGGCGAGGTCACGTGATATGCAAGGTGTGAAGAGGACCAAATCCAATGGTCATGATCACACCTTTTGCCGCGTATGAATCACCCTCTGCATATATTACCATATTCTCTGCATTGAGATGCAGTTTGGCCTGTATTTTGAAAGTTGGGGGGGTGCATCTTATTATCAGACATGGCCAAATTTGTATAAACTCTATTGGTAACTGGGCACATTTGGAAATGTCTACTTTATGGGAGCGTCTTTTAACATGGAGAAAGAATCTGGAAATACTTTTGTAACATCTCTTTGCTCACAAGCCTGGGGCAGTTCGATAAATGGCGAAGGGATGTTGAAATTAGCTTTGTTAACTTCACCAAACGGTCGTAATTTTTATCGACTCTAAATAGACGGCGACATTATCAGTTGACCACAAACACAAGAACTCCCGAGTTTCCTATTTTAAGTGAAGCGCTGGGCGGAAGACGGTGCCACCCATCCACATGTAAAGCCGCTGTACCTTACATACTGCACTCCACAGGTTTTTGTAAATTTAGCTGTAATTGTAAATACACCTATGGGAGCATAAATCATTGTCACAAATTGTGGGGTGACACTGCAATAAATTGACTTCCCGTTAAGATTATGGTCCAGAAATCTGTTGTATTTAAAGTTAAGTGAAGCCGTCTTTGTCCTCGACAGCCACTGTATTGTCTCGAAATGCATTTTGTTTGCTACATGCTTCAGAATCTTAACACTATAATTACACATTTTACACTAATTTAATACAATGTACGTACATACCACACGCTACTAGACTGTAAAAAAATGTCAATATACAGGGCGTTTCAAAAAGATGGACCCGATTTGAAATCGCTATATCTCTGCAACCACGAACCGCCCATGAATGAAACTCTTACCACTTGAACTTCCGATGACTTCATTTTTCAGCAAGACGGAGCACCGCCACATTGGCACCTACAGGTTCGACGTTTTCTAAACGACGCACCGCCTCAATGTTGGATAGGTCGCACGGGACCCCAAGACTTGTCGCTACACTCTTGGCCCCCAAGATCACCCCCAGACATCACCACACCCTGCGGCTTTGTCTTGTGGGGATACTTAAAAGACCCGTGGTGTTTTTGTGCCACCATTAGCGACTAATCTGGATGACCTCAAAAACAGAATCACGGCAGCGGTGACTTCAGTGGAAGAAGCTCTGTCGTCCCGACAGTTCTGTACCTTTCACCTGAAGACGGCCGCTTGCGTTGTGGCCGAAACGTCGTGAGAATTTTATTGTTATTTTATTATTTTATTCTCATTCTACGTGGTGACTTTACCGAAATAACCAAAGAAGACTTTGAGAGGTGTTTGGGACGAATTCAACTATCGTCTCGATGTTGTCCGTACAGCAGGTGGAAGGCACAGAGCATTTATAAAATGGTTAGTAAAACTTGATAACTCATTAAACCGTTTGTAACCGTTTGTGTAATTGTAACATGTTGCCATCGTGAAATATACTGCTTTGAAATTGGGTCCATTTTTTTAAAACACCCTGTATTTATAGTCTTAATATTGGAAGCGTAAAACCTAACCCCCACAGTGCATTCACACGCACACATGCCACTATCTGTAATGGAATTTGACATGCATATGCACACAGGCACTAAGTGGCCACATTCATGACTTCTATCACAGCTGCAGCGCTTAGATTAGAGGAATGAAAGGGACTTTTGCAGATAGCAGCACACGTCCAAAACACACCACACACTCGGACTCTTCAGTTACTCCCACAAACTTGCACCTCAGCTTTGAAAAGCATCTTAAACACAATCTTATATTTTTTGTAATTGTCAAGAAAAATAAAATATTTTTAAACTACTGATTTGTGCGATGGGCGTATGCCGTGATCGTGAAGTTTTGGCCAGATTGCCATTGAAAAATGACTTCTTAGATCAATGGGCCTTATATCTGAAATAAACCTACCAAGTTGTGAATACTATCTTTTGACACCCTTGTCTTTCTGCGAGACGTTAGGTTCTAAGAACATTTGTAAATTGTGATTTGACATGAGGAATATATTTGCTGTCATGGCATCTATTGTGTACGAGTATATCTGCGATTTAAAAAAATCCCAAACCGAAATTATTAGTTTCTTTTGGGTGAGATTATGTAGGTATATGAATGTTACCCTCCCCCTGACAGCCAATGAAATGTTGTTACTTGGACAAATATTCTGATTTATTTGGTTTTTCAGCAAACCAGGAGCTTGAAAAGCAAGCAAATGTTGATACTTTTATACATCAATTGACATATTTGTTAGGAAAAGCTTACATATCGAATTTAACCAACTAAAAAGTGAATTTTTAAAACACGTATTTATCTGAGTAGGTGTATTATATATGGACAATGGCACATGTGTTCACGTTCTGCATTGTGAAATATGTAACAGGAATGCAGTAGTATACAACACTGGAAATACTCTCACCACTTTACCATTATCTCACATTTATTTCAGTTTTTGTACAATTCCTATAATCAAAAAAGCAGAAAGCAGTTTTACAGCAAGGGTGCAAGAAATAAGAAAACGAGCATGAGAAAAATGCACAAAATGAGAGATGTCCTGAGCTTGGTTTAACCTTTTTGAATCTTCCCTACTTTACATCATGTTAATTAATTAAACGCAAACATCCAGTAAAGGTAGGAATTTCAACAATGGAAGGCCGACCCAAAAGCCTGTAGTTACAATTAAATATTATCGTAAGGGAATATGACGCCTTACTATAAATGTTCAGAGCAGATGAGAAAAAAACAAATTCCATGTTTCCCCTTTAAAGTTTTGGACAAGCGTTTACCGTTGTTATTCTTTTTTTTGTTTAATGAAAGGCACTGGTTGTCTTTTGACCATCACCCACATTACAACACGTCAATGTGAGCAGCAGATGGAGTCGTGCAGATCGGCCCAGGCGCATGAAAGACAATACTGAGGCTGTTTCTCCCATAGCCACACACGGCAATATATCTCTTAATATGTATAAAAATGTGTGGGTGCAGCCCTGCAATTTCTTGCTCACGCCACCACTGGCGGAAGGGGCCTCCACTGCGGGGAGAAGCTCTAAAGATACTCCCACGAGAGGGTATTATTTGGTCTACTCTTCCACATTGACCGTACACATTGGAAGAGGTAGGAGTATCCACACCTTTCCTCGCCACACGCAACATGCCGGTCGACTTACCCATTTTATATTGCTGGATGGACAGATGTGGGGGGGGGGGGGGGGGAGGAAGATTGAATAAAGTTGCCCATCGCTTGAGCTGCCGCGCCAGGAGACAATAAAAGTGGCGACCTCCGCAAGTCCGGTGTGCAAGCAATTACACCCACATGGCAACATCCCCCTTAAGATCTGTAAAAAGTACGCAGCCTTTTTCAAAAGACGCAGAAAGTCTCTGTTGCTGGCAGCTTAAATTTATCAGGCCCGGCTTGGTCAAAGTAAATTGTCTACACCCAAAGGACACTGCTCACAAAGATGTTGTAATGCAAAGTTCCTAGAAAAACACACATCTTCACTGCTGACATACATTCATGTTTTATTTTACTTTTGCTTGGTTGTTTTTGTCAATGACCCACGCAAGATGTTTTGCCCCCGATTGCATTGGAAGTTAAGGTTTGTAAATAATGTTGTACTCTCTCTTTCCCTAAATGTTTTTACTCAAACATTGTTCATGATGGTAACCGGTTTTTCACTTCAGGTGGAACCAAAATCCACTTTTAACTGCTCGTGAAAGAGAATGTGATGTGACCCAAGATTTAGTTGAATTTATTTTGAAGACAACAAAATTGCTTTCTTCATCAGCACCAAATAATGATGATCATTTAAACATTATTTGTAGCCGTCAATAGTACATTAAATATTCCATCAAGTTTTTCATTTGCCCAAAGATGGGGGGGGGGGGTGGGGATGGTTGGGGAAGGGAGCAACATTCTGAAGGGGTTACACATTTAATACAGCAGCCCAAAATGAAACTTGTATTAATTCACACCGATTTTCGCTTTGCTCTCGCACAAATGTCATTGAGTTTTTCTCGGAAGGTTGGAGGCGTCTTTCTGTAACGAACTTGCATCTGCGAACAGAAGGAAGCAATTTGCGCTTTTAGCATAAGCATGAACAACACACGCGCACGTGTAAACATAATTAAAATATATGATGAACTAAGAATGTATATAGCATTTTGTTACATGTGCCGATGGATAAGATTACATGAGGTGCCAAGAGTAAGAACGCTAAAAAGTTATGGGATGAGAAAGACGACTTCGGGGCCGTCCATAAATGACGTCACGCACCTTGGGGGGAGGGTGTTTGAGAAATGTGACGTCACATCAAAATGCGCAACTTTAAATAAATATAGGCAAACACGTTCTACTTAATTAAATAGACTTTTTAATAAATGTTTTCTCCTACAACATCAGAGTGCAGCGCCACATTAAATACGCACTACAATGACAATAGTTGAATGCGATTTGAAGCATGTTTTTTTTTTGGGGGGGGAGGGGGTCTGACTTTTTGTGATGCCATGTGACTAGGGGGGGGGTCAAAAATCGTCCAAAATCGCGTGACGTCATTTATGGACGGCCCCTTATATGTGCAAATATTACACCGAGGTTAATGGGAGTCAAAGAGACGCAACAAATGCAGAAACTAACGAGACATGTAAAATAAACTAAACAAAAAGGAAGGAAGGAAGATCCTTGAACAGAATTGTAGCAACTCATTCAGTGGCTGAGTGTGTGGGGGGGAAGGTTGTAAATTATGACATTGCCAGCACTTAACAAATCACGTTATCCGTTCCACAGCTCTGTGCAACAGATCACTTTCACCGACACACTGGTATCTGTTATTACTGCATAGGTGAAAACTACAATACAGAGCTGCATTTTCTATTTAGTGAAAGCATCCGACACTACATGTTGTTTATTACATGTTAAAGGCTATGTCAAGTGTAGTATTTGCAGTTAATTTCACGCTATACAGCATGCAGCGCTATAAACCTAGCAACTTGGGGTTCAATGCAAGGCCAAGACCACCATCAGCATGTGATATCTGAATCGGGTCACGGTTCGCACCCACCATTACCGAAGCCCGCTAACCAGTGCGGTGAAGTATGGCTAAACAACCGCCATGACCAACATGGCCGTCTTCATCCTCAAGGTCTTCTTCAACAAATACGCCAATTACCTAAAGGGGACCACCGAGGTTCCTCGAACTCCCTCCCGTAGCCTCAGAAGTTCCTCCTGATTCCGACTTTAAATTACATTTCCAAAAATGTTGTTTGCAAAAAAGTCTTTCCGCGTTGCTGCTCCACCTTTCTGGAATCCCCTTGCCGCTCATCTACGGCTTGGTTCCCCCTCCCTTCTCTTCCCCTCTCGATATCCTTATTCTACCAAAACACAGAGCTCACTCGCACTCGTACCTAAGTTGTGCTGGCGCCCATTGCCGTGTTTCGTTAACGACCGTCAAATATCTAATTTATTAGTTGTGCGATATTCCATAAGGACCCTGTACTCGTTCTCCGCGATATCGATGTTTTTTTTGTCTTTTGCTGTTGCTGCGCTGACGTCCCATGGATCTTTCCCTCGTAAAAACAAGCGAGTAACTGGACAAATGGGATCATGAATGTAACAAATAAAAATAAACTGAAATGGCAGTATTGCATGCAATTAGGCTGTCATTTTCTCTTTCAAAGTTGTCCGACTCGGGTTAAATGAGCTAATGCATTTGTTCTGTACATCCGTCCACCTTGTTTCCCTGCTAAATGGGGTTACGATAACACTTGCTTAAAGATTATACAAAAAAAAATCAATACAACTTTAGTACAAATAATCTGTTGCTCTTAGGGACTCGCTCAAAAGAAGATTGGCCAAATTGATCGAAGGGTCGTCCAGAACTTGTCAATAAAAACGGGATAGTTATGCATATTCAGCCAAGGCGATAGATAGCGTCACACGCCAATGAGTGTACCGCTCACCATGACGTCACTTATCACGCGTTCGGAATGTGACATTACAACCGCGAATGAAATACTTTTGAGGACAACCGCACCGATGGAAAGCGTTTACCGAATTCATGAGCATGCACGATTTTCCTCCAACTTAATTTGCTTCCTATGTCGACAGACGGGCAAAGAGCGTTACAGAGCAACATGGTCGGTGCAAGAACCACAAGAGTGAGAATGCGGACAAGGTCAAATGCAAAGGTTACCTGGGAAAGACTGTGGAAAGCGGGCAGGCAAAGCAGAGTGGGGCTGCGACCCTTGCGGCTGGGGACTAGAGTGCAAGCCTGTATAGAGACCTGAGGTGGAGGGGACACAGATCAGAGCCAGCAAAACCACACCAAATACCCCGTTTTCCACAGTCATATCCATACTGGGTCAGCGAGGGGGACTCTCATGGTTTTGGATGCGGTTTCACTCGGTTATTTCCTGAGCCGTCACTAAATCACGGTACATTGGGCCTCTTCTACAAGATATCCGAATCTGGCTCGGGAGGGGGGGTGGGGGCAACATGGGCCAGGGAAATTTGTAGCACGACACCAGGAAAAAACAACCTGGTGTCTTCTAAGCAGTGCCAGGTTGGTTCGGCATGGCACCAGCACCGTTTTTTGGTAACAAGTGTAAACGCGGTAAAAAGAAATCCTCAGCTCGTACACCCATGCAGCGCGGGCCTGAAGCCGATTCGACTTGCACAGCTAATCACTAGCAAAAAAGTAGGGGCTGAAGAGACTATCCACCTGTGTACAGACCCCTTTTGTCAATCCACTGCTGGATGACAGCCTCTCCACGCCACGCGGTGCCGCAGGGGGTTACGTGACCATACTTCACTACGCTGATAAGTGTGGGTTGGCGAAGGCAGGCAGCACAGATGCAGAACCGTACAACTGACTTTGATGCACTGCAGATTCACAGCCGTGCACGGCGGTTATCCATGAAAGCACTATCCAGGCTCAACTTTGCTTAGCTTGGGCACTGAAGAGATTGAGTGCATTCCGAGTGATTTTGCCCATGAAGAGACAGTGCAACGCAAAATACCCAGAAATGCAGCAGACAGTTAAGCAGAGTAAAAGGCAGGGGAGGAGGGGGAGGTCTCAAGCTCATGTCACTCGTTAAACAGAAAAGACAAACAAGGTTGTTCAAGTTGCTGCTTCAGTGAACATAAACATAAAATACCACGTTAATGAAACATGAAGGCAGAAATTGCCGTGAAGCTGTCACTGAAAAGGATTGGCCGATCAGATTTATCAAGGAAGTACCAAGGTCTACAGGGAAAGTGTTATATAGTCTTGGTTGGCGAGGTTGGGTTTTATATATATATAGATCGTTTCAGATGACGATGCTGAACACGTACGTCATCGGAATCAGGAGAAAAACCAATGACGTGCACGTGCATCATCGGAATGGGGAAAACGGTTCACCAGGGCGGCCTGTGGATCCCAAACCAGCGAGAACCTCCGCAACGAGCAGCGAAAGCGCCTCCCCCCCCCCCCGCTCGGCCACGTCGCCGCCGTCTCCTCGCGGTCTCGCGAGCGGGCATGACGTGAACAGCTCCCGGACGGGAGGACTCACTGTGCGGGAGGCCGTGGTGGAACGTGCCTGGCGCGGGCCCCGTTATGATGGCGTCCCTCCCGCTCATGGCCGCGTCGCTGTCGAAGTCCGTGAAGTTGACGGGTATGATGATGTTGCGTATGGGCGCATGGAGCGCGGGCCGAGCTGGCTGAGCTGCCGCCGGCACGGCGCCGGCGGGCTGCGCCGGTTTGTGAGACAACGCAGGGGCGGGCTTGTGGGCTGACGAAGCGGTGGCTTTCGGACCCAACACGGAGGTCGTAGGCAGCAATGCCGCCGCCGTGCCCGTGGCCAGCAGCGAGCTTCCCGAGACGATCTGGGGGCAGAGGCGCACGCAAGTCCTTTATTCCGACGTGCAACACGGTTTAACTCGAGGCAACTATCGTAGCGTGATGGCTCATGCAATTAACGCTGCGCATACTTTTGATGTACGAGCGGGGTCCTTCAACGATGATTTTAAGCAGGCCACACAGAGAAATGGCGTGTTGGGGAGCCATGTGACGTTATGTGTTAAGTTGCACGGCATCATGATGCCGTAATGTCCGTCGAATGCGATCATTAATCTCTACTTCTTGTCTACATCTCTCTCATCTCTATTTCTTGATTAACGCTCTTTCATCTCACCAATCTTCATCTCTTCGTGTCTCGGCGAGGCATATCTTCTAGGCGGGCCAGATCAACTGACAACAATGACCACCACACCACCGCACTTGATGCAAAGGGACCTCCGATTTCACACCTCCAATTAGGACGGCTTGGCTACGTACGGCGCGAAAGAACTTCAACACACATATACGCACAACAAAGGACGCGAAAACTCGGCCATCAACACGAGCGCGTCGGCACGACTCGCCTGGTTGGGCGACGTGGAGGAAGCAGGGGAAGATGATGGAGGTGGCGGGTGGGACGGAGACTTGTGAGAGGCGGCTGCCACTTTTCCCGTGCTGGCGAGGCCGTGAGCAGCACCTGCAGAGCCGGGCGAACCGCTATTCTGCCCGAGCTTCGGAGCGCCCGCTGCCAGCCTCTTTGGGCTGCAGCCGAGCACGGGACTGTTCGACGGGTGGGACGAGGTCATAGCACCTGTGGACGCAGCCTTGGTTGAGGGAGAGTAGGGCATCTTGAATTTTTGTCCAGAAGACGCCGAGTTTGCGGACACACCGGAATGCCCAATGACTCCGGCTATTATATTACCCATGGTGTTATTCCCCAACGAGTTTGATGGGAACGTGCTGGCCTGAGGCAAACTGTGGCTCTGTATGGGTATTTTTATTATGTCCGACTGTTTGTATGGCAGCCTGTCCGAGACTTTGATGTTGTGGTGCTGCTGTATGTGGGCCTGCTGCATGTGGGGCTGGTGCTGCTTTTGCGATGAATCTTTGCTGTGGGACGCGACCGAGGTTTTTATCACGTATTGCTGATTGGCCACTTTGGCCGAAGGGTTCGAGTTCTGCTGGTACTGCCGGTGCGAGCTCTGCTGCAGGGCGGGTTTTTGATGCGCATGAGAAACGACGGTGGTCCCCGCTTTCTGCTTCTGCAGTTGCGTCACGCCCGAGATGACATTTCTGTGAGCCTGAACGACCACTTGCGGGTGGCCACTTGCCGATTTACCCTGCTGCGGAAGCTGCTTCCTATTGGCCGCCTGGTCAGCCAACAGGTTGAGAGGGTAGTGGCCCGCAGGAACGGGGCTCGACCTTGCCGTAGCCGAGGGAGGAGGGTTTTGCTGCACGGGTTTCTTCTCCAGGCCGGACGTGGGTTGTCTGGTGACGGATTTTGGAATCGAGTCCGACGATCCGAGCAACAACCCGGGCAAGCAGAGCTTGTCGATCAACGCGGCGTTGTTGAGCGCAGCCAGGGTTTCCGTCACGCTGCCGAGGACTCCCGGGTTCAAGATCAACTCGTCGTCCAGAGAGTTGTCGATGTTGTACACGGGCGGAGCCACGTGCTGACCCCTGCCCTGCATGGGCAAAGCGGAGACGAGCACGGAGGAGTTGGGCGACGAGGAGGATGGTGACGCGATGACCGTCCTCGTTCCCACGGTCGTCTGAACGGCACCGGACGCGCCCGACGACGGCGATGAACTCGAGGGCCTGGAGTGGATCGCAGCGGGCTGGGCCAGCGCCGACTGTCCGAGCGCCACCGCCGCCGCGGCTTGCGGCACCATCGGTTTCGGCTGCGCGGGCTGGTTAGCCATGGTGTTGGCGGGCACGGGCGGCGCTGTCAGAGGTGCGTTTGCGGGCAGCACGTTGGGTGTGCCCGGCCGCACAGAGGCCGGGCCCGCCGTCGCAATTAAAGGCTTCCGCTCGGACTTCAGCCCCGTGTCCTGCTGGAGAAGGTAAAAAGTGATTTACTTGTTAGGCAAAGGCGCAGCCCTGCAAATTGCTAGCTCACACCACTGCCGGCAGAAGTGCCTCGACTAGTAGGAGCTCGAGAGGGAATCTAAAAAGGGTGGGGTTTTTTTTGTTTGGGCATATTCTTCTAACAATGGCCATTGTGGCACTCATTAATACTGCTTGGTGGACAGAGATGGGGGGGGGGGGGGGGAGGATTTTAAATACTTGTACCACTGCTTCAGCAGATGTAATTTTTGGCAGATTGAACTGGTGACCTCTGGATTGGGGTAGAACGTTCTGAACAATGGGATAGGACCTCCCTTCAAGATGTTGAATGGACTTAGCAGGTAACTGGGAGATAAAACATTTCTTTCCAAGTGTAATTTAGAACCACTGACCAGTGGGCTACTAACCATTAAGCCATGGCAGCATCCTGTTAAATTGTTAAAACAACTTATTTTATACTGGTTGAGGTGTGATGGATGCAGACCTGGCTAAAATTGAAACCCGCTTGCTATTCACATGCAGTTATGAGGTCAACTCTGTAATCATTACTGGCCTGTCCGATTGAACTTCAGAGATTCAGAGAGGAAGACACACCCCAAAATTCTGCCCATGTCAATAAAGTTGTACAACTCCTAATCACACACACGGATACCACATATAAGATGTACCTCCAACTTCTTCTTTTAAATACAGGAAAATAAAACTGCATTTTATAATCCAGAGACTATGGCAAATGTGTTTGTGTAAACACTGCTTTCAGTCCTTCCTTCTTTCCAAAACATTAAAAAGCAGACTCTTTGGTTTCTTCGGTAAAGTCACGTAGGTAAAAAAATCTATAAAATATATGAAAACAACTAAATTAAATCACGACGTTTCGGAGGCAACACAAGCTTCCGTCATCACCGCAAAATCGCTGTATCAATTTGCTGTATCACTTGATACAGCAATTTGCTCTATCAAGTGATACAGCAATTTGCTCTATCAAGTGATACAGCAATTTGATACAGCGATTTTGCGGTGATGACGGAAGCTTGTGTTGCCTCCGAAACGTCGTGATTTAATTTAGTTGTTTTCATATATTTTATAGATTTTTTTACCTACGTGACTTTACCGAAGAAACCAAAGAGTCTGCTTTTTAATGTTGATACAGCAATTTGCTGTATCACTTGATACAGCAATTTGCTCTATCAAGTGATACAGCAATTTGCTCTATCAAGTGATACAGCAATTTTGCTGTGACGGTTTCCACCTGACGGAAGCTTGTGTTGCCTCTGAAACGTCGTGATTTAATTTTGTTATTTTCATATATTTTATTGATTTTTTTACCTACGTGACTTTACCGAAAAAAAACAAAGAGTATGAATCCTTGCAGTCACGAAAGCTTCAAATCTAGAATTAAAAAAGCACTTTATTTATAAAAAATATATATAAGACAGAACTGCATAATCACAATGTGATTGATTTAACATTTTTAGATATTAACTTCCAATCTTCTGATTTAAGACTACCACGAGAATTTACAGTCCACAACAAAAGGAAAATGATTAAACCCAGCTGAGGCGAAACCGCTCTATCCTAAGGCTAAATACACGCTTGCAGAGAACATGTTCATGGAGTAAAATTCTGGAAAAACCTGAAACGGCTCGTTAGTTCAAATGTGGATTTCAACCACCCACCGAGTTGCCTTGGGTGTATTTAGAGGCTCGCAGCTGTGACTAATTTAATTTCTGGATGGGTCAAACCAGTCGTGCATGTTCTCAAACAATAAATCGGCAACACGCAGTTTGGCAACCACACCCACAAAGAAATCAGGGCATATGAACTTGGGAGGGCGATGCAATGGTTGTTGGGAGCAATGCTCAATGTGGTGGTGCTTTGCTATGTCTATAAGGATAAACTTATTGTATCGTACTTGATTTGAAGCTTTCGTGACTGCAGGAATTACTCTGGTTCTTTCGGTAAAGCCAAGTAAAAAGAAAATAAATTAAATAGAATACGTTTCGATTGCAACACAAGCAATCATCATCAGGTAGAACTAAATTTGAGAGAGAGACAAAACACAGACACGGAGACACAGACAGACACACAAGCAGAGAGACAGCACAGACACACAGAGAGAGACACAACATAGACACACAGAGACCCAATGCCTGTGTCGAGGCCTTAAATAGAGAGGGGGGGGGGGTTGGGCAGAGAGAGAGGTGCTGCCCAACCCCCCCCCTCTCTATTTAAGGCCTCGACACAGAGGCATGGGTCTCTGTGTGTCTATGTTGTGTGTCTCTCTGTGTATCTCTCTCTCTGCTTGTGTGTCTCCGTGTCTGTGTTTTGTCTCTCTCTCAAATTTAGTTCTACCTGATGACGGTTGTTTGTGTTGCAATAGAAACGTCGTATTCTATTATTGAGTTTATTTTCTTTCTACGTGACTTTACCGAAAGAACCAAAGAGTAATTATTGTCTCGTGTTGAAACGTAGAAAGGGAAGGGGAACGCCTTAATGTGTTTATTTAAAAACAAAAAAATCCGAGTTCCACTATAATCGGCACAGCAGCTTGGTCACTGTTGCAGATTAGACCCATTGCGGGTTTGTGATTTCTCAACGGTTTTGTAAAAAATAAACCTTGATCTTCAAGGGACAAAGGCTTTTCAAAACATTGAACAGTACCAATTAATTGGCAGTTGTAGCAGTGTTGAGTATTGTGAATAGTTTATAGAACTGTTGGTAAATATACTAAGAAGCTGGTGCCAGACCCTCGTGGCAGTGATAGAGAACCGGGTCGAAGTGAGCAGGTTTTGGGCAAAAGCACAAAGCTGTAACTTATCAATAGCAAGCTCCAGTGACGCTGCAAGACCAGGCTTGTGATCTCTGGTAAGACCTGTGCTGTGATTGTGAATGCATACCTGTTAACCCATACGGTTTACCCGTGTTCCTGTACAAGGATATTGAGTTATCAGGTCCATACAGGATACAGCCGTTTCAATACATGTAAAAGAAAACATGTCTATTTGTGTTTATCTCTTGTGATGGGACTTTGTAGGATGAACGTTGAGATTTATAATGGTACGGGGTGACCAGTAAGGCCTGTATTTGTCCAATAAAGTAGACACTGATGAGGGGTTGACAGGTATGTGAATGTGCTTTCATTTTTGCAATGTGTACTTGGAGCTGCAATTTCATTGAGATGAAAAATAAACTGACGCTAATTTGGAAACATCAGACACTTGCCACAAACACCTGGCTCATCTGCAGTAAGGTGAGCACTTCGGGACACTTTTTGGGCAATGCTTGAAGGCAGAGCGGCGGTAAAGTATACTTGCAAAATATAGCTGAAATGCAACACTGCGCAATCCGCAACACGTGGAGGCAGACATTAAGATGCTCTTAATATGCGCACTGATGCCTCCTTTATTAATAAAGATTGATTGGTTTATTTTCATCCAACGAGTGTTTATGCATGTGGGAGGAAACGTATTGTTGACTGATTATATGGTGCCACATGATTACATATAACCTGGATAGTAGGTAGTCGCCAATCCAAACTAAGCATCACATCATGATAAAGGACATGAGTGTAATTGATGGGCAGCAGAGGGCAGTGCAAAAAAAATACATTGTTGTACTGTACTGGAATGCTCCTGCGTTTATGTAACACGCCTTTAAGCCCCACGGACCAGCACGAAATTGGGTAAAATAACCTCCACGACCAGAACAGAATGGTGAAGCTCTCATCCAGGAGTGCGTTGACAAAGGGCTGTGTACATGATTAGATTGATGTAAGAATAGTAATTGGCTCTTATATTCTCCCTTCTGCTTATGAGGCGAGGGAGTTAACATCTTTGGTGAAGTCGATTGCGAGTGATGTGAGTGAGCAGGAGGGCGTTTGCAGAATTATGGTTCAAATCCCCGGTGAACACCCCGGGATTCTCCTAAAAAAGGACCACCTTGAATGGATTACACTCATCCACACAAACCAATAATTCTCCTACGGTCCACTGACATTACCTTGAGCTTTGGTTTTGCAGGAGGAATGCATTTCTTCTTTGTACTGCAAAAGCACAAATCACACCACTTGTAAGACAAATCGTACAATTCATTACAGGAATTTTATACTTTACGCTTAAACAATGAGGATTTAAAACTACAATATAAACTGCACTGTACCTCGCGCGAAAGGTAAACATGAAGGCGATTGTAGTTCCCACATCTGGCTGCCTCAATGTCAAAGACACGTTTAACGATTACAGCACTGTGGGCCAGGTGGCTCCGTGGAAGAGCAAGCAGCTTGCAAATCTATAATTGGGATTTCAAATCCAAGTTGGTGGGGAGTGGGGGGTTGCCAGGGTGGGTGTTGCTTTGGCTCATCCCTCCCGGTAGTCGCTAAAATAGGTACCAACAGTAGTGCAAGTCAACTGTGGTTGTGCTATGAATAGACTCACCCCTGCCATAGGAATGTGGATTTTATTCCATCACTAGCTCAAGGCTGTATATCTAAAATGAGCACCGGCCTTCAGTGCTCATTTGAGCTGGAATTCACTTTGTTGTTTAACAGATACCACCTGGGAGTTTAACGACACGGTATAAAACTGACATTGGAGCGTGTCAAAAATGGGAATTTCTATTTTTTTTTTAAATCAACCTGGGTTTTATCCAACCTCACCTTTCTTTTGCCGCATCTTTAACATTTGCAGATTCAATCTTGGTTTTACAACAAACTTCCTGTCTTTTATTTTCTTGTAATGAACAACTTGTACTAGTTTCTTTTTTATATGCTGTATATTGTATTCTGTTATAAAAACAAGGGAAATGTTTTTTTTTTAGTAAAGGTGCTGTGGGCTAAGCGAGGATCGAGGAAACACACACAGCTCTTCTGTTCGAGTGATATAAAGGTTTTCTTTGTCTTTAGCACGACAGATTTTTTCATCCATTTATTTCAGCATGAATGAAACCCACATGTCTGAAATATACAACTTTTAGGTTTCGCTGGAATACACATTGATAACATTTGTTTAAAATACATTTACACTTTGTACACCTGAAGCAGTGGAAACAAATGTGGATGGCGATGTAGACTGTTTACTGCACGCAACTGACTACCGAATCGTGTTCCTGGGGGGACTTATTGATATGATTTGGGCATTACTTTGGCGTGTCCTGCAGGGGAATTGAACATCTCCTCCTCTTTTACGCTTTGGTTCTTTCGGTAAAGTCACGTAGGTAGAAAAATAATAGATCGCGACGTTTCGATCGCAACACAAGCAATCGCCATCAGGTGAGACAACCACGGCAAGAAAAAAACGCTGAAGTAGGCCATTTTTCTTTGCCGTGGTTGTCCCACCTGATGACGATTGCTTGTGTTGTGATCGAAACGTCGTGATCTATTATTTTTCTACCTACGTGACTTTACCAAAAGAACCAAAGAGTATGGATTCCTGCAGTCACGAAAGCTTCAAATCAAGATCTCCTCTTTCGCCTTGCTACCCGCTGCTTTCACCTTTTCCTTTCCTTCATACATTTTAATGGTGGTCTCCCTCCACTCCCCCAGCTCTGCAGGAGTCTTACTCCATTCCTCTTTCTCCCTTGGTTCCTCTCTCTGGACAGGGGTCTCCCCGCTCAGTACCCCTCTCCCCCTTGGTTCCCTTCTCTATATTGATGGTTCTATCTGGACAGGGGGTCTCCCTTGGTTCCCATCTCTCCCTTGGTTCTGCTCTCTGGACAGGGGTCTCCCTCAGTTCCCTCATCTGCATTGGTTCTCTCTGGACACAGATCTCCCTCGGTTGCCCTCTCTCCATTTGTTGTTCTCTCCAGACAGGGGTTTCCTTTGGTTTCTCTCTCTGGAGAGGGGTCTCCCTGCCAGCTCTCCTTGCAGCTCAAGTCGTCTGCTATCTCAACAGCAGCCTCGGCTTTAATCTCTGATAGAAACTGAGAATTTTAAACATATACACGTGGTGAAAATGTTAATCGCGTCAACAGACACGCCAACGTTTCTTACTTCCAAGCAGAATGCTCAAACCAAGAATTCCTCTGATAAACAACAAATGCCTGCATCTGAAAATCCATTTGCTGGTGTGTCTACCTTTGTGTCTTGACTTGGGTTTGTGTCACTGTGCTGTCTCTGCCTGTGTGTGTGCCTTGGTGTCTCCGAGTGTGTGCTGCGACTTCCTCCGCTGCCCCTATATGCTTGACAACCTGTATCCCCCCCACCCCCACGCCGTCCTTTGATGTATACTTTCTTCACGCTAATTTGTATCCCATTGTCTCTCAGTCCCAGCCCCGCCGTCTCCGTCTATTTAAGGCCTCGGCACAGAGAGGCTGCTTCACTGTGTGCGCGTCTCTCCCCATATGTCTCTGTGCTAACTCGTTCTGCTTAGATGTCTATATATGTGTATGCGGTCTATATTCTATCACTCTCTTAAATTTCACGCTTAACTTACAATTTAGCAATCTTTGAAATAACGTAATCAAACCAGAACATGCGCTAATTGTATTTTGACCGACCGTCTGTGTTGCTTTATATAGTTTCCAAATTTTGCTAAACCCTGTTTCATTTAGTGTGCTCCTCCGTCTCTCTCTGTACCCCCTGGTGTATCTGTGTTAATTCCCTCTACTTAGGTGTCCGTATATATCTGCGGTTATGTGTTTCCTCTCTCTCTTAAATTTAGCTCTTCTGTACCTGATGATTGTTTGTGTTGCAATCGAAATGTCGTATACTATTATGTTATTTTATTATGTCTTTTTTCTACGTGACTTAACCGAAAAAAACAAAGAAAAACTTGCATTTGATGAATGACACTTTTACTAGCATTCACATAGAGTACACTTCCACAGCAAATTAAACCAGATCATTATCTTGGCAATGAATGCTTTTGATGTTTAGTTGATGACACCCTAAATGATAGCCACTTATAGTCTCATGAAATTCTCAATTGTTTCTGCTGCCAGTGGCATTGAAAGCTTGTGGAATAATTACCCTGTGGTGCAAACAATGGATTGCTTTTTTATACTCCAAAAAGTGTATGCACATTTAGCCCCCTGGATCTTATGAATGAAAAGAAACCTAAAGTGTGTAGCAAATGTCTACCCAGACTGTGGATAACGTGCCACATGATCACTTGGCTAATCGACCAAGGACAATGGAAGGGATTTGAATTGCCTCTGACAATTAACCACCCAACCTCGCAACCACAAATCATCTTGTCGAGTAAATTTTTTTACATTCTCTTAGTACCAAATTTAGCCATTTTTAACTACTTTATTTGGTTTTGAATGTCTAAACTGCCCTCGCCAGTCGAAAGCCAGCAATTCAATGAACTGCCACATTTTAATTTATTAAAACTCTCTAGTTGTGGTCCTGTCTAGTTTGTGCTGCTGCCTCGCATGTTGTTCTGTCATTCGAGCCATTACAACATTTATTTGTAAATCATTTGCAATACGAAACAAATTTTTGGGTGCATCAGCCTTAGTACGGATTTTTCATGGAATTGTTGCAGGCCCATTATAAAGATACATGTGGACACACTCAGAGTACACCTGTCAACATTGAAAAAGTGATTGTTTATTGTTTCAATAAAAAAACGCTGTCTGGTGCCCGGCCACTTACGGTGCTGCTGTAATGTGGCCGTGGACTGCCCGACTCTCCTTAAATAGCATTCTGTAAAACACACACACACGGTCAAGCGTTCAAGTCGCATAAAGTAAAAGCACTTGATGGCAACAACAAATAAATCACACGGGGTCTTATAACCTGCGTTACAGATCGTGTAGTTAGCCAACGTTCTCCACATACGAACTCTCGCACGCTCGGAAAATTACAGTATTCTCCGGCTGACAAGTTGGGGTGTATTTTACTTCCCAAAGCATCTTATAACTTGGACATTATGGTATTATTTAATATATTTAAAGGCAAAACAACTTAATTGAATCCACATTAAGGCAATATCCTTAAACTATAACGATGCAGCGAGTTCAAAATACCAAAACCAACCATTCAAATACAATAACACCAGTGCTTTGCTGCTATAGTATTCGTTATCCCAATGCTAAATTCTGTACTAAAACGTTTTGAGCAAAGAGTTGGCTGAAGGCACATGTTCAGCGATGAAAAATATTAACTTTGGCTTCAACGTTTAACATGTAGAATGGAAATAAGCACTGTGGGCATTGTGTCAGCACTGAAGAACACATGTTCATGAAAATGGGGCACAGATGTGGCACTGGGTGGCAATGATCAATCTGATGTAATTTATTTATCCAGCAAATCCCAGCTGCGTTTAAAGAATTTAAAGGAGGGTCCTGGCATCCACATGTTTGGACAATAAACTGTTAAGCAGTGTTTTACTTCGGACACTATTAAGCTGAAGTGCAGAGATTTAAGTACGCTAAACTACCTCCATATCTGAAAGCTACACAATCCTGTACCATTGTAACGAGTGTAAACTGTGCGGATTAAAGTATCTCAGATGCCACATTCGATGTTCATCCTCGGAATATTTTACTGTACAGCACTGCTGTTAATAAAGTGCAGCTCTGTTTGAGATCACTACGTCAAGCAAAATGGAATGATGTTCATGGGAGCAAAATATATTAAATGACCTCTTATCACAAGATAATTTGTATGTACAAGGTAAATAATGATTGTTGAAATGGTGGATGGTGAAAACAAAAGTGTCACTTTAATCAGTCATGCCGTTGCCCCCACCCCCACTCCTCCTGGCAGTTCAATACTTTAAGTATGCACGTGTTGGGGATCTATTTTAAACAATTGGCTAACAAGGATGTATTCATTGAGCAGAGCACTCTGCCATGGAACTACGAGGTGGAAGTTGGCTCTTATTGAACTGTGTGAGGAGAATGCTTTTAAAAACGGCGGAGATAACTGCACAGCTTGAGGACCGCGAGGTGGGCGTATCAGATTGTGTGTGTGTGTGTGTAGAACACACTAAACACCAAAAGCAGTTCTAAAGAAAGAAGTTGGAAATTTATATTTAACCATTGATAGCTCCAGCACCTTCCTAATATCGGCAAGAAGAGCATTCCAGACGGCCGCAGGAGGAGATTGTTTTAGGCTGGCGGACAATCACTAGCAATAAGATATTGAAACAATCCGACACTCCACCGAACGCTCAGCGAGGCAATTTCTCAGGCTTTCATATTCTTGGACCTTTCGGTAAAGTCACATAGAAGGGAAACAATAAAAGAAAAAAATATAAAACAATAAAATTATCACGACGTTTTGACTGCAACACAAGCAATCATCATCAGGTGTGAAAACCACAACAAGAAAATTTTCTTGTTGTGGTTTTCTTGTTGTGGTTTTCACACCTGATGATGATTGCTTGTGTTGCAGTCGAAACGTCGTGAGAATTGTATTGTTTTATATTTGTATTATTTTATTGTTTCGCTTCTACGTGACTTTACCGAACGAACCAAGAATATGAATCCCTGCAGTCATGAAAGCTTTAAATCAAAATTTCTCAGGCTGTAAGCTCCTGTTAAGATGCGCTCTGGGTTAAGTCGTTCAATAGAAAAGCGCTCTGGGCGTGCCCTAACCAGTGAACGCACCCATTTTACGAAAGAATTCCAACAACAAAAACCCCCTTCCCCCCCACCAGCAAAGTAACAACCTCTGAACTGGGAATAGCACAAATTTAAACTCAGTCGAACAAGATATTTTGGTCCATCATCGAAGGAGACGCTATCAAATTTGTTTCGCATTAACGGTGCTTGCATAGCCGGGGACAGCCTAGGTATGTACCTGCAAGAGCTCTTTTTTAGGATTGTGGTTTTTTTACAGGTAAGATATCTGACAAATCTTTCGTGACTGCAGGAATTCAGATTCTTTGGTTCTTTCAGTAAAGTCACGTAGATAGATAAATAATAAAAAAGTGACTAAAATAATAAACAAAAACCACGAATGTAGACTGTAGCCTGGTTCTTAATCTGAGTGTGTACTGGCAGTCTATAATGTAGACTGTAGCCTGGTTATTAACCACGGTGAGTGTACTGGCAGTCTAATGTAGACTGTAGCCTGGTTTTAAGCTTGGTGAGCATATTGGCAGTCTATAATGTAGACTGTAGCAATGGTTATTAAACCGAGTTAGCGGACTGGCAGTCTATAATGTAGACTGTAGCCTGGTTCTTAAACTGAGTGAACGGACTGGCAGTCTATAATGTATGTGACTTTACCAAAAGAACCAAAGAATAAGTCTACATTATAAACTGCCAGTACGCTCACTCAGGTTAAGAACCAGGCGCCAGTCTACATAACAGACTGCCAGTACGCTCAACGAGGTTAAGAACCAGGCTACAGTCTACATTAGACTGCCAGTACACTCAGATTAAGAACCAGGTTACAGTCTACATTCGTGGTTTTAGTGTTTTTATTGTATTTCTATTCACTTTATTTTTATATCTACGTGACTTTACTGAAAGAACCAAAGAATATAAAAAACGTTTATAAGGCTGCTGCGGGACTATGTTGTCAGCATAGGGCAGTGCATCAAAACCCATTGTAGTACTGTACTGTGCTCCAACGCCCGTGCTCCCCCACCTTCACCAACCCGCACTGATCAGCATGGTGAAGTATTGGGTCAAATAATCTCCCACGACCCGTACGGTGTGGGGGGGGGGGGTGGGGCCCTCGTCCAACAGTGGAATGGCAAACGGGGCCGTACATGTTTACGCAAGAACACACTGTAACGGGGATTTGGAATCTGCGAAGGACTGCATTGGTGCGGCAGTCGCGACGCGGTTTGAGAAGGCCTCACCTGGACTGCATCCAGCCCTTGGGCCACAGCGGCTTCACCTCGGCCTCTAGGAAGGCCTTCAGGTAGTCCTCGGCCGACTGTGACTTAATCCGCTCCGCGTCATATCCTGCCATCTTCACTTTCACCACATTACACAGCAAATCCCTGCAACCACCATTATCTCATGGAGCGTCAAGTGTCACACACCGAGCAAAGCTCACCGCCGAGAGAGTCTACGTTAAGTTTTTGCTGACGCGTGCATTATTACAATTATTGGAGAAAAAAGCCCTCTCCCCCAATTTTTTTTTTAGAAAGGCACGTGATTTTTTGCACTTTACAAAGCAAGCTGGCAAGGGGGCAACACGTTGATTGTACCGATGGTTACAGATGAGTGTGGAATGGAGGATGAGTAAAAAATAAGTAACGAATTATGCCACGCGCAAATCGTTTGTTAGGCTTTGCATATAACATCGTGTAAAAAAAAAACGTTACACGGTCAGGGTTATTCTTCTCTAATCCTGTCACAAAACTGAATTCATCACAAACATTACTACTGTGAACGCGAAATACAATGTTCAACAAATCACGTCCGTTTCTGTTTTTTGATATTCATTCTGTTCAGTGCCACTTCTTTAAAACAAAACCCTCGAAAAAACCAGGTCGCACAAACGCACCAGAAGAACGCAAGCGCACCGGACACCAAATTACTGGGACTTTTAATCGGCTGCAGTAAAAACTTAAAATATTTCATCAGTTTTCAGAGATTTATTTCTGCTTGAGTTATATCAAGTCAATTGAAATCATTGCTAAATGATGTTAAGTGCTCACCTTATCTCAGTGTTCCACTGAAATTTCTTTCTTGGACCAAACACACGTTTGCCAGGCTTCTCGTCATCGTCGTCATCATCGCTGGCATTTTTATCTTTATCTTCTCTTTCTCGTTCTTCACTCATAATTCTGAGGGGAAAAAACACGAAGTAAAAGTATGGCGTTGTAACAAAATCCTTACCTTAAGATTAACAACGTGCTTCACTGTAAATTAAGGCGACTGCCATTCTCCGTAAGTCTTGATTGAAATGGAACACGCATTCTTCATGCAGCGAAGCATTACAACTTCTGTCCACGTTTGCTAAGAGGGCCCCCCCCCTCCCCCGCTGTTGTTTGCTTCCACAAAAGGGTAAAAATCACAACACCGAGTGTGTCTCTATACAAGAAAAAAAGCCGATTACATAAGAACTCTTGTTTGAGTAACCCGCTCTTCCCTATCTGCATTTGCTTAAGGAACTTGCCGACCTGCCCATGCTGGACATCTGCAAAAATGGGCTTCATAGATTCATCGGATTCCTCCAGTCTAAATAAAGATTGTGATTCTGAAATGCATATGGGTAATAATTAATCAGACATGTAAATTACAGCATGCTGTAAAGTTTAGGTATTTAACAAGCAGCATTTATTTTTTTGCTTTAAAAACAACTAAAAACAACCACCCCTTGATGTCTACTTTGGCGTACTTGGCCTGAGTGTGGGCCTGGTAAGTCTCCTGGTATTTTACGGTCTGCTCCGGCATGACGGCGCCCACAGCATCCCGCAGCTTGTGCATCGGCGACTTGAGACGTCCATCCTGCAAAGACAGGTCACGCTCGCTTCATGAAGCCCCAGTTGGCGTGGTATGAAATGGATGCATGTTGAACTTCTTTAGCACCCTACGTAGCCAACCGTGCTAATTAGAGGTGCGAAAAAATCGCAGAAACGTGTGAACTCGATTGAGTTCACACGTTTCTGGACCCAGGGAGGGCATTGCGAACCCTCAAACACATTTTGCAGACCACTATGCAGTGATTAAAAAAAAGTTCCACGGACAACTTTCCCACGGCCTTGCAGACTCCACCCTGTGATCCAGGGTTGGAACCAATGTCTATACCATCTGGTTTCTGAGCGGAGCAGAATTGTCATGCAACAAGAAAGCATGTCACCCACTGAAAAAACAATCAATTACGCGACTTAATTTGGAAATTAAATTAGAATGCATTTCAAATTTGTAAAACCTATCACCAAATAAACCGGAATGCACGTGTAGTGGCATTGCTGGGCGCGATTCGCGATCACCACTACTCTTAGCCGGTAGTACCGGCCCCGTGTCAACAGGGGGCGGAAGAGAGGCCGAGCCGGATAGTTATATGAAGTCGGGCCGTTGGGCCGAGGTAATCCCCAGAGGGAGCATCGTGACCAGGTGTGCAGACCCCAGACCCCCAAGATGGGGGGCTTGGGGATGATGTCACACTCCAGGTCCCTCAGGAAGGTTCCAGAAGGAAGGCGTAGGCTAGGGGAGGAGTGAGCTGGGACTCTGTATAAAAGCTGGACCCCTGAACGGGCCTGGCAGTTGTCGTCCACTCGAAGACTCGAAGAGGCCACCCTGAAGACCTGGAGCCGGGGCCGGAGCTGAGAACCTTGGCTGGGTCGGGTCAGAATAGCCTCCCTAGGTCTCGCTAGCCGGAGGACCCTTAAGTGAGCGACTCCCCCAGTGTGGAGGACATACCTCCCTAGGATATCGGGTGGAAGGGGCTTAACCTCTTTGTGTTAAGCTGTTATTGTATAATACACGTGTTGCCCTCCAGATAAGTCTCCCTCCGTTTATACCCACTACACACGCAATCATCACATTTCAGCAGCTTAAGCAGTGTTAAACTTGACGAGTACTTGGTTAAGAAGCCCAAGGTGTTGTAGTCTTGGGCTGGATTTCTTCAAGCTTTGAGCATTACACCTCGTGTATGTCGGTATTGTCTCTGTACTCCTGTGTTAACCCACCTACCAGTCAAACTCTCATGAATGGAACTGGCCAACCATTCCAATGAAAGAACATCAGAAAAAGAGTTTCAGGAGTCGGTGAGGCTTCTGTGGACACACAAATGGAATTCGTCTTCTTCTCGCTGCAATTCCCTCCAACTCGTGTCCGTCTTCCTCCACACCATTCTCTGTCCTTGGGGCCCAATCTCCATGCCTACTCTGAGGTCCACAACACAAACCGCTTGTCCTCGCCTACGCATCCACTGAGCAGCTGCTCACCTGCTCATGCTGATGGAGCTTCTTGGCGCGCCTCAGAAGAGAGTCCTTGCTGCAACCCAGGAGGGATGCCACGTGAGCGTAGACGCCTCCACGCAGCTGGCTGTTCAGCTCCTTTGTCTGAACTTCAATGCTACATGAGGATCAAGAACAAAGCGAGTGGTGGAAAAGAAAGGATTTAAATGAATGTTCATATGTAATTATTCATGTGCCCCCCCCCACCCCCCCACACCATCAAACCACATTTACGTGGTGAAGTATGGTGTAACAAAACCACACGACCATCGAGCAATGGATTGACAAAGGCTAAAAGTAAGTGTGAATATTGTGAAGGACGTAATATTCAAGGTAATTATGGAGCACAGATCCTAGAAAAGCAAATGTGAATTCTCAAACAATATTTGATAGATTTAGAAGAACACTAATTTTAGATTCACGACTTACGAGTCAATTAGGATTCTGGAATGCCATTCCGTGACACATTTTAACATATTTTCGCACAATTTCACGAGTCAAAAGTAATATTACCTTCTAGATTTAAAGCTTTCGTGACTGCTAGGATCCATACTCTTTGGCTCTATTGGGTAAAGTCACGTAGGTAAAAAATAAAATAACAAAAATCACGATGTTTCGGCCACAACACAAGCGACCTTCATCAGGTGAAGGGACGAGACTGTCAGGTGAAGGGACGAGACTGTCTGGAGGACAGCGCTGTCCTCCAGACAGTCCCGTCCCTTCACCTGATGAAGGCCGCTTGTGTTGTGGCCAAAACGTCGTGATTTTTGTTATTTTATTTTTTACCTACGTGACTTTACCCAATAGAACCAAAGAGTAATATTACCTTCTTAATATTTATGTACCAGGTTAACTATTTTGACGATGAAACAATAATGTCGCTGTGGCTAGTACTCACTCGAGGAGGATGTGACTGACATCTTGGCTGAAGAGCTTCTGCTTGCCCTCGCTATCACACGTTTTGGCAACCTGAGTTTAAAAGAAAAAAATATTAGCACCACATTGAGCAAAAAAACACCAATATTCCACCAATATTTATCTTCCAGACTGCCATTCACATTTAAGCTTCCACAGGGGTTGTGGTATAGCGTGTGGAATAAGTCAGGAACCTTAGCGATTTCAGAACCACACTGGATATACAGTTGTTTATTTAAAATATAAACAAGCAGGCTAAGAACAACGTGGACACGTTGAGGATTGTTCAGGCAACATCCTGTGATCAAAAGGACTGAGATGTGTACGGCCAAATGGGGTACAGTTGGAGCATCTGCTATAATTTACTGGACAGATGTATGTACGCTTAACTGATTTTTGGTGCACTCTGTATAAACACGACAGCGAGAGGAAAATGCATTTTAAACAACTTAAAAACAATCCTGCATATGCATGGATTCTGCAACGCTTTCCAACACGCGTTTGTCTTACAAAGTCTTTAATTAGCATTATGGAAACCGATGGCGTATCTGTGAGGGTACATTTGCATTTTTATTCTATGATTTGTGTAATCTGATTTTGGGCATCGGTCTTAACAATTTGCTTGGTTTTATGTAGGATAAGTCCTTAGTACCAACAAAACCTGAAATGTATTTAAAATGTATAGCTGAATCATCTCTACAACAGTTACCATGACCCCAAGCTGGAGAGACATGGACAGACAGATGGACAGAGCTCATGCATTAATGCTTGCAAACCTCAGTTGGAATGCATTAAACATATTTACCTCTACCAGTTGCTTAATTTTCATGTCAAGTGGAGCAGGCAGCCCATCTGGCAGCTTGGGACTGGGCTGGGCCTGCTGGCAAGGAGTCTCCGACTCCTGGGAGAGGCTGCTGTTTGGCGAGTCCTCCAGGAGACTGTCCAGGTCAAGGCTGGTCAGGTTGTGCGCCGCGTTGGCCACCACCTGAAGTAGGTCCAGATCGCAGCCTGGCCCAAACAGGTTGGGCAGCAGCTGGTCGGCAGAGCAGTCTGGCATTGGCAGGGGCTCCAGCTTGCTTACAGGCGCTTTTACGGGCTCCTCTGGAGCGCTGGCATTTGTAGCATTTACAGAGTTCCCGGATGCCGTCGCGGTCTGCGCCACCTTTTCCTGCTTCATTGCCGCCTCCTCCTTCTCCTTCTGGAACCGCTCAATCATCTCCGGCAGCGAAATGGGTCCTTTGCTTTTCTTTTTCTTCTGCTTTTCGGACTTGTCAGAATTCAGAGGTGTTATTCTGTGAAAAAAACACGCCTTATTTTTTCCATGACCATTTCTCATCAAGCAGTAGCCCTTAAGCAGTAAATCATGCCTTTTGCAACAGTGTGTTCTAATGCCCCAAAGTTTAGACGTTGCAGTTTAGTAAAATCAAACGAATATTAATGCTTAAAAAGTCTATTCGACACAATGGTGTTCTTGAAATGTTTGAAAAGAACAAGGACCAGGCATTCTTTGGCAAGAATAGGCTCCTCGTCTCAGATAAGGGGGGGGATCAATAGTAAGTTAATATATTCTTCTGTATAAAGTGGGTGGGTGGTGGAGTGGTAAAGCGTACTGCCCTCTGAAACCCGGCAAACCGATTTTGATTCCTGGCTATGGCTAACATCGGTGGCAAGTGATACCAGAACTGCTCTTGGGCACTAGATTCTCCTTGACCTGCATGATTAAGAAAGGTTCAACAACCCCATAACCGACACAAGTGTGAGGAAGCCATAATCCATCAATGGACTGACCAAGGGCTGTACTCTTTTTGTATGTGAGAAAGTGGACATTCGAATAAACATTACCCTATCTGCTTGAGCACTTTCAGCTTTTTAGGCATTTTCTCTTTCTCAGGTCCTTCTTTCCTTTTACGCTTCTTCATCATCTTGTCCTCTCCTTCCTTAAATTTCTTGTGGGAAATAAAGATACGAAACATCAAAGACAGATCATCGATGAAACAACACTGACGTTACTTGCCAATGAGCAAAAAAACACTTGGAGAAAACCAATACACTTAACATCCTGCATTAAAAGTTAAAAAATTCATCGTAATAAAACAAATTCTGATGCCTCTGCAGATTGTACCGTGTGTGTTTTTGGCACGACCTCATCGCAAACAACACGTGGTAACAACCCAAAAAGCCAAAACTTATGCAGGACCCAAAAAAATAACGAGCATCTTGAGAGGAAATCATCGAAACCTTTAGTGGCTTCTTGTGCTTGTCCAGGTTCGAAGAAGCGTTGTCGTCCTCCGAATCCGATGCCGGCCGAAACTGCAGGGTTCCCGTGTTGATGTAGAAGCCGCCGTACTTGGTCGTAAGCGAGGCGGGCACCAACTCGTCGTACTGACGAAACAACAAAACTGTTAGGATCCGTCCCATCATGTCAATCGCGGTCGTGCTCAGACGGTGCTGCAGAGTAAAACTAGTGAGATACCGCCGCTCTAAGCGCTCAACGTTCGTGTAGTTAGGACTTGAGAGAAAATTATAACCGTAACTGCCGACAAGTGTTTTTTTTCTCTTCTTATCACTGTCGTAAGACACCGACAAACACGTTTGCATCGGTTAAAATAAAGCAAAGCCTAAAACAAATAAATTCAAGGCAACAACATTACCACAAGATGCTTGGCAAGGAAGCAAAAATCTTTCATCACACCCAGGCATTTCCCAATAATAACCCAACTCACATCCATCCATAACACTGCCTTAAATAAGAAAAAGTATATAACAGGTGATGTTTTGGGCAATGGCCCTTCTTCACAGCATATAGAGATGCCAGAGAGGTAGAGTAACAATAGTCTTTCCTGTTAAATAAAACAAAAATGTGCAAGCTGCCATTTTGGAACAGTTGAAAGTTTCGTCTTGTAACGCTACTTTGCGCTGACAGCATATTGATGTTAACTTGCACGATGCATCATATGCATGATCTCCCACACATTGGTGAACGTTCAGTGGGTGACAAGGCACGGCACGCATAGCTCGATTTACGTTCTTCAGCTCATCTAAATTAAGCACAAGTGAAGAAAACAATACGATACCTATGAGTTACAATTCCATTGTGTGATATAAAACAATTATGAAACCTAAGAGAGTTTTACACTTACTGGAAGCGTTATTTTGATATTTCTTTTAAAAATAAAGTAAATTTCCAAAACTTAACGATCAAACACACGGGAAAGTGCTGCCCATTTCTCTCGCGGATGACTCCTGCAAAACCCTGTTACGCAACATGGCATTGCCGTCCTACATATACCAGGGGGTGGCGAAACCTACGGCCCGCGGGCTGACTTTGTTTCATACAGCCTGTGGGTCACATGACAGTGGGCCACAGGAAACCTAACCACTTTGAAACGGCCTGCAAAACAATCTTTATCTGTCACTGCAATCATCTTAGCTGCATTAATCGGCGCACTAGAGGGGACTTTTTATCACGTTCAGTCACTGTTGTCACTGCATAGGCTTCTTACAGTGATGGAAATGGGTGTTAATATGTGGTTGTCCTATTTGGCCCTCGGTAAGGGAAAGGTTCATTGAAAGACTGCAATCTGTTTGATGATGATAGGCACTCTGAATCTCAGCAAACATGCAGGCACTGTTCTAAGAAGTACTAAAAAAAGAACAAACCAATATCAGGTGCTTGGTCACTTGCTGCCATCTTTTTGGAAATGCTTGGAGACAGAATACGGGTATAATCGGGACAAAAAAGACCCTCAAATAGTTGCATCTCGCTGATGTTCAGCTGCCTCTACAAAGAAATATCAAGGTACAGGTAACAATGTACTTATTCCAGCTACTGAGCAGTGAACACTGCTGCCAACAGTCAAAAATATCTCAAGTGATTTCCTGATCGAATGAGCATCGCAGCGGTGCTCATCTCAGCGTTGAGCCAGGTGGGAACTCAGAATATGTATGGTGGAGGTGAGTCTAACCATAGGACAACCCCGTTTGACTCCCCACAGAATGATACCTATCTTATTGACACCGGACGGATGATGGGCTGAGTACAGTAAAACCTTGGATTTCGAGCATAAAACATTCCGGAAACGTGTTTGTGATCCAAAGCACTCGTATATCAAAGCACTCGTATATCAGTTGTGATCACGTGACGCTCGGCAGACAAAGCGTATACGTACTACTCGTATTGCAAGACCTCGCTCGTTTATCAAATCAATATTTAATTAAAATTTCTGCTCGTCTTGCAAAACACTCGCAGACCAAGTTACTCGCAATCCAAGGTTTTACAGAATTATTATTATTATGCGTTGCAAGTTGTTCTCTCTACCGCTGAATCACCTGGCCACAGTTCAACCTTTCCCATTCCGAAACTGCAAGTTACAGGGTGGGTCCCGTTCACCACTGAACCTTGGAACACGCAAAGCGGTTCTGTGTTCATTTTATTTAGAGAGGCAGAGAGCCGTTGTTTTTATAAGACATTGTACTCACCATGGAGAACCGTAGCGACATGACCGCACTCCTATGATAGCTAGCGCAAAACTGTGCCACACGCCATCCCGCATGACCTTGTGGAAGCCTTGGTACCGATAAAACATTTTTAGTTTTTCCTTCCGGTTCTGTTCCAACGATGCACATGTACGCGTACATCATCAGAACGGAATTGGAAGAAGAACTGATAATGTATACGGACGTCAACTGAACGGGAAAGGGTTAATACTGACCTTCCAACATCAACTCACTGCATTAGAACTGTGACCTACCATGCAGGGGCGTTTTGTTAGAGCATGGCATTTCATTGGAAATGCTATTCGAGCCTCTGCAGGTTCTCAACTGAAAATCTCTTGACTAAATAGTAAAGTAGATACACTGGTTCTAACACTGCCAAGATTATTGCAAGTACAGGAAATCCAAATTTAAGTATTCTCCCCCCCGAATAAGATGTTTCGACTAAAAAATATTTGTTGAGGCACAATTGAATCGTGCACTGTTGTCCTGTGTACAGTGTAAGAACTGTGGTATATTAAAGCAATTGAAATCTTGTGCACTCTTAACAATTTTATCACTGCTGTATTTGTTTGTAAGTACTAAATATTAAAACGCCACTTACAAGTGACGTTCTTCGACTTGATACAAACAAAAAGCCAGAAACTAAGTTAATTACTCACTTTAAACCTGCTTTCCCTAGTCAGCCAATGACATTCTCAGATGTGTTCAACTCCCGCTCCAGGTGACACATCACCTACAAAAACACATACAAGGAAAAAGCTCCTGAAGGGGCATCTATACAGCCCCATTATAAAACGATGTGGGAACCGGCAGTGTACGCTGCTCCTTTAAGAAATATTATTTGATTGCCCATTTGACTACCACTTAATTTCACTGCCAAAATAAAGCGTTTCCAGGAAATAAAACCCTATTATGGCTAAATATGTCCTCAAACAAAAAAACAGCTAAAATAATTCATTCCAATTTGAATACAATTTTATTGAATATTTCTATCTCTTATTTCTAACATGGGAAGGATGAGAAGGAAAAAAATGGTGCATTAAACTACCTATCCAGAGAAAACAAGCTGTAACTTAAACCGAGATTTATAAGTCTAACATGTCAATTTTACTCCGAACTCATTTAACTCCAAACAGCATTAGAAAAATACTCCCAAGACTGTCCACAAACACCACTTTCTAGTAAACGCCGATTTTTTTACGTGACAAAATACCCAATATTTAATACACGGAGAGATGACTGGAAATATATTCCAAACATAGACCTGTCCCTCCCTACCATCCCAAGATAGTTCCATTGCACTTTGGAAATAACCCTTTATATTGAATGCCTCTTCCATCACAAATCATGCTTGGAAAGTCACACAACCATCAGCAAGCAGTACAGGCTGACGAAACTCTCCAGCTGCTAAATCTGTAACATTTTACATAGGCCCCCTGCTTATCAATGTCTTTGTATCTTCCACAAACAAACTATTCAATAGTTATGGACAAAAATACACTTCAAAATACCAGAAATGTAAAGCCACCAAGCTAACTTTGATACAACTACAAAAGCGAGTAAGATATTGGCATTCGAAATGTATTGCCATAGAAGGATACTGAATATAAAATGGACCCAAAGGGTAACCAACATAGAAGAAAAATATTGCACATAGAAGACGACATGATGCAGGCAGTGATGAGAATGAAACAATCGTTATTTGGAAATATATATGTGGGATGGACAACAACAGTAAAATCACAAGTGTGTTGTTTGGAAAAATTTAAGGAAATGGATCGAGGAATACCTAACAGAGAATGGCTGGACGACATAAGAGGTTGGTGCCAGAAAGATGTGCACTACTTGAGCATATTGGCACAAGACAGAGGCAAGTGGAAACTAATGACAATATGCGCAGTGGAAACCTACGGGCTATCCGACTATGGATCGTGATGATGATGATGATGATAAAAGCTAGTGGTGTCGCTTATAAAAGTTAGTGCCACCAAACCAGAGCAAGACATCACAGGACAATAAATGTACTTGCTACACACAGCACTACCTCAAAATATATGCAAACACCACTTTTCATACGTTGAAATCTCTATAGACAAAGACCTCGGCTTTCGAAAACATTGCCCCATTTAGCTTGCATAATTCAGTCAGTGGCCAAGGATGAAATATTCAAGGTGCTGGCGCATACATTTAACTGCATCTGAAAATGCGCACTCTAAAAATGACAGAGCGTCACCAACATTATGACATCTCTGATAACAATGGGCATTGCAGTAAGAAAAGTAGAACAATGCTATTTGTTTCTCTACAGCACAAGAGACATACCTAAGGCACCTCTCTAGTCAAAAGTCAATGGTAGGGAAATACTGAAAGGGAGATGTGGAATGATAAATACATCAACAGAGATGTCATTAATACAGTAATAACAATATATCAAGTGCAAATTGTCATCTGTAAGATGAATGTAATGTTTTACAGTTAATATTGTGCAATTAGCAATACATAATGCATGAGGATAAACACATTCTATCTCCAAATTAAGCCTTCCAATTTGTTCTCTTATGCATTCAGAACTTTTATTTTCATATAAATATAGATCCGCATTGGCCGGAGTCCATGCCTGTATATACCCACACAAGCTTCTCTCAGTAATCGCATTAGTTCCTGGATCTATCAGACCTGTTCTAGAAGAGGATAACAGATCAATATACTTTTAATTAACAAGGTAAGCACCCACTATTCTTGCATATGGTACATATGGTAATGTGTTCAGGAGCTCAATTCCAATGTTGAGGTCTGCAAGCCACAATCAGGATTCAGGAATGAGTTTGTGTTGTTTTGCTATTCCTCGGTTGAAGCAGCGCAGACCACAGTGGTTTACCAAATGGTCTATCGTTTGGGTTGCTATGTCTTAATCCAACTGTGGCTTGTCTTTAATTTTCCATTTATGAAGGAAATGTGTGAATCGGCCTGTTGGTGTTCTGATTCGGTTGATGGTGCACCAGTGACTTTGAGGAGGAATGTCAAAGCCACGAGGTGCGATGTTAGTTACGGTGTGCGTCTCGAATGAGGTGTTTATTCCGGATGTTCGTTATTGTTCCACTCTCTTAGTTCGCCAGCGTTCGCACCCACAAAAATTGTCTCTAATGGAGAGCCTGGATTATTGGATAGATGGGTGCAATTTTGGCATGGAGAGTTGTGGATAATATGCAAACTAGAGTTTGGGCAATTGCAACGATGCACTGATAAATGTAAGTGGTGGCGAGTTTTTAAACAGAAGACACCAAGCTCCTGCAATTCCCTGCAGAAATTACCAAAACTGGCTGTGGGATTCAAAACCAGCAGCGCTGCGCAAATTGGCTAACCGCTGGCAAAGGCTGTTAACCACAGGGGGCATTTGGGTACCCAGCAACCCTCCACCCATCCATACCCCCCTCACACACCCTGCAAATGTCTACACCTTCACCACAATTGGAAAACCTTCCACACACTGAGGCACCAAGTGGGAGAGCAGAAACTGATCGTATTGAATATTCTCAAGTTACTATATGAGCATGCTTATATATAACGCGCCAGATAAAGGTTATGGGATCAGTAATTACCATACAATGTTGACACTTGGGTGCGTACAATTGACTTTTGGGGGTACAATGCAACATTGGCCAGCATGAAGTCGTGACTAGTCTCCATAAACACGGTAGAATAACCGATGTGGCATGCATGAACGCTTCATGCGATATTAAAAACAAAAAGTAACCTCAAATGAAACCCCATTATGGATTGTGAATGTGCTCTAATGCTCCCAGTAGTCAGTTACTTAAGACTCCTCTGAGGGCAAAAATCATTCCTGCTTTTATCAGAAACCCAAAGCAGTGGCCAGTAGCAAAGTGGCAATTTTTCAAACGTCAATGCATATTCTACTCTATACATATGCGCTCCAGCTGGTTTGACTGTCGACTGTCCTCCACGCAGACTAAAACAAATGGGACACGTTTCCATAAGGTTAATTATTTCTTTACGGACCCATTTGACCAGGTTTGCCTTACTCAAGTGTTGTACACAGAGCACTGGCAAAGTATTACCGTTATAAAGTGATGCTAAATGCCACCTGATGCATCACAGACTCAGCTTAACCATAATAATAATTGGAAACACCGTTTGAATACATTGGCATCTCAAGGTGGCATGGTCCATTGTGTGCAAAGAAAATTAAGAATGCTTCCGTAATCCAAAAATACAAACGCAGCAATTGTTAAAAAACATTACTGCAACTGATAAATTGCTGCAACAACTTGGCTGTACATTTAATGCAGTTATCAGATTTTGTCACGGTCCGGGAAAATTACATAGTTTTCGTATTTTCTCACAAAGTGTTAGAAAACAAACAAACTTAGCACACAAACAGAGAATGTCAGCACACACTGCCGGACTCTTTACTTACTGCCTCCGAGTTGTCAATGAAGGAATCCGTTTCATCGTAACCATAGCCAATGTCGACCAGATCCTGGACTCGGTCTCTCCGAAGCTTTTGCTTTGAAGTGGACTGCAATCAATGCCACACACGTCACAGGAATACATGGGAAGCAAGTTAAAGTGGCAATCATTTTTCCAAAGGCAGCCTTCAACAATGCATTTCCCGCATAACTACACTTAAGGACGATATTTTGCCAACCAATGTGGTGCGGTCTCTAACAACTTTGTTCCGTGGATATGCGGATATAATAGTCATCATATTTCACTTCTACCTTCATTTTTTTATTAATTTGAAATTTTATTAATATTTAGCACTGATAATTTGAACGTATGCAATGATACACCCTGAACCGCTTTCATAAACTCACGATTCGAGAATCGATTTTTTTGCATCTCATTTTAAAGATATAACATAAAGTACCGAGGAGTATTTCCATTATCTGTCTTCATTTTGTAAGCTTCAAGCAAACCTGCAGCATAAGTGTAAAGAGATATCGCCATCTCACATGGTCCTGTTATGTAACAATCCACTTAACACCTGCACACGATCCAGTTTCATCGCTGGGGACTTATCTGTAAACTGTATTCGATGTAATATGGTTAATGCCACAGTTAAGTCATTCAGTTTAGTCAGTGCTATCTATACATAGGCTCCGTGTGGTTGTGATACAGGAGCCCATTTAAATCACTGTTTCTTTGCCAGACTTAAAAAAATATATATATCAGTAGGTCAAAATATAAAAAGCGGATAAACTTATACAGCAGTGAGTTAAATAGATTCATAAACATTTGCAAAATTTGCGCTAAAATGTTCCAATATTCACGTGGCTTGAGGTGCAAAGCGGTCAGAAGATACACAGGCAGAATCTTGATACTGAACGTACGTATTTCTCTTCAAACTTTTTGGCCAGGGCTTCAACTTCCTTCCGTTCTCTCTCCTCTTCATTGAAAGGGTCGTCATTATTTTTCTTTGGTGTTTTGCCCTGATGAACAAAAACAACAAAACACGTGGTTAATTAACAATCAACTGATCATTGACATTATATTGCAAGCATGATCCGCGGATGACAACAAGAATTTATTACGTGAAATTTTATTTGAGAAAAGTTTTCCATCAGTTTTGTGGTGCGGGAGGGGGGGCAATGGTGATGGAGTAGTTCGAGCATTGCGATAAGAAATCGGTGAGCCAAGTTCGATTCAAGGCAATGGCTAACATCAGATGCAAGTACTATCTGAACTATCCCTTGGCTCCACTTGACCAAACCTGCACTACCGACCAACTTTGCAAAGTATGGTCAAACAAACCCCATGACATGGGGAGGTCTTCATCCAGCAGTGGAGTGACAATTGACTGTAAATTATTGCTCTTGGGTTGGACTACACATTGTTGAAATTGCATTGCAATAATGAAACCCCTTTTCATTAATATTAATTTACAGAAAAACTTACCCTATACATTTTTATTTGAAACGTGTTTTGGCATTCATCTAATTGCATTCCAATGTTGCTCTCAGCATCATGTAATGAGACAAAGATTCCATTTGGAAATCTCACCAAGAGCGATTCAATTCTAGATTTAAAGGTTTCGTGACTGCAAGGATCCATACTCTTTGGTTCTATTCGGTAAAGTCACGTAGGTAAAAAATAAAAAAAAATCACGACGTTGAAGGCCACTTGTGTTGTGGCCGAAACGTCGTGATTTTTGTTGTTTTATGTTTTACCTACATGACTTTACCGAATAGAACCAAAGAGTAGCGATTCAATTAATTTCCATTGTGCGGGGCTGTGATTCTAACAATGATTTGTTGACTCGTTTGTAGTCTTATTTGAACTGTTTCAAAGTTTTCTGTGTCATTTGTACAGTGCTACATTGCTCCACTATACTAATCGTAGCATTAGGATATTAATTGTACGCATTAACCATAAATCATCCAATTCTTACACGCACAATTCAATGCGTGTATCATAGCTCAAAAATCACTTTTAGTCCATAAAACTGTGCATAGTTTACATAATTAGTAACAGCACTTGCATGATTTACGTCATCTAGTCTTAAAAAATATCTACTTATGCAAACGCATTAAAAAGTTAAGACTACAAAAGTTTTGGATTGACAGGTAATGAAAAATACTCAGCCAAAACGCAACGAAAGCTTGTAAGTTGACAGACCATACCAACATGGCAAGACGCAGCAACTTTCCTTTTGCGTTTCATGTTTCAAGCAATAAATACTCGAAAGTATCCATCTAAATTCTATGTGTCTAAGTAAAAGGCAAAGTAAATATCTTCACACGACGTTATTGCACCTCCGATTAGCACAGCCGGCTACGTACGTACGCGAAAGAAGTTCAACATAGCTTCATATAAACTAATTTTGTGACAATGCATCAATTTCACGGCAATAACTAAAACACACGCGTCTGATTGCAACGGAAGACCTGGAGAGAACGAATAGGGATAATGCAATTTTGGAATCGAATTTCAGACATTACCATTTACAACAACACGTCGGCTCGCCTTTGGAAGCCAGCTGTGTACGCTAAAGGTTGACAAGGGTACTCAATGTCCACCTTCCAGTGACTTCACGTGACACATGGCCAGTTCATAATGCCAGCTATGTAAAAAAAAAGCCTCCCCCACCCCAGGTGTGTTTATCCCTTTTTAAAATAAAACATGCACCTCTCAAATGTTTAGAAAAGCCATGGAACATGCACACATCAAATTGTCAGCAACCTGCAAAAATCCTTCCAAAGCCTCCTTTGCAAAGTAAGACACTGGCCCCCTTAACATTGCACCAAGCATTGGCCAAGCAACTCATTGCAACAAAAAAACTCCTTTAAAACGCATGAGACTAATTGAAGCATTGCTGGTTTATTCTTTTCTTAACTCGGCGCCAGCAGAGATCTGTGCAGAAGAAACCACTGTTGCACTGCCCCCCTTACAATGCTCTAACGTATACTTGCCCCCTGCCTTCAGCAACCCATACGAAGCCGCATGGGCACGGAGGCGGTCATCCAGCAGTGGATTGACAGAGTGATATACGTGTACCAGGTCTGAACGGGCTGTCACAAGGTCATGTAATGACTGCAAAAAAAACGTGCCGAGCAATAAGCGATTCGGTGAAAACGCAAACAGTTACGGTACAATAAAAGTTGGATATATGGATACTCGTGGGTGGGAGGGCAAGGCCAGGCGTGATTATATCCGAAGCAGTGCGCTTGCATCAAGACGTTGCCCTTCGCCTTCCCTCCAACCAATGCAATGCAACGATGAATTGTGCTCATTTAAAGCGTGTCTGTATACGCTACAACCTCGTGCAATGTCAAAACAACTCGATCAGGAACTAGGATTTGCTTCCAAAGGTATCCCACCCCCCTCCACCAACAAGGGGGAGCCGGTAACTTGCACACGTGCAATTACTCCTCTATGTCACAGACCCTGCGCCATCGAGCCACACACGTTTGTCTCTCTCCCTCCCTCCCGACTCTTGGCTCAAGCCAAGAGCCATAGCCGGGGGGACATCCATGACAAGATGTCGGCAGCAAGGGGGACTGATCTGGGGTTTTGGCACCGGTCCCCTCCCAAAGGGCTTCCTCCACCACGCTCCTCCCTCCGCGGGGACAGACACAGAGCCGACCCCACACCTCGTCATCACCTTACGTTCCGCCGGGTACGAAAACTAGAAGACCACACACACACACACGACACCTTTCCTCGCCGAAACCCCTTCGCCAAAGCCCTATCCCCCCCCCGCATCATTGTTAATAGGGTAGTGACATTGGTGCTGCACGGCGGTGCATGCGGTTCTGTGTGGCTTTGGAAAGCGGCGAACGTACGAGTGATGTGGTCGGGTGGGGTAGATAGATGTGTGGGTGGGTTGAGTGTGTGCATGGCGCGCGGGAGGGGATGCACAGGTCCCACAATGCATGTAGCGCCACCCACTAACTGCACATCATCACGGCTGGGCTGGGCGGGCTATCGTAATATAATGCAAGGGGTGCATAATGGCTTAACCGCCTGCAAGCCACCCCGGGCACAACGTAAAGCAACATATCGCAATCCCATTGTTACCACACAGCAGTGCAACCTTGACGTTGCTTTGAACGCGAACGAGTAAATAAATATGCAACGCTTTTTTTGAGAAATGATCGGTCGTATCCGATTGCGCGATACGTTCAGTTCACTTTAAGTGTATCTATCCTCCCCCCCCCGCACGCCCGCCCGCCACACACATTTCGACGCTCTTCCGCAAGTCCTACACGGTGAATTAGTCGCGTGCTGCCATTCCACACCCTGACATTTGGCACGTAAGCCAGGTCTCCCATCGCTATGGCACGGAAGCCAGGTCTCCCATCGCTATGGCACGGAAGCCAGGTCTCCCATCGCTGCGGCGCATGCACCCAACTAGAGGAGGCTCCCCCCCCCATCCCCCTCTCACAAGGCAGCCGGCACCACCGAGATGTGTGTGCATGTTAAAACTCTCTTGTAGGCAAACACCACACACACACACGGCAATCAAGTAGCAGCAGCGGCTGCCGTCATCATCATCATCACCACCACCACGAATGCAGGCCCGAAATGCTCGTTGTCTTTTAAAGACACGCAAGGCGCAAGAGATTCCAATGCCACGCCAATTGTGTGTGACCTTACAAAAAAAAACAAGGTGGGCAAACAACATCCCCGGATCCTCCATTACGGAGCTCTCACTCCCAACTGTGTTCCCGCCGTTCCCAAAACGGCGGCTTAATTACGCACAGCTACACGTCCACTGTCACCAACAACAGCGGCGAAACACCACAGTGCGAGTCCATGTACTGTGTACGTGTACACGGGTGTCAGCGGGTTTTAATTGGTAATCGAACTCGTGGAACCTGCGGCGCCGCGAAGTGGGCTCCGTTTCCAACAGCACCCAAGATACCTCCATCATTACCATCATCGTCACCATCCCCCCCCCCTTACTACTACCCCCAACAGGGAAAGGCTGACACGGAGGCAAATATACACATGGGAGAAACAGAAACAACAAAAAACCGTACGGACGGAGTGGAGTAGTAGCAGAGAGACAGGCCATCCGTACAGGTACACAGGTCAGGTGTTGGGGTGTGGGGACAGAGGCAGGAAACATAGGGGGCACACTTGCAGGAAATAAGCTGGAACAGGCATGGGGAAAATGTCAGGCAGAGGGCCCCAGAGCGGCAAAGGGTCAGGGAAAAAAAACGGGAGGGACATGTGGACAAGTTGACAGCCAGAATGGCAGTCAAGAGGGACGGACAGATGACAGTGGAACAGATATATGGAGCGATCGGGCAGAGGACTAGAGACAAGAAGTGACAACAGCACAGAGGACCAGACACGCTGTACTGTCAGCCAGACAACCTCGCAAGACCCCCCCCCCCACCACCACAACCTCCAAGAGACACAACCCTCCATGCACCACCACGACCTCCAAGAGACACAACCCTCCATGCACCACCACAACCTCCAAGAGACACAACCCTCCATGCACCACCACGACCCCATTGTCTAGACCCCTCCTGTTTCCCCTCGCAAGACATGTCTACCCTTCGTGTACAAACCATTACGCATGCCGTCTCCTCTCCATTCTATACGCCACACCACGGCCCGCATCTCCTGTCCCCTCGCGTCTCTCTTCGGTGGACTACACCGACCATGACCCATAAACGTCTCCTCTATACACCGTCCCCATATCTCCACTACCTGCTCCATGCAACACCACGTAACGTCTACTCTAACCTCCATTCACCACAACTATGTCGTCTCCTCTTCCCTGTTCGTTACTCCTCCATGCACCACGACCACAATGTGATGTATCATCTCCCCCGTAAACTACCAACAGCACCACCACCACCACAACCGTAATCCACGTCCCCGGCACCACCACCTCGCCATGCCCTCACCGAGGCGGCTCTCAGCAGCAGTTCGGGGTAATAGAACTCGGGGCACGCCTCGTCCGTCGACTCGCCCAGCGTGAGCACGAAGCGCTGAGCCGTGGCCTTGGCCGCCTTCGCCTTGCCATCGTCGTCCCCTTCGCTCTTCTTGTCCGCGACGAAGGGGCCCGAGAGCGTGGACAGTGTTGCCCTCCGCGGCTCGGCCATTGGACGGCGCCGGTGGAGGGGGGTTGTGGTGGTGGTGGGGGGGGGGGGGTCCCCAAGCGCGGTGAGGAAGAAGATGAAGGCGACGATGAGGGACGAGGACGACGATGAATTTTGAAGCTGCGGCTGATGCTGAGGAAATCTAACGCGAGACAATGCCGAGGTTGGAGAGGTTTTGTGGAGGAGGAGGAGTAGTAGGGGGAGGCCAAGACCGGCGATTCACGGCAGTGCAGGAGCCGGATTGCGTTGACACCTACGGCTGGCTTATGCGGCCGGATCGCACACGAGGCTGATGCTGATTGATAGGGGGGGGTGGTGGGGGGAGTAATGGAGGCGGAGAGAGGAGGGTTAGGACGACGACGACGACGATGATGATGGTGATGATGATGGTACGGAGATGCTACGGGACGTGACCGATGTTCGATGGAGTGCAGGAGAGGCCGACTACAAGGACGCCGAGGCCAATACTGTGGAGGAGTAGAGGCCGGTGCTGTTGTTGCGGTTACTCGGGGCGGCTGCCGCTGCTGCTGCCGCTGCTGCTACCCCCGCAGTTGCTGCAGTCGGCAGCGGCGCTGATCGTGGTGTTGGTACAGGCGGCGGTGGTGGTTGTCGGCCGAGGTTGCCGTCGGTTGTTTGCCGTTTGTTCTTTGGCTCGGCTTGCGGTGCGGCGTGTTGGCGAGCCGTGACCTTGTTCTTCTTGTCGTTGTTGTTGTTGTCGTCTGTAAGAGTTGTTGATGTTGACGGGAGTGAGAGTCTCTCGGTCGCCACCGCCGCCCGCTAAGCGCTCTCCGCCATTTTGAATCGGGGTTCGCGCGCCCGTGCGCTCTGCCCCGCGCGGTGCATTGTGGGGGTGAAGGGGCGGGGGGTGAAGGGGGGAGATGAGGGGGGGAGGATTGTGAGGGGAGGGGGTGAGGGGGGTAGTGGTGAGGGGAGGGGGTGAGGGGGGGTAGTGGTGAGGGGAGGGGGTGAGGGGGGGTAGTGGTGAGGGGAGGGGTGAGGGGGGGTAGTGGTGAGGGGAGGGGGTGAGGGGGGGTAGTGGTGAGGGGAGGGGTGAGGGGGGGGGTAGTGGTGAGGGGAGGGGGTGAGGGGGGGTAGTGGTGAGGGGAGGGGGTGACGGGGGGTAGTGGTGAGGGGAGGGGGTGAGGGGGGTAGTGGTGAGGGGAGGGGGTGAGGGGGGGTAGTGGTGAGGGGAGGGGTGAGGGGGGGTAGTGGTGAGGGGAGGGGGTGAGGGGGGGTAGTGGTGAGGGGAGGGGGTGAGGGGGGGTAGTGGTGAGGGGAGAGGGTGAGGGGGGGTAGTGGTGAGGGGAGGGGGTGAGGGGGGGGTAGTGGTGAGGGGAGGGGGTGAGGGGGGGTAGTGGTGAGGGGAGGGGGTGAGGGGGGGTAGTGGTGAGGGGAGGGGGTGAGGGGGGGTAGTGGTGAGGGGAGGGGTGAGGGGGGGGTAGTGGTGAGGGGAGGGGGTGAGGGGGGGTAGTGGTGAGGGGAGGGGGTGAGGGGGGGTAGTGGTGAGGGGAGGGGGTGAGGGGGGGTAGGGGTGAGGGGAGGGGGTGAGGGGGGGTAGTGGTGAGGGGAGGGGGTGAGGGGGGGTAGTGGTGAGGGGAGGGGGTGAGGGGGGGGTAGTGGTGAGGGGGTGAGGGGGGTAGTGGTGAGGGGAGGGGGTGAGGGGGAATAGTGGTGAGGGGGGGGGTCGTGGCGGCGGGAGGCGGATGGTGAGTAGAAAGGAGGGCGGGGGGAGGGCGGAGGAAAGGGGGGGGGGGAAGTGGTGAGGGGAGGGGTGAGGAAGGTAAGGGGGGGAGGGAGGGGTCAGGGGGGGGGGTCAGGGCGGGAGGGGTCAGGGGGGAGGGTGTCAGGGGGGGAGGGGTCAGGGGGGAGGGGTCAGGGATCAGGGGGGAGGGGTCAGGGGGGAGGGCGGGAGGGGTTAGGGTCAGGGGGGGAGGGGTCAGGGATCAGGGGGGAGGGGTCAGGGGGGGAGGGCGGGAGGGGTCAGGGGGGAGGGGGAGGGGTCAGGGGGTCAGGGGGGGAGGGGTCAGGGGGAGGGGTCAGGGGGGAGTGTCGAGCAGTGACACGAGGGAGGAGGACATCTTAAAACGGCGAGGCGGAGCGTGGCGATGGGTGCGCGGGACGAGATTGCTCGGGGTGTTAGGAGGGTGGACAAGCGAGTCCCGATGTGGATGGCGGATAAAGGGTTCTGCAAGAAGGGAGACCGATGATGTGGTGGAAGCAGCCGAGGGGTGTTGGTGGGAATCCGCAACGGAGAAGTGTGACCGTGTACGAGTCACGTAATGGCTGCAATTATCATTACGTTCACCACCAAAAACCCAATGGTCAAAACACAAGTCGTGACTCTTCCAGCAGCTTAATACAATCAAGAGTCGACGTTCAAAGTCGGCGACCCCCGTGATGCACGAATCACAAACGCCGCTTCGTCGCTCCTGAACGCCATCAGCGAATGCGCGCAATAACATCGACTTCCGAGTAAAATGTATAAACATCAGCAGCGGTATACCACCGTGTTCAACTTATCGTTGACTCGCCACACGCAGCGATTTGAGGCAATCTCCCCCCACGGCCCAAGTCGCCTCTCGCCTCCCACGAGATGGCGCTCGCCGATCGTCCAACAATCACCGCCTCGGCTCCGCCGCCTCGCAGCCGTGGCCACCCAGGGGACCTGAATAGCGGTGGGCAGCTGCTGGTTACTACACCAGCCCACAGGGGGTCGTTGTCTACGGACGGCCGTCCGTCGTGCATACAAACATTTGGCGGGGTGGGGCTGGGTGGGGAGGGGAGGGTGGGGGGTGGAAAGGAGTGGGGCTGGGTGGGGAGGGTGGGGGGTGGGTGGGGAGGGGGGTGGGTGGGTGGGGAGGTGGGTGGGGAGGGTGGGGCTGGGTGGGGAGGGTGGGGGGTGGGTGGGGAGGGGGGTGGGTGGGTGGGGAGGGGCTGGGTGGGGAGGGTGGTGCTGGGTGGGGAGAGTGGGGCTGGGTGGGGAGGGTGGGGAGGGTGGTGCTGGGTGGGGAGGGTGGGGAGGGGTGGGGAGGGGAGAGTGGTGCTGGGTGGGGAGAGTGGGGAGGGCAGGGTGGGGAGGGTGGTGGTGGGTGGGGAGGGTGGTGGTGGGTGGGGAGGGTGGTGGTGGGTGGAAGGGGTGGGGCTGGGTGGGGAGGGGAGGGTGGGGCTGGGTGGGGAGAGTGGGAGGGGTGGAGCTGGGTGGGGAGGGGCTGGCCACCCCGTGGTGCCCTTATAAAACTCAACGTTTAACCTACTCACGCCGGCTTGTGCCCGCCCTCACAGTCGGGCATATTGTGCGGAGTACACCACGTGGTGGTGCCGCCGTTGACCCTGGCCATTGACCGAGCAACCCAACGTTCCTACCAGCTCCCTCCGCAGGAATGTGTTATAACGCGTAAAGTAGCCTTTCGAGACCAATATTCATGGTAAAAAAAAAATTGGGTGGTTAGATCGCGTAAATATAAATGTATATTCTTTGGGTCTTTCGGTAAAGTCACGTAGATAGGTTCAAATTAATAAAATAATTTGAATCTATCTACGTGACTTTACCGAAAGACTCAAATAATATTAATTCCTGCAGTCACAGAAGCTTTAATTCAAGAAATATAAATGTGTTGTGACCAACCATCGCTCCACACTGCCAGTAAGGTTTGTCACTTAAGACATAAACGCGCCAATTAGTTTACAACTTCAGCCCACCAGTGCGTTGGGACAGTAAATCCACATTTACAAATTGAGTACGACGTTTCACTGATAATTACATCCAGAATCGGGCGATTTGTCAGTTTTACTCTCCAACACACGTTTTTTTGTTTACGTGACAAACCTTACTGGCTGTCGGGTGGTGGGAGGGTTACGACACATTTATACTTACGCGATCTAACCCAAATAACCTTTATTATGAAGACATTGATATGTCTCTGTTCATTGATCATCTTTCTGTATTCAATACAGCAATTGATCTTTTCTGCATCATTGATCATGTGCTGTGAAGGGCCTGAAACGTCACCTATTCATGTATAGATTTTACTTTTAAGATGCCACAGTGTTAATGACGAACGTGTTAAGTTTATTGGTTGTTGCTATGAAGGACAAATTGCACAAAACGTTGACTTTATATTCCTTTTTATGGATTAGGGCCGTTGACATTTACGAATGCATCTTTTTTTATGTATATAAACCCAACAGTTTATTTTTATTACTAACAGCTCAGATTTTGGAAGCACACGAGTTAGTTGCTATTGGTAAATATAAAGACTGCAAAGAAACACGCGACTGCATTTATGGACTTCCACTCCCAATGTATACTATGCATAAGGGACAACTCTTGTACGAATACAACTATGCATGGCCTGGTCATGTCTGTCACAAAAATACTCGAGGCTACCCAAATTACTTTGCTGGGAAATGGTGGCATTGCATGTGGCCTATCACCTAAGACTGTGAAGACCGGGGTTAGTGAATCACAAAAAATGTGAACTTCCTTTCCGTGGGCGTCGAGTTGCCATACCTTGGCTTGCCATAAAGCGGTACGGCAAATGTGCACTTCCATCGGTTCCGTCTGTGTGAGATTGAGTGTTGCTCCTTCGTACACGTTGGTTTTGTCGAGGTGCTCCAGCTTCTACGTGTAAATAAGTCATTAATTTGCTGAAAACATCTTAACATATTAGAGAACCACAAAACATGGGGCGATTGTCCGTGGCGTTTCACCACTTGGCTGTTGTCTTCCCGCTTGTCTTGTAGTTCGTCGTGCCCGAGTCATTTTCTCTTCGGGTGAGCAAATAATGTGCAGCGTGTTACAAGTTCAAATCATTCATAAACTCGCATTCAGGAAATGGCGACACGGGGACATGGAGATACAAGGGCCTGGGGCAGAATGCCACATGGCGCCTCTTTAGTCATTAGCAACAAAAAAACAGGAATATTGTAGGGCGCTCTTTTATGTGATCTGAAGTATCCTTTCCGATATCTGCATGGAGCAGTACAACCCTTCTTGTTGGAGAACGGAAGCAGAGATCCCTTCAAGTGGCCGCACACAAAAAGAGGGCAGCACTTCTCACCGACTCGAAATGAGGGTGAGATTTGTCTTAACAGTCAAACCGATATATATAATTCATACAGCTGGAATTTTTTGCCGTATTAAGCGCAGAACCAAATTTAACGGAATGTGTTTTTTATGCAATCACTTATGAACGGGCTGCGAACATCAAATCATTACACTTTTGAGAACCTGGTTTAATCACAGCTCGACTGCTGCCTGGACCGAACCCAGGATTCTCAGTGGAGCCAGCTCAGCTCACTGACTACAAAGTAATAATTTATTTTCTGGAGATATAGGTACAGCAATTATGGGTAATGTCGTTACATAAGATAAAATATCATTTACATCCCTGCAATTACTTGCTCACGCCACAGCTGGCAAGAAGGGCCTCTCCCCAGGGGGAGTCCTAGAGAACCCTTTAGAGGGTCTTTTAGCCTACTCTTCCACACTTGAACAAGGATCTTTTAACCTTCTCTTCCACACTAGAACTCACCACACGCAACCTTCCGATAGACTGTGGTGTAACTATTTATACCGATGAGTGCAGAGGCGGGGCAGAATTTAAGAAACTTGCTCCATTGTTTCAACTGCCGCACCGGGAGATTAAGCCGGCGACTTCTGGGTTGGATGTCCAAGTGTGCGAAAAATTATAGCGCAGCAGCATCACGTGTCAAATCTACAGGACAGCTGTTAAAACTCTATACTCCACTCAATGCATTCAAATGGGCTGTGTACAGTATTATATGCAACCAGTAAACCCAATAGTCTTAAATAAAGCGGTTCATATTTCCACCATAACAGTATTAGTGTTATGCAACATTCCACAAGTGAAACAACACAACCCTATTTTCAAGCTATTCAACATTTAATGCAGCACTTTAACAGGGGAGCTTTGTTAAAATGTCAATAAAGTATTTTAAGCCACATCTAAAGTTTGAGCAAGTCAATAACAATGGTTCGCACAACTGTGCTACGAATTTCGTTGACCTGAATTAATTTCGTAGTCATGACTAACATCAATGGCAAGTGATGTCCTAACCAGTCCTGGGTTTGACCTTCACCACCCTGCGCTGGTCTGGTCAACTAAGGTCATCCACAGCAGTGTATTGACAATGAACTGCACATTATCATTTGTATAACAAATTGTTTAAACTACAAATTAATTTACTATATGACCCCATTATTCATTCACACTAACTTTTAATATTGTTCTGAATAACTGCTGGAATACAACTTATTTTTCAGGATTATGGCTTCCGCTAAACATCTAAAGTGTCTTGGCAAACCACCTTAATACAAAATCTAATTTCAAAAAATGCGATTTAGTTACATTATTTTTTTTTGGTGGCCTTATACGTCTCAGTAGGATGATCCGGCCTGTCATGCTTGTCATGTCCTTCCCTGTGTGAACAAAATAAAATATTGCCATGAAATAATTTATATGCTACTTGATATGAACATTACAAGTTCCAGATGCAGGCAAAATACAGTCACATCACACATTACTGGAGTAATGCAATGTTGATACAAATTATAAATTAACTGTGCCTCTTGTAAGATGGATAAAAATTACTAATTAGTTTGAAGTGCGTAATTTAGGTGCCAGTTACAAATGTCAAGCGATTACACTTTTAAATTACATTTAAACAAAGACAAAGATCCTCCGTATAGCCTTAACAGACTGTTGGGGCAAGTGTTGTTAGCGAGCAGGCCGGCATGGGACACGAGGGAGTCGGTAGCCAGTACCACACCCGACCGCCTTTGTCTCCCCAGTGGAGATGTTTACACACCGCACCAGGTACCCATTTGAGGCTGAGTCGACCTAGGAGAGGCCCAGAACTGGTTCAGATATTCGCCGCTGGTGCCGTGAGCAAGAATTGAACTCGGGTGGCCGGGTTCGTAGCGCAGCGCGCTAACCACTACACTAATTGCTCCCCATTAACACTTTGTGGGATATGAACAAGCAACAAGTCTCCAGTAAATCACAATAATAAACAAGACCTCATTGGGAAATTTTTTGCCTTTATCTTTCGATATCTAATTCCAGGAAGTTTCCCCCCACCCGCCAATTAAATTAATAAATAATTACATTTTTACCCATTCAACACTTACTTAACATACGTATTACAACTGATGCGCGTACACTCATGAGCAATTGTAAAAGTCTAAACTATGTACGAGCAATACATTTCTACAGATCAAAACTACAAATCAGACTTCACTGGATCTATATGTTATAATACATTTCTTTAATTTATTGTAAAATTGCTGGGTGTGTGGAACAATGACCTTAAAGGTAAAGGATAAAGATGTAGTCCTGCAATTCCTATTCTTTGGTTCTTTCAGTAAAGTCATGTAGATAGAAAAATTATAATAAAAAATAAAGTGGATAAAATAAAAACAAAAAAACCCACTAATATAGACTGTAGCCTAGTTCTTAATCGTAGTGAGTGTACTGGCAGTCTACAATGTAGACTTATTCTTGGTTCTTTCAGAAAAAAAAACGACAACGTTTCGATCGCAACACAAGCAGTCGTCATCAAGAAAAGAGGGGGTAGCCTCTTAAGGCAAACTGTTTATAAAGGTTTAGAGATGGGCGTAACCCAAGTGTGTCAGCAGCATGGGCGGGGCAGCTAATGTTAATGTAGGAGAAAACAATGACACCGGCAGTGGGTCTACACCGATAGAAGGGCCGCCAGGCAATCATTGCACCTCGCTCCACACACTCACACTGCCGACGGTGGAGGTTGACAAGAAAGCAAAAATCAAGTCATGACCCAAAGTGGTTTATGACATCTTTCCAATGATTGTTGAGTTTATAACCATCCTCTCAGCTGAAATTGTGTCTGTGTCTGTATATATGGATGGCTTCATGAACACATCTTTGTCGATAGCCAGTAGGCTTGCAAAGTACCATTATCTTAGAGAAATCACAATTTCGTGTGAGCCTGCAATTGCTTGCTTACGCCATTGCTGGCTGAAGGGCCTTCATTTGAGGGCGCTACAGAGCCCCTATCGATTGTTATTTTGGCCTACTCTTCCATGCTGGCCAGACGCCTTTGTAGTGGTGGGAGTGTCCACACTTTACAACACTACCCGTGACTTTCTGATCGACGGTAGTGTGCAACCATTTATACTGCTGGGTGGATTGAGGCCGGGGTGAACTGAAGAAATGTGCTCCAAGTCGTTTAAAACTGCCGGAGTCAGGAGATTGAACCGGTCACCTCTCGATTGCAAGTCCCGTGTGCTAACTAATTAGGGCATGGCAGCGTAAGAAAAGCCTCTACACTGTGGATCGACTTTGCGCTCACCGGTAGCACCGCTTGCAGTATAGGTCCCCATCGCAGCCTTGGCATCTGAGCACAGCGTCCTCGTTACAGATGCAGCACCAGGGCAACTCGTCGTCACTCCCGCTGTCGTTCCCCGACGGCCTGAGGACGGCTGCTGTCACTCCACGGGAGGTTTTCTGCTGCACATAAAATGGGGGCGCTTGGTTCGGAAGCTGGGAAACCAAGAGTTTGATTCCCAGTTGCGGTTACAGTTCGCCAACCTGCATTGACCAGGTCGGTGAGGTTTGGTCAAACAGTCCCCATGACTGGCACGGCATAGGGATTGACAAAGGGGCTGTCCATGATAGAAAAGATGTATCATGCAAATGCACCACCACTCAGACCTGACGCTCACCTTGTTTGCACCGGCAGCTGGGTTTGGAAGCTGTGAGAACTTTGGACCCTCCAACGCGGTGGCAGCACTGTTGCGTTCAGAGAAACCACTCGCCTTGTCCATTGCCGCCTCTTCTCCAAACTATACCGACAGAAATAACACTGACTACACAGTACTTGGAACGCTGCCGTGGTGGAATGGTTTGTACACTTGGCTTGCAATCCCAGAGGTAGCTAGTTCCATCTCCTAAAATGGCAGTTGATACAATGGGACAAGTTTTTACACCCCCCTTTCACCACTCCAGCCTCTGTCCAGTTATCAGCATAAATAGGTATGCCACAGTTAGTCAATTGGCAGGTCATGTGTAGTCGGGTAAAGTGTGGTTACTACGGCATTTTTCAAGATGTCCGTCCAGTGTGGAAGGGTAGGTCAAATGCCCTCTAGAACTGCTTTTTGTATTTAGTTTGTTGTCCTTCCCCGCACCTCCGATTATCACGGGTTGGCTACGTACGGTGCAAAAGAAGTTCAACGTGCATCCATTAGAGCTCCCTCTAGTGGAGGTCCTTCCACAGGCAGTGATACGGGCAGGCAAATACAGGGCTTCTTCACCTTCTCCATTACAGAGTACCTAAAGTACAAAATGCTAATGTGTTCGGAATAGTCTTGGGAGTGGCTGGGATCTACCGTGCCCACTCCCATCACAAACCTGCTTCAGCATTCTGTACACGGTCTTCTCTTCGTTCTCATCTTCGCTGTCAGAATCCGCCAAGTTCTGTACAACCACTGTACAAGGAAGAGGAAAATATATATTTGCGATGAATGTGCATATTATGCTTAATTGGCGTGCAACGATCTTGTCCCTCCGCCCACACACCTGCGATTAGATCAATTGTCACGATTCAACATTACGATTTAATTCAAGAATCGACTCTTTTTGTCTTATTTCATGACATTTTATTATCTAGAAAAGCCTAAATTAACGTCAAAATGTTTTTTTTAATGATTGCCCTCTGTATTCTTAGTTTTTTTCGGTAAAGTCACGTTGAAGAGAAACAACAAAATAATAAAATATATATAAAACAATAAAAAATTCTCACGACGTTTCGACCATAACTCAGGTCAAACACCTGAAGACGACCGTTTGAGTTATGGTCGAAACGTCGTGAGAATTTTTTATTGTTTTATATATATTTTATGATTTTGTTGTTTCTCTTCAACGTGGCTTTACCGAAAAAACTAAGAATATGAATTACTGCAGTCACGAAAGCTTTAAATCAAGATTGCCCTCTGCTTAAGTTTTTCAGTAGTGGGTGACACCGCTGTGCGTTTTCCCAACCGAATAATTTAGCGGGTCAGTTTTCAAATTTAGCAAATGTGAACCGTGACGCCGGCACAGCTATCCTATTCCTTTATCGAATAAACCGACGGGATCTGTAATTTCCACTGTTGCGCAGACAGCGCGTATTTTTACGGTTAATTACACCCGCAGCATAATACTCGGCAAGGTGTACATTGAGAGACGGATTGTTGGAAACCCTACAGTGCAAGCTTCTTGAAAGAGGGGCGCATAACAAAAACTCAAAGGAAGCACAACACAATGTCAAATAAACTTGAAACAAATGTTAAACAGAATGAGTTACGATCCCATCATCTCATGTCTATTGCGAATTATGCTCTGGTTCTCAACCCTCTGCGTTTGACAAATTGGCGAACTTAAAAAAAAAACGCCACTGGGCGTTAAAGATTACCAACATTTTTTGACCTAAGAATTTTTAAGGGGCGGCTGAGTCTTCAGGAAGGCGTGGGGGTGGGGGGGGGCTTAATCCCACACCCCACCCAACCCCCACCCCCCTGCCCCAACGCAATGGGGCAGCTTGTCGGTACCTTTATCAGGGTCCTCCCCTTTAAGTGCAGCCAAGCGGCGAGCCACAGCCACTGTGTCGTCTCGGCCACGTGCCTCAAACTCCAACTCTCGCTTGGCTGCAGCCAATACGTCCTTTGTCTCCTGCTCCAGGGCTTTGCTCAAGTCGCCCTCCTTGTCGGCAGCAATGTTCAGCGGGAAGCTGTCGTTGGTGCCCTTGTTAAGGTCGTTCATAGCTGTTTTGTCTTTTCAGAAGAGAGAAAAGTGTCCGATTACCAGAACTAAACGTCTATGCCTGGCTGGAAAAAATGCACCACTCTTCAAAAAATATGTACTTTACTGCATGTCAGCAGCGAGTTTCGGATAAAAAAATAATCAGATTTTTAAAAAAATCTTTAAAGACAATTTTGGATTTTTTTTTTATATTTTAAGATCATTTATATTCTGAATTAATACAACATGCAATCAAAGGTGACATCACCTGATACCGTGACATTTTTTACATGAAAGGTATGGGCGTTGCATCATTTAAGCAATGTCATACTTTTCCATCAATCCAACAGAACAACACATTTTTACAGATCATCCAACATTTGTAAACTAGGCCTGAATTTGCTGCATGATCCAACGAGTATCTGTGCAGCAGACCGCACGTGTGTTCTCTACATGCAAACCAATAACAATCATGCTAATAATATCTCTGAAGATTCTGGAGTGGCTCATCCACTCACTACAAAATAATATTTTCAATCAAACATCACAGACAAGTTCAAGTCTCTCCGTGTAAAATGCGTTTTACTCACCATCTGACGAGGTTGATTCTGGGTTGAATCTACCATCAATGGCCACCTCTTCTGACATCTGGGTCAGTAGGCTGTTTGCCTGCTCGGTCTGCGTCCTGCTATCCGGTGGCTGGTGAACCTTTATTTACAAACATTCAACACAGGGCTCCTGGTCAAACACATCCATTCAATTGTATCTTTAACCTGAGGATGCTACCCTGGGTCGGGAAGATTCAGCCAAGAACCCGTAGCATGTAGTGTGATTTCGCGAACAGTATACGCGGCTAACCTATTTCTACCAAGAATTCGTTATATGCAGTTTGAATTAACTTATTTTCGGATATGCGGTCAGACGTAGGAAAACAATGTGTACTGTATGCTCAACCCAGCAGATAGCTGTCGCGTGCGGTGCATTGTGGGTTGGGCGACTGTGTGGTTCATGCTCGGTACTTCAGTTTTATATTCCATGGATGTTTCATATCAAATTTCCCCCCCCAATCCCCCAAAACAATATTCTCTCTCAAACGTGCTATGAAGCAACATTTTCATCAGTTGGAGCTACTACGGTCACATTGCTATCATAAGTAGATGTGATCTAGACACAAAATGCTTCAAGAAAATTACTCTTAGCATTTTCCACCCTTGATGGTACCGATATGGACATTTTTGGGCCAATAATTCAAAAGTGCTAACAGCATGCGGCAACACGGTATACTCACGGCTCGGCCAACGGAGCGAGGTGCCGGTCGGCCCTGCAGCTGCGCCAGCCTCTCCTCCATCTCCCTCAAGCTCGGCACATCCCGTGAGCTGTCGTCGCGCAGGGCTGCCAGACGCCGTTCGATTTCACGCTGGGACGGCACCGCGGAGGCTGTGGAGGCACGGCACCTGTCGTTGACCATCACGCAAAGCACCTCCTCCCTTTATAACAAGACTCGCTTGCGTGCCATTTTTATGAGCACGCACGTACAGGTACGGGTCCTTCAGTCTAGATGTGAAAAGTGACAAAGCTGTCAACCGCGCGAATCTTCAAGCGGTGATGAGTACAAGACAGGGGGAGCAGCAACCGAAGAGGAGTGACCCCCTCCCTTCCAGCTCGCGGTTCTTACTCGGCTGCACTCCCGCCTTAAGTTTCTCCAGTCTCTCGGCGATCTCCCTGTCCTCTACAGACATCCCCCGCATGTCGGATGCCGGTCGACTGGTGCTTGGACCGGCGACCTGTCCCTGCTCCCGTGCCTGCAGTGCCGCCACTCGTCTGGAGGGAGTAACGGCACAGACGATGATCAGCGGTGATCGCTGTTGAAAGGTGCAGTCCTGCAATTGCTCGCTCATGCCACTGCTGAAGAGCCTCCACTTGAGGGCGCTCTACAGAGCCTCCACTTAAGAGGGTATTGTGGTCTCCTCTTGCACACTGACCAGACGTCTTGGAAGAGTTTGGGAGTGCTCACACTTTAACCCACCACATGTGAGTTTTTGAATGACTAACTGGGGCCCAAAGGTGGCAAGTTGTTAACTACCTCACCTGGTATACTGTAGGGCGAGGGTTCCATCCCGACCCTGATGCCTGTATATTTGGAGTTTGCAAGTTTCTCCCTGTGGATTTTCCGATTTTTCCCTCCACATTTAGAAACACGCATTTAGAGTATTTGGCTGCTAGAAATATCCACGTGATAAGCTACTTCATTGAGCTATCATTTGTGGCCAGATAGCTTCTGAAAAGGAGCTATATAGCCCAATGGAGCCTTACCTGGTAAAATTAAAATTGTTTAGTATACTACTGGGTGGACAGGCTGGGGGATTTAAGAAACTTATCCGAATGTTTCAAACTTGCTCCAGATCGAATCGAACCTGCAACCTCTGGATGGAAATTCCAGTGCACCTCAGATTAGGATGGTTGGCTACATACGGTGCGAAAGAAGTTCAACATACATACATGCAGTATGCTATTTTGAACTTATAGAGTGCATAGAGTCAACTCTATTATTCGGAGCAAAGGGGGGGGAAAGGATGGAGTCACGATTGAGCAGATAACAGAACCGGGGCATGCATCAAAGTTGGGAATGCAGTTGGAATACCGAAATACACATTTTTCAGCAAGAATGCTGACAAGAAACAGTCTGTATTTTACGCACTTCTTGTAATTGGCGGGAGGTGAGAGCTCAGGGGTGGGCCGACTTGGATTTCCACCGTCACCCTGCCTGCATCGATTAGAAAGATACACTCAGTATGAACAGGGGCGGAGCCAGGATTTTCAGCCCGGGGTGACATTCAACACATTTTTATTTCAAGAATGATTTAGAGAGAGTCAGGCTGTTGAACTAGACGCCATCGGTTGGCGACACGCTCTGACAATGCAGTTGCACGGAGCCTGCCAGACCGAGTGTCGTACACTTATACCCAGAATGTGTCAGATTTTCGATTTTTTATTTTTTTTCGGGGGTGACATTTGTCTACCCTGTCACCCCCCTGGCTCCGCCCCTGAGTATGAACATGTAAGGCCAAAGTTAATACCTAAAACAAATCACTCATGAACATGTACATTAAGAAAACAGGAAGATACAGTTTTACCAAAGCTTCAATGACAAGGCACATGATGCTGAGTTACGCTAACGAGTAACTGGGTGTAGGTATTAAAAACCTGAGTGACAGAATTCTCAAGGTTATTGCGTATTAGCAGAATAACCAGAATACACATTCTTAAATGATTATAATGAATTAAAGCACTTTTGTCATTCCGCTGCTAGATGAAGACCTCTGCATGCCGTGTCGGTCATCGGTGATCGTTTGGCCATACTTCTTAACGCCACGCTTGCCAGTGCAGGTTGGTGCGGTAACTAAGGCGCCATCCCTCCACCTCAAATTCTAATTTATCTGTAGATTACAAATATATCTGCTCATGATGAACCAAGCAGCCCAATACGCTTCACCCGGTTACAGTAAAGAATCCCAGTTCGAATTCAGTGAATTTTACAACAGTCTGATGATACAGATCACTGGTGTGATTTCGGATTGTACCGCAAGGTTGTTCGTCACGATATCAGACGTTTCGCTCTGCGTGCATGGAGCTCCTTCAGTTCCGTTTCTGAAGAAGCTCGCAGCAAGTGGAGCGACATGTCATACATCACACAAAACAATGCGTGACACAACCCAAAAACACATGAGACAGCTAGTTGTACAGCAAAGACGAACACATTGGTTAATAACGCACTTGGTAAGAACGCCGAAGCACTTGCTGCAAACTTTTTGCGGCTTTTGATCAAACTTGGCCACCGTTGCCGTACGGGAGAGGCAGGAGCCACAGAAGGAACGTCCACAATTCTTGCACCCGTGCTGTTAGCGGACAAAAGTACAGAAAGGGATGGAATTTCTTTTTTTGAGTAATTTCAACTTGGTAATGCAGCACCGCACAGAATTCACCCTCTCAAAAAGAGAATCCGATTCAAGAGGTGCGAGGGGACTACAGACAGGCCAGAAAGGCAGCCCACGCTGTGAGCCAGCACAAAATTCTCCCCCAAGCTCTGCGGATCTTCATTATATTAAGGCGTTATCAGACAATCAATGAGCGCCTACGTGTAGGTGGACACCGAAACCACCGGGAGATAGCCCACGTGGGCGAGGGCGGGGCAACACTCTATCCTATACAGATGGAACAGGTGTGGGGTTCACATTTGCTGTACTGCATTCTCCTGACAAGCCAGGGTATTATGGAACCCTGATGTACACAGGGAAAAGAGAGTTTCACAACATGTGTGCAATCAATCAACCATCACCTCCACAATGCTGGATTACAGGCGACCACCGCCCCGGCTTATTAAAGAACTCCTCTTGTACGTGCTGATGAGGGAAACGCACTTTGTAGATGTTATCTGCGTATTACCTGCTTTTATTCCACTTATCCACAGGGGCGGAAAATTTCGATAGCTACAAATAGACACATTTTCTGCTCAAATCCGCAATTTGTTTTACACATTACAGGAAGCTGATCGGCAATTATTTATTTCGGGGAAATGCGGATAATGGAATTAATTGGGACCATTTTGCTGCTATGGGATGTTAGGTCAGAGGATAAGTGTAATTCTCCTGTAGTTCTAATATCAAATCATGGTTAAGGTTCAGACACATAAGTCCAATGGGGCATATCGTTGTACATGTAGAGAAAGCCCTTTTGTTTGCCTGGTTTTAAATGGGGAAAAAAATGCAACGTGTTTTAGTTGATCAGCAGCAAAACTCACCTCTTTCCTCAACATCGTAAACTTGCACGCACAGCCAAAGCACCGACTTCCCATATTTTCTGCACGCACGCACGCACACACACGGCCACTTTATATGGAAGAGACAGCACTGCGTGAAAGGTCCCCACCACAGTTAGTTTAATCCACAGCACATCCGTCAATCCGATTATGGACAAAGTCCTCACCCTACAAATGTTAAATGTCCTGAATTCTCCCCCTGACGCACGCGCGCGTCTCGCGTTGCTAACGTAGCGCGGGCGTGAACCGCAATTACGGAATTGAAAGATGATGCCCAATCCGAGGGCATTTAATAACAGGTCCCTGCAAGGGTCGGCTGGTAGGAACATTGGAATTTTGCGCAATTTTATGACATTGTTACGTAAAATTGTGCAAAACATCCCCAAAAGCGAAGTTCGCAAATGAGATAATGTGACTTCCAAATGTTGGGTGCAATAAGACATATCAAGTCTCTGCGCTGTCTATTGCTGATTTTACACCCCAACAGCACGAGATTTCACTTCGTTAAAGTATTGAAAGGGGACGGACGGACGGACACATTAATCTATTGCAGGCTGGTACACTCAGTTTACAATCTTCCTTCCTACCAGTAAAAAAAACCTTCTAAAACGGGATCACTCTCTGTCCAGTTGCATTCGAGTGTGTGGCTCGTCAAAAACAAAATCGCTCATCACCATTTCGTGCTGTTGCGACGCTCACCTGAACGCTGCGTCTCCGTGTCCCTGCTGAGAACACGGCGACAGCTTCCTGAAATGAACGACACAGAGAGAGACAAGAGTATTGTGACGAGTGTTATGTTACACGCACGAAAAAGCAAGCAAACTCTAAATCTCGTCGCGTCTCACGAGAGAGGAGGAGGAGGGGAGGTTATACTGGTAGGAAGGAAGTTGTAAACTGAGTGTACCAGCCTGCAATAGATTAATGTGTCCGTCCGTCCGTCCCCTTTCAATACTTTAACGAAGTGAAAAATGCCAATGTTCCTACCAGCCCACCCTGCAGGGACCTGTTTTCCGTGGCTTGGAAGCCGTGGGCTAAGCGCACGCAGCAAGAGCACGTGTTGACGGCTGTTACTGCACTGTGCCCGCCTCCTGCCCGCGGGCGTTCGACGCTTCACGTGGCCTCAAGGTGCACATGGCCTGGCACAAGCGTCGTGGTGACGTCACCGCCACTTAGTGGCGGCTGCTGCTGTTGTTGTTGTTGTTGTGACCACCTAACCCACAAAGTTTGCGTCTCACTGGACGGCTGCAACCGCGAGCGGGCAAAGCAACGCGCGCACCCCCCACACCGCGAAGGCCGACGCCGCGGGTGGAGCTGTCGGCGTGCGTTGTGCCGGAGGGTGAAGGAGGGTGAAGGAGGTGGTAAAGGAGGTTGTGCTGGAGGGTGAAGGAGGGTGAAGGAGGTTGTGCCGGAGGGTGAAGGAGGTTGAAGGAGGGTGAAGGAGGTTGTGCCGGAGGGTGAAGGAGGCTGTACAGGAGGGTGAAGGAGGTTGTACAGGAGGTTGTGCTGGAGAGTGAAGGAGGATGAAGGAGGTTGTACAGGAGGGTGAAGGAGGTTGAAGGAGGTTGTGCCGGAGGGTGAAGGAGGTTCCGACGAGCAAGGGAGGCGCGGGACGCAGCCGGGATGCGAAACCGGGGAAGCGGCGGCGGCGGAGTTCCGCGCCCAGCTGTTGTTGGTGGCTAAAAGGGACCGCGGCGATTTGACCGACGAGTGTCCTCACAACCAGTGTATTTGTAAGGTTAAAACTTTAAAACTATAAATGTAATAATTAATATTAAAAAGCGTGTAAATAAAAAAACACAATTTGTCAATAACAACACAAAACGCAGTGCGGCCTGAAACAAAGGGGGGTAGGGGGGTTATAATAGACTAGAGTCTCCACTCTAGGCTGCTCTCGAGCTAAGCCAATGGCAAGCCCCTCCGTCGACGGTGGACCAGATGTCTTGTGATCCCAAATGTATTGACCCCCTTGACATGGAGAGGGTGGACCAGATAACTTGTGACCCCCCAATTGATTGACCCCTGACATGGAGCGGGTGGTCCAGATGTCTTGTGACCCCCAATTAATTGATCCCTAATAAATGTTTTTCCTTTGCTTATTCGTTTTAAATAAACCTTATTTATTTCAGATTTGCTGACACGCGTTCACATACTATTGAAGAACGGCTTGCAGTGAGCGTTTGGGCTCATGAAAGATCACACATCAGAAAAAAACTATTAAATATATTCCAAATGAATTTTGTGAAAGCAACTAACAACAATCATGATTACCTGCTATAATCACCCAGAAATGTATGTCCGTCCCGCACGTGACGTCACTCCACATGAGACCCACCCCCGCGTGACGTCACTCCACATGAGGCCCCCCCCCCTCATTAATATTCATGAGTGGGTGACTTTTTACAGCAACCCAGAGAAGGTCGAGCTGAATTAAATAATTTATTACGCAAAGTCGCTTCAAATGTGACGACGTTTCTTTACAGAAAGTGACGGTAAAAAAATAAATATACGCAGCACAGTGCTACATCCGTGCGTGACGTCACTGCAAAAGAGGCCCTTCCCCCTCATTAATATTCATGCTCGAACGCCACATGCCGCACCCCTCCCCTCATTAATAATCATGAGCGGGTGACGTCACTGCACATGCCGCACCCCCTCCCCTCATTAATAATCATGAGCGGGTGACGTCACTGCACATGCCGCACCCCTCCCCAATAACCATTAGCGGGTGACGTCACTCCACATGGGGCAACCCCTCCCCCCTCATTAATAATCACGAGCGGAACAATTTTTACAATTGAATATTTCAGATTTACTGCAATATACAGCCGTCCTTGGACGGGCAAAAAAAAGCTAGTATTTAGTAAAGTTATATTGCTTGAATTATATAAAGACAAAGATCCCCTGTAACAGACTGTTGGGGCAAGTGCTGGTGACGAGCACCTATTAAGTAAGGCTGGCATGGCACACGAGGGGGAGGGTGGCCAAGCACCACGCCCGACCGTTCTGTCCCCCAAGTGACGATGTTTACACACTGGACCGGGTACTCATTTGAGGCTGAATTGATCTAGGAGAGGTCCAGATAATCGTCACGGGCGTTCACCGTGAGTGGAAATCCAACTGGGGTTGTGCCAGGTTCGTAGCGCAGCGCGCTAACCGCTACACTACCGCTCCCCACTTTAATGTTTGTATATACCCATTGGTATTCAAACATTAGGTTTTTGAGAATTAAATGGGGGATCACAAGACATCTAGACCACCCTACTCTTCTTCCACGCTGGCCAGAAGTCTTGGAATAGGTGTAAAGCACCCACACTTCAACCCCACCACACACGGCATGATCGACTGACTGCGGTGCTGGGTAAACGGAGGTGGTGGTGGGGGGGGATATTAAAGGAACTTTTTGCAACTGCACTCCGGAATATTGTAATGCAGCGACCTCTGGTCTTGAAAGTCCAGTGCAATAACCCGTGACACCAAAGCAGCTTCCCTTGTAATTGTCGAGACGAGAAAAGCTTTTTAAAAAAAAAACTGATGCCGGTCTCAAAAAGTGATTAGCAAAGAGTCATGGCAGTGTTTCAAAGAGTGTCACTTTATTTCAATGACTATGACTTTGGGTAACATTTGTGGCTTAGTAAGAAGCACATCGGTTCGATTCCCGACTCGGTGGCCTTTCTGTGGGGTTTGTGTTCTCCCCTTGTTGTGAATGGGTTTCCTGTAACAGGTATTGGTCAAAACATCCCGATGCTGAAACATTACCTGCAAATAACTCAATTTGAATTGCACAAAGCAACATCACCCCCGAACTGAGGAAAAACTTGCAGGACCCTCATGAAAGAGCCTTGAGACTCAAGGCGGCTTTCCTGGGTAAACAAGCGAAATAAATAAGAGCCACGTTCTTCGTTGGTGTCCATGCAATGCCAGTACCCAAAGGCTATATCATTGTTTGTTTTTGTTTGGTGTAGATGGGAACTGAGAATGCTCACATGCATTCAAATAAAGTGCAAATAATGAGGACCAAAATGTTTGAAACATCGCAAAAGCTGACGAGCTCAACTCGAATAACTAATTATTGTTTAACCTACCATGTTTTTTTTTTAAATAATGGCAAGATTATATACGTATTGAAATTTAAGGGGGTAAAAATGTATATTCGGATAACATTTTAACACCCATATAAAAAAATGAGTATCGAATTAATCGGCAATAGTAAAATTGTAAATTTAAAACTTAAAACTCACAACACAGAACAATTCCAACTCAACGTGTGCTCAAAATCAGCATACGATATCTGGAAAGGCATAGTTCATGAAACAAATTTCGATCCATTGATATTTATTAAGACATTGTAATACAGTATGAAGCAACCCTATTTAAATACAATTAAGGCAACATTTCTTTAAACTTGTCAAAATATTAAAGTTTTTTTTAATAAGAAAATAGCAATAGACTGCAGGTGCCAGCTGTAATCATTCAATCAGACAGTACATTTTAAGCGATTCCTGTGTAAAGGCGCAGCCCTGCAATTGCCTGCTCATGCCACTTCTGGCGGAAGGCCCTCCTCCATTATAGGAAGCTCTAGAACACCTCTCGTGCTTATTTAGCAGACTCCTGCCCCGGCTTAATGTCCTGGAAGGTTAGACGACCCACACTTTACCCCACCACAAGCAACCTACAGATTTGCTGCGGTATACTTATTTACACTGCTGGGCGACAGAGGACGGACGTCAGGGGAGGGGAATCGATAAACTTGCACCATTGTTTCAATTGCCACGCTTGGATTTTTAACCAGCGACCTCTGGATTGCAAGTCAAGTTTGCAAACTATTACACCTGAGCAACATTCCCACCTTTTTGTGTGAATGCGCTGAAATGTTGTCGCAAAGTGTGTCCTATTATTATGCAAGAGGTAGCACACACAAAGTAAGGGCTTTTTCACCAATGGCTGATCTTGAGAAAGAATTAGAATGTTGCCGGAGAAGTTGAATACAACAGAAATTTCCTACTTTGTCACATCACAACATACAAGTTGCTTGTTAAGTTCTGCATTTTCAGTTGTTACAGGGCTTTCCATTAAAAAAAAAACACCACATTTTTTTTCCCCACAATTTACCCAAATCAGAAAGGTACTTCACTTACATTGCGACGCAGAGCACACTTGGGTGATAAATATCTCCCGCAGCACTGCACAAGAGTTGCAACTTGTGTGAAGTGGCTATAGCGAAAGGTCTGCTATAGCAGTACGTTGTTTAAGATTTCCAACCTAAATTAGCAGTGGTAGTTCTCATCTTCTGTTTACAGCCCTGAGCCAGCGGTCAGAACTCCACAATCCTATATTGGGGTAAATTATATCCAGATGACTACCCCTACAGCATCGTACAAATTTTATGCACCCCGCTGGGTTGATGGGCCGAGTCAAACCCCCCCCCCCCCCCAACCAGGATATAATCTCACAACATTCCAAATGCAAGGTGCTCACACTGCTGTCATCTGGCCGTGCATCATGTAGGTTAAAATAGATTTTAATGTTTTAGTGCCGGATTCTTAGTCATGGCTTGGCTCTGGCTTGACGCAGCTGAGCGAAGTTATATTCAAAGACACATGAGCGACTCGGCCATGGCTTAGCTCAGGCTCGGCTCATGGAAATCCTGAGCATGGCTGGGTCCCACGGCCCATAGCCGGCTCAAGTTAAGCACAGCTTTGAGCCAGCTCACTCCAGCCAGAGCGAATCCTAAGCCCAGCAGTGACTAAGAATACGGGTCTTAATCTCTACAATGAACCCCCTTTTGAAATATATATTTTTTGGAGAATTTAACAGATGAAAGATAAAACAATACTTCCATAGCATGTTTCTATTGAACACATTCATATCCCAAACTTGTAAATATTTTTCACAACTCTTAGCAAATGACTAATTTACACATTCGAGCGTGGTTCGTCACATGTGCCTTTTACTCTCCACAAAAAAAATAAACAAATCATCTCCACACAGCAAATGAATCTGATACTACACCAACTGCTTTGATGAGCAGTAGTATTATTTATTTCAGAATCAAGTCAAAACTTCAAACACGATTTTGAGCAGCCCCACAAAAATGGTCCAAATGAGAGACTCATGCTCGCCTCCCTCCGCATGCTGCTGGGGCTTGGGCCTCGTGGAATCATCTCGCGCGTAATCGTAATCGTCTTCATCCCCCGGCCACACCCCATCGTTGGCAAAGTGGTCCTTGGTAACGGAGACGTCGAGGAGCACCGAGAGGCGAAACTCGCTCTCCGGGTAGAACACGTGTCCGTATATGGCCACCCCGAGCGGCCGATGGAAGGAGGCCGGCACCACGGTAGCGTCGCGGCCGCACGA